CCAGGAATATCTGGAGGTGGCCCATCACCTGTGCAGCACAGCAGGCACTATTAAGTGCATCTGCACAACCAGCTGATGCTTCACCCAAGCAGGCAACCTGAATTTCAGCAAAGTCTGGCGGCACCCATGCATGCAACAAGCCGGAGTCAATCATGCTTGGTTGCAGAGGGTAACAAAGAAAGAAGGGAAGCGCCGCGGCTTTCACCTCCTGGACTGCAGATGCCATGTGCAAGTCTTGCAGCATATCATTTCTCCGGCGCCAGCAGTGTGCATCTCTTCGGCGCCAGCAGTGTGTCTGCGGTAGATCTGGTTGGAAGCCGAGCGCTGTGGCGATGTCCAGCTCCTGCAGGTCAGTCAGTTGTCAGCACAGCACTTTGTAAAAGCTGCCTTGGCTTGCACTGCCTTTGGCACCAGGCAGATTGCAGGTTCCTGACAGGTAAGAATGACAATGACTATGACCAATGCAGTCACAAGAAGATGGAGCACTGGAGGAACGCGCACCGCAGCATGCATGTCGCCGGTGCACAAGCGGTGGGCGGCTCTGGCGAGGCGCATGACCGGGTCATTTGGTTGATCGCTGAGCGCCTCTTCAATGGCCAGCAGCTGCGCGTCTGGCAGTCCCCTGTGACACCGCTCGGTTGACGGCCAGCTGGCCGCCACCTCAGCGTGGATGACATCAGCAGTGCTGTCTTCGGCGGCGTGCCTGGGGCTGTCCGGCCGGGAGCTTGCTTCGCTCAGCAGACCGCTGGCGACACTGCGAGGGCTGTCAGGGGGTGAGTCGCCCTTCGCGCAGGTTGCCTCGATCCTGCACCACAGCAGCACAGCAGCGTCAGCTCCAGGTGCTGCAGCCTTCATGGGATAGTTTCGTGCTGGTTCAAGGAGATGCAAGCGCGGCAGGGGCTCTTAAAGGGGGCCGCTGGTGACACATGGGGTACCTAAGGGGGGCGACGGTGCTGACGTCCTCGGCGGCAGTGAAGGACACGGCCTCCTGCTGGCGTCGCGCGAAGGCCGAGAAGCGCTGCCAGGCCAGGAACGCCCCCTGCGCAAGGGCCTCCTTCGCCATCTCAGCGGCTTGCGCCTCGCGCGCAGCGGATGCCTCTTGGATCTCAGCGCGCATCTTCATGTAGCCTGCCTCACCGGTCATCGCGCGCCACCGCTCGATGTCGGCCACATACTCCTCCGCCCCGACCAGATCCTGCGCATCAGAAGGGCGTTTCCGTCATCATCACTCCAGCCTAACCTGCTGCAAGGACTGCTGCAGCTGTAGCAGCAGGCGGCAATGGCGCCGACACACATTCACTCCATGTGAGCACATCGGACAAGATCCCATCAGGCACAGCAAGCAGGTGCTGACGGGGCGATGAGTCACCTGCTCAGTCATGACCGTCAGCGCCTCATTCTCCTGGAGCCGCGCGAGCAGGAGGCAACGGTGCCAATCGGCCTCCGCGCCCCATATGTTGCCGGTCCGGTTGCGCGCTTGCGCTCTGAAGTAAGTTGCATCCGCGCTGCTGTCGTCGAGTGCCAGAGCCATGGAGGTGTCCAGCTCCTGAAGGGGTAGAACATGAAACGTCAGGCACCAAGAAAGACAAGCATCACTGATCTCCCAGAGGAGATTCAGAGGCAAGAGACATTGTTGAGGCGCCAAAGAGGGCTGGGTGCACTGCAGGGGATTTTTTTGCAAGCAAATGCAATTGGACAGAGGAGCTCACCGCTGCGGCTGGGTCACCACTGCAGATGTGCAGGACCGCCCGCTCTGTCAGCAATTCCACGCTGTTTGGCAGCAGAGCCAGTGCACTGGTGAGGCTGCCGACGGCCAGAGCATAGAAGCCATCACGTACTTGTTGTACTGCGTTCTTCCTGTACACAGCGATGACCTGCAGATGCACCCAGAGATGTCAGGACTTTGGCCTGAGACAGCTCCTGTTGCTGCACCTTGGGACATGCATGCCAGTGATGATTCGAGCTTCAGAACCCACACACTGAAAGCACCAAATTCATTGAGTGTGTATATTCAGCATTGCAGTGACAGGGGAGCTACTCACGTTTTCCAAAACTGCGAGACAATGCTCTGTGATGATATCGTCGTGCTGCCTCCGGAACCGGTAGCAGACCGGGTATCCGAAGGCTTGCGGATGCACAAAGTGCGCAGCGAACTCCGTGTCTGCCTGCGGCTGGACGAGGTGCCATATGGGTGGCTGTGTGGCGGTCATCTTGTGCTCTTCGATTGGACGATTTCTGGAGACTTCCGGAATGCACCCTGCGCCACATCGCACAATGTATTAAGAAATCAATCAGCATACCTGAAACAAAACTTTTAATTACTCTGTTGCCTCCACCATAACATCGCCATATGCCTCAACCCAGTGCAAGCATTACCAAGGATCGAAACATTTTGCAAAATTCTGCGTCAGCTGCATATTGGTAAAGGGCCTGCACAACCAGCTTCAACCTTCAAGGAGCATTCAAGAGGCCCGCACAATACCTGGACAAGAAGGGCGTGGGGTGGTCAGGCCGTGCAACGATCCGGTGCAAAGGTGCGGCGGGGGGGCGACGAACGAGTGAAGACAAGTGGCGAGGTGCAATGAATCCGATGGCCAATTCGATGTCCTTTCAAGGAGCCCGCTTGGTGTGCAACTCAATGCGCTCTGGCCTGGCCAAAAATTACGCAAAGGAGAAATATGGCGATTGGCGAACGAGCCTTCCAGAAGGTGCCAAAAGAGGCAGACGTCCTCACTTGGCGACCGACCCCAACTCAATCTCCCGAACAGCAGCAGCCGGCTGTCAAATTTATTCGAGAGATCTTTCTACATCGAATGTAGCTCATTGATGTGTTGATTAGCTCTGCTCTCCGGTTGTCTTCTAGCAAAGCATCCGCCTGCTGCCGCCGAAGACTCCTCTCCATCAAGAAGGACCAACACGGTAAGACATCATTGGCGTCTTTGTCAGTTCATACCCTGGTGTCCATCCTACAGATGTTGTAACAAGTCCAGTTGTTTGCCGAGTGTTGCTTCACAAAGTATTTCATTTGGCATGCCCCACATATGCATTGGCATGTGCACAGCGCCACACCTCCCATTAGTCATGGTCGTAGCTAGTCACAAAACTCGAAGACAGCTGTACCATTCAAACCGTCCAATTGTTAGCTTCCTTAGAGAAGATGTTACAATGTCTTCGAATGTCAGAAGGAACAGCAAATAATTGGATACAGGTGCGCACCCAGTCAGAAACGGCAGTGACGGTTATTCGGCACCAGTCGGGTGTAATTGCAACAAGGAGGAATTTCAGGTGAAATTTTGCAATGCTTGCAGAACGTGAATAATCAGACCAAGGTGTCCAGATTGAAAACACCTGCCACGTACTCTATGATCCCACTAAAGCTCTGAAAGGGTGTCATCAAGTATCTTTATTGTGTGCTGCAAGGCCCTCTTGCGCAGCATTCGAACCTCTATGAAGGTTCAGGCCCATCGATCTAGCTCCTTCTGACCTGCACAGCACACCAGAGACGCCGTCAGTGCGACAGTCACATTTCACAACCTTCCAGCCAACTTGGAGCTGGGATGAAAGCTCATCCGATGCCTGACTCACGCAGTTGAGGCATAGTAGAATTGTTAATCAACACGAGAGAAGCTTTACAAATGGCTGGGACAATCCGCGATGCTAGCTGAGACACTTGCTGCACGCGTGCCATGCTTCGTGCTTTCTGCTGGCCGCAGAAGCAGGGAGATGAAAAAGGGAATTATCAAAATGCCAAAGCGAATTCCATCCACTTTGGCGTCAAAACGCCATTATAACTCCCCCCTTACAGGAGCCTGGAAATCTGGGTCCCCAGTGACACATCAGCCTGTCTGTCAATGGCCAAGTCTTGCAGTATTTGTGCAATCCTCTGGACCTTACGGCCTCAGGTTACCTCTCAGTGGGGCACCGTTTCACTATAAAGTAAACCAGGGATGCTTGGACACAGTCTCGGCATGGTCTGGTCTGGTCTGGTCTGGTCTAAGGCAGGTGAACTCGAGTCCACTTGAGTCATTTTAGTAATCTGGGGCAGGAAGCGGGGCGCACTTTTCAGTATGCGGGACTCTTCCTCTTCTGATGTGGGGAAGCTCCCCCTCTTGCGCTCGGCAGCTTGTTAGAGCAATGTGCCAGTATAATACGCGAGAAATGATCTCAAGAAGGGCGTGGTTATCCATACGAGTCATCCCGAGAAAAGCAAATACACGGCCGCCAAGACCCACGGTGCATGCTTGGGGTCTCGTCCTATTTAGATGACTATATGCTGAACGCCGTCCTTGCTCTTATATCTTTGTCTCCATGCCTGACAGCCCTCACATTTTTGCATTTACACATTCTCAACAAGCTCCCCACGCCTTCCACGAGCTCAGACAATTATAACTGTATATTGATGCCTATGCTAATAAGCACTATAGTAGCTAGCTAGAAAGACATCCAGCATCCAGTCTACTGTACATAACATATAATAACGAAAATCTAATCAATAAGGGTGCAGCTTCATCTTTTAGGCAACGCATGCATGCGGTGCAAGCAGCCCACTGCACAGTGACTGGAAATTCCAAAACAGCTGCAATGTTCCAACGTCGTCCACTTTCTCACCAAACTCTCCCTCTCGACCCTCTGCGCTAAATGTACAGTCTGATAATTATGCGGGTTCAGAAGAACAGGTTTTGACAGCGCCTCCACAGAAATCCAGGGCTGCTCAGACACACAGGGCACTTTTCAACATCTCTGAGCACTGCCAGGATTTCTGATCTGCCAAGCTGGGCTTTGCTTCGCGGAGCGTCTTAACCCCCTTTGGAAAGGTTGGAATGAAGGTTTGGATCTAACCCCTGCCTAGCAACTAGACCCGTAATGGCCAAAATATTCGGGGCTGCCCAGAAGCAGAGCACTGTTCTAGAACCCAGGAGCATGAGCTCAATTCCCTTGGGAAGTCAAATCTCACGGGACTCTAAATTAATTCAGTATAAAGTCCCCCGTCAAACCTTGGATTAGGCTGCTGACCTGTCACACCAACAGCCTTTTTAGGGCGGAAGCCATCTGATCTCCTGCTGACCTGTCCAGTGACACCAAATTCCCTTCGCTGATGGCGTGAGTCATGGGCCTTTGCACATCCCCCTTCCCCGGCGACTGCATGACACACAGAACTGGAGATCTGAATATCTTGGCTGAGAGATAAGCATTATGCCATTCTTTGAAGAGGGGCCATGGAGATTAATGCTGTTTAGATGACTCTGCAGAGGGCACACAGAAAAGACTGTAGAGGAAAAGCCGGAAGCACAAAGGATCTAACAATTCACAGCATTGAGTTGATGCCCTGATAAAGAGAATTGCAATCGGGCGGGAGTGCTTGCCCACCTCCGGTGCTGACTCCGAAGCATCCATACCGCTGCTGCTGAGTCCCCCCTCTGGGGTTTCTGGGGGGGTCTCCAGGGAGCAGGGGGACTCGAGGGGACCTGCGGTGGCCACAGCCCCGCCACCGCTCCCGGCTTTGCTGGCAGGAAGGCCCAGCGCTTGCCCGGCCGACATGCTGCGAGACAGACCTGCGCAGCAGCATTCGAGAAATTCCCCTCTGAACTCCAAAAAAGAAACACACTTGAGCCACTCTGGCTTCCACAGATGAGTTCTATTGCACAACGAGGCCTTCCACTGCAGTCTCACACACCCCCTTAAAACGCTGCGCCACATTATTTTTATGTCAATTGATTCATATCATATAAGTTTCAAAATCCAAAAGAGCTGCGCGCACCTGCAGCAGGAGCGGCTGTGTTGCTCGGCAGTGCCACAAAAGCCATTCTCTTGATCGAGGAAATTACATCAAGTGGTTGAAATCTGAGCGAGACCGGGGCAACAGAGGGTGTGGCAGCGATATTTACATCAACTACGGTCTGAATTTGAAAAGACAATCAGCTGTGCGCATCTGCAGAAAGAGCGGCTGTGCTGCAGGCCAGCGGCGGTGGTGCATCGCGGAAAGGCGAGACTGGGGCAACGGAGGGAGTTGCAACGATATTTTAAAACATTTGTTTCCAAATTCCGATTTTCAAATTTTAAGAAGAGTTGCGCGCACCTGCCGCGGGAGCGGCTGTGTTGAAGGGCAGCGGCGGTGCATCTCGGAAGGGTGAGACCGGGGCAACGCGTGGAGTTGCAACGAGAGTCGGTGGCGGCTCGGACATGTCAGTGTATGTGCAGGAGCAGTTTGGCGCGTCCAGGACAACGCCGTCTAACGTCGCCTGCACACATATACACTGATGTAACTACTGATTTATGACTATAATTAATGTTATGACTAATATTCATAGTAATATTACCACCATTGCCAACATGATTGTAACTCTCCAATCCATGAGGATCAGGTGCGTTGCAGCAAAGTTTTCTCTGGAAACCTTTCCACATTTTTCTATAGTGGGATTTCTTCCACCATTGCTCAGCACAGGCCAGATTGCACCATGTCAAATATGAATTGTAAAGCTCCCTTGGTCTGTCAAGCAGAACGGACGGAGACAACTGCAGCAGCAACTTATTTAAAACTTCACTCGTCTTTTGCACCCCTGTCTTGATGCTGACATGCTACAGAACAGGGCACCTCTGGATGCCCGGGTCCAGAGGCATTGACAAATTTCTTGCCAAAGGGTTTAGGTTTAATATTACATACTCTGAACCACAAACCCTAAAGGGATATAGAGCAGGAAAAGCGCGCCTGGCCCATCATGGTGGCGAAGCCGACATGCACCTTCAGATGAAGCTGCTTGCCGGCCAGCTGCGGCAGCCGCGGGGAATCCACCACCAAGTCAAAGGTGTCCAGATGGAAGTTCATCTGCAGCACACACCATGACACGTCATATTATTATTATTACTATTATTATTATTATTATTATTATTATTATTATTATTATTATTATTATTATTATTATTATTATTATTATTATTATTATTATTATTATTATTATTATTAGCATTATTATGCACTTTCAGTCCTTAAGGACTAGATAAGTCAAGCAACACATGAAACACTAATCTCCAGCCTTCTCGATTCTCGCACTTAAATTCTTGCGCTTTGACTCTTGCGCACGTCATTACTTCATCCACTTACAGATTACTATTTTCTTGCTTACCATTGTTCTTACCAACCTCAAAGGGGATTAAGCTATACCCTAGTGCTGTGAGGGCTTGTGCATGCAGGAAAATCGGCCTTCAGCCCAATTATAGACCGTTGCAAACATGGGACCTCCTCGATTCAGGCAACAAGACGTAGGCAAATATTGATGGGCAGGTGAACGTAAAGTGTCTGAGGGTGGAGGTGCAAACCTGCTGCCAGAAACTGTATTTCCGCCGAAGGAGCTCCACTCCATCAATGGACACTTTGGCCAAGCTGTGTGCCTGGGTCTGCAAGAGACATCGAGCTAACAATCAGCTTCAACTAGCTTGATCACAAGGAATTCCAGCTGCATGCACCCCACAACTCTGTCCTGTACTACGCCGACTTGTCCCGGGGAATTTTGGGGGAGGTGTTAGGCCGCGGTAATGACTCTTGATACCCTCTTCTGGCCTCAAGATGTCAGACCCGGTTGCAACCCAGCTTGATACCAGATTAAAAATCCATGCCCAGGTGCATGCATTAAGACACGAGTCCTAAGGGACTCTGCATCAATCGCTGTACCAGTTGTGCAATGCATGGCCTGCGTGGCAACAGCAGCGCCATGCACATTCCGGTGATCGGACTATCCATGACTCATCATCAACCAAAAAAATTGGGGCCTCACCATGTGGAAGACAACGTAGAACCTGCGCCCGCCGGCCCAAACTGCCCAAACGATCTGGAAGACGGCCGCGTTTTGCGCCGCGGCCGCCTTCAAAATTGTCTTGCCCGGGGCCGCCGGGTCCGCGTGCGTGTGCCGCCGCGCCGATTTTGACGGCTGCGTCACCTGCGCCCGGCCATCCATTTTGTTCATTGTAGGGGTTTTCTAGGGTTTGGGGGATATAATTATATAATTAGGGTTAAGGGTGAATCCTAAGCCAACACTTCAAGATTGTCTTTTCCGGGGCCGCCGGCGCATGCGTGTGCCGCCGCACTGACTTTGTCGGCTGCGTCACCTGCGCTCGCCAAGCAATCTGATGCTTCCTTTCTCTGTTTATATTGTGGCTCGGCGCATGTTGTGAGACGTGCTGAGCCTCATCTGCGCGCACGCTGCACACAAAGCTGCCGGTGCAAATCATCATCACACTCTTGCAGGCTAATTTGTACCACATTGCGGAGTCAGAATATTCCCATTGTAAACCGTCTGATTTCTTGTTTGCTATGCCTATTAAGCACCTCTGACATCCCTGCCTGAGCAGCTGCATGCAAGTACAGGGACAATCCCTGTAACACAGAGCAGGGGAGATGTATCAGGGTTTTCTCCGGGCAGTTGCCGCAGTGGCGTTGTGGAATGCGGGGCGCAAAAGCTTGAACCCTAACAACATCGAAAATGCAAAATTTGGTAATAATAGATGGGGGTTTATAACGGCAGGAGATTGTACCAGGGTGCTGTCGAGGGAGGTGTTGCTGTTGCGCATGTGGAACGCCGAGCGCGATGGCTTGAGCATGGCACGGCCAAGAAGCCGCTGCGCCAGAAATCGCTCGTCCTTGGCGCGCTTCAGGAACGGGTGCTTCAGCAGCTCGGCCGCACCCGACCTCGCCATCGCGTCCTTGTCCAAGCACTTTGCCACGAAGTCATGCATCGCCTGCGCAGTTTACTACTATCACTATCACTATCACTATCACTATCACTATCACTATCACTATCACTATCACTATCACTATCACTATCACTATCACTATCACTATCACTATCACTATCACTATCACTATCACTATCACTATCACTATCACTATCACTATCACTATCACTATCACTATCACTATCACTATCACTATCACTATCACTATCACTATCACTATCACTATCACTATCACTATCACTATCACTATCACTATCACTATCACTATCACTATCACTATCACTATCACTATCACTATCACTATCACTATCACTATCACTATCACTATCACTATCACTATCACTATCACTATCACTATCACTATTCCTATTCCTATTGCTATTAATATGATGCTGCCAAGAGGCAAGGTGCGTCCTGCAGACACGCTGCAGATAAGTGCTGCCACAACCCTACCCCTAGTTGGACTCGCCAGATCCAAGCAAGAGCCAATCGAACGTGAGTACGGTGCTCAGTATTTATACCGCCCCCCGCCAGCCGGGGCCTGCGCAGCTTGGAGACACATAAAAAGGTGCTGGGATGCAGGATTTCCATCATCAGGGAGTCATCCTTGTGGGAAAAAAAGGTGCTGAAACCTAGGTCTGATGCCGTAAAGAAACGGAGTCTGTTTCAATCGTGTTAAGAGTGCCACACAATGCACATTATGTGGGCTCGTCACAAACAGCTGCTGCGCTGGTAGCAATCGGCATTACAAACAATCACCGCATATAGCTGCAGCCTGAGCACTGCTGCCGCCCTTCTCTGCCAGACCATGAGAGCTACAGCGCACTAGTAAAGTGCAACCAGTACTCCAGGTGTGACATGCAGCGAGGCAGGGGAAGATTGCACACCTGGGAGAATTTGTGGGCGCCGCTGTGGTCTCGCAGCGTAGGAGCGGGGTTCTGCACCACGGCCAAGACTTGACGGGTGAAGGAGCACTCGCTCACCGGCACCCTCCCTCGCGCGAGCTCCAGCAGGCAGATGCCGAATGACCAGATGTCCGCTGACTGTGTGTACCTGCGCATGTCAATGAAACTGGCCTCAGCAATGGTGCTTTCTGATCTCAGAATGACCAGGGCTGGCGGCTCAGCATGCTTGCCATGTGCACGCGTGGCAATAAGAGATCTGCATGCACTAGTCATCTTCAACGCATTATTTTGCCCCGGGACAGCTCCAGCAGGCGAATCCCGAAGGACCACATGTCTGCTGACTGCGTGAGCCTGTCAGGACCAGTCGTGGGTGATTTGGGGGCAGCAAACTCTGATCCGAGATGATCTAGGCTGGTCATTTTGCATGGCACACAACGCAGTGTGAGCTGGTGACACATCAGACACAAGCTTCACCCAAGCATGCGACTTTTCATTCACTGCTACCCATGGGCACATACATTCCCAATTAGTCCGAGCTTTCAAGCAAGCAGGTAGACCCCTTTTGGGCTGCGCTGAGAAGCCTCAGACCCAAGCTATGCTCCGCAGCCATCTTCTATACACTCTCAGAGGAGCAACACGATCTGCCAAGTGAGAATCTGTGATTGTGAAGGGTTTTGCATCGCATCGCTCACCCTTCCCGGGGGTCCATAACCTCCGGCGCCATGTGGGCGGTGGTCCCGATGAAAGTGCTCCACGTCAATCACTTTTTGTACGGAAGAAATACACTGTGCCAGGGCAAAAGGGACATGAAGGGTTTTTAGCGCATTGCTCACCCTTCCCGGGGGTCCATAACCTCCGGCGCCATGTAGGCGGTGGTCCCGATGAAAGTGCTCCGCGTCAAATACTTGCTCCACTGGCTAGAAGAGGCGGACGCGCTGCGCATGCTAAAAGGGGTCGAGGGGGCCCCCCAAGAAATTGCACTGTCTCCGCTCCCCTCTGGGACCCCCGGCAGGGTGGGGCTCCTCAGGGGGGACCACGAATCTGCGCAGCCGCGATGTCATGCCTCAGCAGAATTGCCTCTTCAAGCTCCACCTCAAGCAGCTTCCATGCAATGTTTGGTTTGGTTGCTACTGTGGATTTTTCAAATTGACTTAATTACCCTTAACGAAAGGAGACCTCACGGAAGGTGCGTGACAGTGCTGCCGATATGCATTCATCACCATGCATCATCACCTGATACAGTATAAGCTCAGTGCAGGACTACTGCATCTTAGTGCAGCCCAGTGCATCGCATATGTGCCGAAAAATAAGAGGTGAAGCCTTCTTGGAGTACACAAGCGTGTTGCAGTTGAGTTTGCTCTGCCGTGGAGCCAGGACATCACACACCTGTGGGGCTCTCGTCGGTAGGAGCGGAGCTTTTGGCCATGGCGGACTCTAGAGAGGGCAGCCGCGCTTCGCGTTCTAGAGTGGCGCATGCGCCAAAGTCGGCCAGAAGGATGCGGCCGTCGTCAGACACCAGCATATTCGCCACCTTCAAATCCCTGCGCAATATGTTATCACCCCTGAGGGCTTCACAAGCAGGGGATGTTGTACCAAGTTATACAAATTTGAGCGTGTTTGCCCCCTTAAAATCCCTGCGCATTGTTTATCACTCCTGGGATCTTTGCAGAGCCCTTGTGCACTGGATTAGTTGCTGTATTTTTTGGCAAGACAGAATGCTGCCATACTAGGCAGTGTGAGCTCCAAGTAGGGATGAAGTGCTGCAACCATACAGGAAATGGCTCTTCTAGGCAACCGACTCGTATGTAACAGATAAGCATGGTCATATCATGGAGTCCATTCCGAGCTTTCCATGCCGCGTGTGCAGGGTCCCCATTTTGCAAGCAGCACGGGAAGGCGGAATCCACCCCGTGGTGCATCCAAGTGACATTGACAGACATGGGACAAAGGACAAGTAATGGGGCTTACTACTTGTATGTAGATGTATGTAGAGGATACTTATGGTGCACTAGGTACAACATCGGGTCTTTAATGGGCTGACCTGTGCATGGAGTCGTGATCATGCAGATACTGCAGACCATGCAACACGTCCCTGGCAATGGTGGCAATCATGTCCTCCTCCATGCCCTCTGGGAACCTGCACATTCCCTTCCCTTTCTCATCTCTTTCTCAGATACACTGCAAAACCCCTGCATGTCCGCAAATTATGCGGGCAAAGGCCATCTGGTCAAGCAACTTGAAACAAATGTGACATGACAGTGCATTCCAACTCTTTTCATATCCCAACCACAGAACCACCCCAAGATTTGCATGCATGCAAGGATAACCCATGCCTGCGGGAAGGGCTCGCGCAGACTGGCGTATTCGTTGTGAAGACAAGCACTGCACAGCAGTGTGAGATGTTCACAAGATACATGTTGCACTCTTGATACACACCAGCAGAAACTAATAATCTGGGCGAAGGAGTGAGGATGCGCACTTTGAGCCGATGACATTTGCGAGTGAGCCGCCGGCCACAAAGGGCATCACAAGCCACAGGTCGCTGCCGTGGATGAAGGAACAGTGCAGCATGAGCAGGTTTGGGTGGCGGAACCCCTTCATCACCTGTGCTTCCTGGATCAGCTGATCCTGCAACAAGTGACACACTCTTCTATTCATTATCTCCTCCCCTCAACACCGTTGGTACAGACATGTTGCTTGTTCCCCCTACACCGAGCCAGGCCTGTTGTTGCATCCCAGCCTTGACAGGCTCATCCGGAATGCAGGGTCTGCCGGTATGAAAAGGGTGTGCCGGGTTGCAGCAGAGCATGTTACACGGCAAGAGAAGGGTTTGGCTGGGAAATTGCCAAGGCAAGAGGTGGTGGGTGGATAAGTTTGGAGTGCGCACCAAGGCTGTGTTCCCCTGGAATTTCTCCAGATCGGTCAGCTTGATAGCAACCTTGACGTCCTTGGTCTTGCAGTGCGCCATCCAGACCTGCCAAGCACAACATAATTGTTTTGGATTGCGCCAGTGACCCACTCAATGCAACCTTACGGAAACCCTAATTCATAGGCGTTGTAGTTGGGGTCAAAATGTCTTTGCATCAGCGCTGGGTTCAACAAGCCAGATCCACGGGCTTGACATACCCTGGCAGTCGCCCCGACTCCAATCTCCTCAACAAGATCGTAGTCGTCGGCATTGGCTGGGTAGTTGTCCACATGTTCCCTGCGGATCCAAGACTCTCAAAGCGAACTTAATCAAACTGCCTTTTGTTTGGATGGTCCTGGTGAGATGCGACATGCACTTGATTAAGGCAAACCCCCTTTTGCTCGAGCAACTGGTGGTTATATTTTACCAGCCGACGGAAAGTTTGCCCGAGCTCCGTCTCGCCCTCATGGTTGGGCTCAAGGCAAGGTTCTCATTCCACGCAGATGTCTCAGAAATAGAGATTTTCCTTCAGCCATCGCGAATACCCCTTTTGTAGTGACTTGTAACAACGATGACGCCACCTTCACTGTTCTTTAGAGGAATCTTGGCGATTCGAGACACAAAGTACGAAAGCACGTGCTCAAGTGAGCCAGATAATATGATCAGAATAGCATGCACAGCCACTAGATCCTGTGAACGTGCATACTTTATATCCAACGTGTTTTCCAGTGGCACTGGTGCTTAGAGCAAGACGATCGGTCTTGTGTGCCGATTTCCCTTCGTCACGAAGGCACGCTGACTAAGCACGTGATTCCACAGCTCTCCCTTGAACGGAAGCTGCTAGGTTGGAAGCGTAAAACCGTCCCTTCAGTGAAACAATTGTTCTTGAATGGATCATGATGCTCAATGGCGCGGTGTTTTGTGATCCATCGCCTGGTTGCTGTATCTGATATATTCTAATCACACATGGACTTTTGAGATCATTGCTCTTCGCAGCATTACCTGGACCTATACCGATCTATAAAGGCATTCAATGATATGCAAGATGCAAAAGAGTGCATTTAGACACACAGAGTGCCTGACCAAGGGCGTCCATCGAACCCGATCCGGCCATCAGCGCTTCAGTCCAGGTAGTACTTGCGAGACGATGAAGATACGATCATACTCTGAATGTCAAAAATTTGTGCAACACTCTATTAATCCTCCCACGTGCATTGCATGTGTCTCGCTAAACTTTGCTACCGATGCCACAGCCCTAGTCAGCCAACACCATCGACCTCTGCGACACCATTATTCATGGAAACCTTCACAACGATCGTTCAAAATGACCATCCAAGCTGGAAGCGAAAAGCTCGGCGAAGACAGCAGGCATACCCTGGGTGCGCGCATGCTCTGCACCATCCATTGTCCCAAATTCGAGGCGTCCTTCATGAGCTACATCTGACTGAAGGAGTGTCCTTTCCTGCGCAGTGACCCCTGAAGATGTCAGCACGCCTGATGCTGCTGAGACAGCCACCCTGCTGGTTCTCCTCCCGGGCGCTTACATGAAGCCAGATGACTACAAGGGATTCATAGCTGGCTTGCGGGTAAATGTGCTCAATCACTTCCCCACCCCTAAGAATTCTCAATGGCAGATTACAGTGTTTTGCGGTTCAGCCTGCACACTTCCAGATGATGCCATTCACCTGGCATGGTCAGCAGCAGCAGGGGAATTGGAGAGACAGACAAGTCTGCAGGCACAGATAAAAAGAGTTGCTAGTGCAGCTGTGAGGCGTCTGATCCTAGGATCGATTGGAGTGCCCACCTGGGCACTCTTCTGACCTTGTTCTGAGACAAGGCACTGACATGTTAAGTGTTCAGTCCGGCCATTCTAGAGGCGCACCTGCAAGAAGGTGAGACAGTCGTGGTATGGCCAGACCACATCCAAACTGAGCTACAAACACAGGGGCTGGGGAAATAAAACAATAGCAAATCTACAGATAGACATATGGATGATCTCTATTTGTGTCTGGGCGCAGGGCTGCTTAAAGGGAAAGGTGGCCCTGTGGGTGGCAGCGGCTCACCCCATCTGGCAGGAGGTAGATGTCAAGGCGCCAGACGCCATGCAACAAGCCACGGAGCGAGTGGCCGCCGCTATCGACGTTTTGATTGCGCGAGCGCATCAGGAAGGCTTCCCAGCTGCCAAGCTCCCCTCAGGTGCGCCCTGGAAACAAGGGGGCTTGGAACTTGGCCATCAATCACATGGTTTGTCTAATGAAATGCTGTCCAACAGGCAGTAGCAAGCTGGCCAAAATCTTCATTGTAGACAAATAGATTTTTCTGGGCTTGCATCTGCACAGTCTCCATACTACGGACTCCACAGCTACAGTCTGCTTTCAAAGATTATTATGGAAGACCAAGCGGGCTTGTCTGCATTGTTGAAAGTGCATGATTACGCACGATCTGTGTACACAAAAGGACTATCTGGAGGCACTTGACATGGTAGTTACTTCACACTAAGGTGCATAATTTGTCTGAGCAGGCCGCGTAACCAATATGGTAATTCTGGCGCACAGCTCGGCGGCTTTATTCGCAGCGCCGCTGGCCGCCCGGCTGGCCGGCTCGCTGATTCTGCTGGGCTCCTACCTGTTCCCCTCCAGTGACTACCATGCCTCCCTGCGCGAGTTCAGCAGGTGAACCGGTGCTTTCACCTTCTGCATGCCTGCAAAATATAGGAGCGAACCCATCAAGCCAAAACTAGGTCTTTCTGCTAAAAACTACATCTCCCAGGACAGTGGAAGTGAGATGCATGCAGTCGGTTGCCCTATCTTGCAAGGGATCCCAGCATATGGGGAGTCCGCATTTGTGCTGCCGAGAATTTTTGCATGGGCTCTTGCATGACATTGGAGCAAAAATGACACCCCAAATTGAATAGATACAAGTTTGGTGCAAATTTTTCCATGATTTTGAGGAAATCAGAGGCACGGCTGGTGAGTCTCAGCTGACCGTACACACCGCGCTGGCTCTTTAGAGTTGGTAAGGGTGCACACAATTGCTCTCTCATCATTGTGCTCACGCTGAACAGCTGCTGCAGACCGGTCCTTCTGACAGGAGCAAATGGGTGTAGAAAATGCGCTTGAGAAGATGTGTTCTTGCAAGTGTCCAAGTGGGATCCCTGAAGTCTTGTCAGGGTTTGACAGCCCCCAAGGGCCCCCCAAGGGACTGACCGAGCTGGTTCAGGGCTAGGGGCAAGGTTTCAGCGCAGCCCCGGGATAAGTAGAGGATTGGCAAGATGGCTCAGGGCACCGCCCGAAGCCACATGGCTGTGGTTCACGGGCTCCCTGGACTTATGACGCACTTCAAAGCACTTAGAGGCCAATTCAAGGAGACCCTGAAATTCCCTTTTGAAGAACCTTGAGAATCTCAGGGATGACCTGAAGTTTCAACTACTACCGTGGCAGCGGGCGGGGGCGAAGACCCCGCCCGCCCTTGCCCTAGTTAGGTGCAGGCCTGAGATTCCTTAGGACCCTTGTCAAAGCCTGACTCTTGTTATGTCTGCTGCAGGCCGGTTCTGCACTTGGGTGGCATGCTGGATGGGCAGGCGCGCTTCTCTAAGGTTGCCATAGCTGCACTGGAGGCAGCGCACTTTGCATACCAGGCTGGCCCCATGTGCGCCCACACCTCTGCATGAACCGTGTCCCTTTGATGGCAAGAATGCTGATCACATGCACAAGCTCTTACTAAACATGGGGTAGTACAGCATGGTATGGCTCATTGGGTGCCTGCCCTTCGTGTCACTCTGCGCCGCACCCACTCAGCACACTACATGGCTGATCGTCAGAGAGATACAGAACTGCATTGAATCTCTTGCACGTGCTAATCTCGGTTTGCTGTCTGCTATACGATTGAGAATTTGTGGTACTGGTGCTGTCAGGTGCGCGGCTGCGCAGAAGCCGGTGATTCTGCTTCCCGGGGTGAACCATGCATGTCTTAGTAACGGTCACATGCGCCCCGAAGCCAATGACCTGGCAGCTGAGGTGTCAGCCGAGGATGCCAATCTCCAGGTGGCAGGCATCATAGCTGACTTTGTCATGGTGCACATGTCCACCAACGAGTGAGTACCACGGCCGTCCCATTACATCCTCACCATTGTTGTATTCAGCCTCGCATGCGAGCTCTTGCCTGTGGCATCATTTTGTGTCGTCATCTGCAGTCAGACATTTCAGACATTTCCCACCCCATGTCAGGAAGTTGAGGTGATGCGTTAAATAGTGACAAAGATGTCTGATATCTGTGCTGTACATTGCATGAGCTCTTTATGCTGTGCTTGCTTGGCAGGCAGGAGGCAGATGCAGCACTAAAGCGGTTGGCACGGCAATGCTTAGCTACAGCATCTTGGCTGAATCCCTTCACAGAAAGTCTTGGTAACGTGACCTTGAACATCTACACGTATTTCAGCCAATGCATTATGTGCGAACCAGCTGAGTAAAAATGTTGACTTTCATATGCCTGATGCTACAAGTATCCCTTACGCTTTGCAGGCCGGGGACAGGTAGCCCTCTTCTGGAATAAGAGCAAATCTGAAATCACGAAGAATTATAATATCCGAACTTTCCTCAGCGGTGCAGAAGTCTTCCCAGACACTGACACAAGCAGGTTGGTCTTACGTAGCAAAGACAAACGTCCTATCCCTGTTCAGTGGAGTCTACAAACTTAAAGCATCCTGGGGACATTTATCGCTGCAGAGGAATTATCCTTTGCACACTTTCGGACATGATGAAATTTTTTGTCATGAATTGATGAACCAGAGCTTCAGGCGGCGAGACATCTGATAAGACAAGCAAGGCAGTCCTTGGATCTCTGGAGATGCGTCTGCCCTCGACCGAAGGTCTGCGCCAAGTCTTTTTGCTGTTGTTCAGGAGATTCGTTGCACATCCCGGGGAGCTGGTGCAAGCGAAATTGGCGTCCGAAGACGTGCAGCGGCGTTTTGTCAGGATTGCTTCGAGGAACGTGAAGCCAAAGCCTGTCACGCGCGTTCTGAGCTCGGTGCACACAGACATTGAGGCATTCATCCGCAGCCAGCCTACTCTGCAGCTGTACAAAGGTGCTTCCCTGCAACGCCCCGCTCAAGAGAGCGTGTAAATTGGTTTACAGCTAATATTCATATACAAGGCCCTTGCATGCAATACTTCACCTCTTGTTATTGGTATTGTTATAGCGCTTCTCCTGCCACAGTTGAGCGGCAGGTAAAGTCTGCCAAAATCCCTCTCCTTGCTGGACTCGCCAGGTCCAAGCAAGACCCAATCAGCCGTGGGCACCATGCTCTGTATTTGGTCAGCCGGGGCTTACTATGTGATGCAAAAAGGCTGCAGCCTTCTGCGTTTAATTGGCTGCGAAGTGAATAAGAAAAGCCATGTCATGTGCTGCTCTGCAGGAGAATCTGAACCATACTGGCTGCTGCATGTCCACTGCTACTTACACCGACCAAACCTCGTACCTTTTGGCCACCGTTTCCCTGTCGCCCCGCAGTACATTCTGAAGCTCAAATCTGCAGAGGCTCTTGCACTGGTGTGTCCAACTCTCCACGGGAAGGCTTTGTACCAGAGGCACCAAGTGGCACTCTCAGAGATGCAAGAAAAGAAATTTGCATGCGTTCTGTTTAATGACGCTGTCCCCAATGCAGGTTTACACAGGACAAATTCCGGATGGTCGAGAGGACGGGAGTCTTGGGGATCAGCCCATCACAGCTGCAACGGTCAATGAAGGAATGTACAAAGAAGCCCTCAGGATAGTAACCAGAGACAGCAGAGAGCTGTTCCTTCGCAGGGGCAAGCAGCTCTCTTTCCCGCCCGACAGGTGCTGACTCATCGGATACCCCAATTCTTGCCTCTGCTTGACAGGGGGATCCTGACTGATCAGCTCTGTAATTCTGACTGCAGCGCAGAAGCCTTAGCTCTGATGAGCTGATCTCTCTTGGCATTGTTGGCTGAAAAGGGCTTGCTCTTGGAGTGCCATGTTGCTGGAGTTTACTAATAAGAAAGCCTCAGGTGGCTCCCAAAAGGTCTTTAAGATGTCATTAAAAGAAATAAATTCGGGTGTATGGGCTTGCAGGGATGTGAGCAAGGAGATTCAGACTCCTGTCCAGTGGATCAAAGACATGCCCCTAGAATTTGTGGATGTCGGCCCCAAAGCTACACAGGTACTCTTTTCTTCCAAACACTGCACAAAACTTGGCGCCACTACCACTGCTTTGTGCCTCTCCAATTGGGGCTGAGACTGAGTACCAGGGGAGTCGGGGCGGATGCAAAAGAAACACCTAGTATACTCTTGTCGGTCTCGTGCATGCGTGCAGAATCTCCTGACCATTCAAATTTCGAGTTTAAATTCAAATTTCTGCCGGGAAAGGCCTGCAGCCTGGTGGTGACAACTCGGGCTCCTGTGCAGTTTCCCTGACCATTCAAATGTAAAAAATTCAAACATATTCTTGCAGGTGTGCAGCCCGGTGGTGATGACTCCAGCAGTGCAGACCAGCGGCAAGCCTGGGCCCGAGGCGGCGTTTCAGGGCAATTATTACATGAAGATTATGTCATTGGCAGGCGCCGTGGAATGGATCATGTGTGATGGGCTGCGGCCCTCCTCACACCAGCCTTGAAAGATTACTAATAAATACTAACCATCAACCAATCTTGAAACCAGGAGAGACTGCATACCCTGAAAGTCAGTGCAAGCGCCAAATAGGGGGTCTTTGGTACCCCCGGCTTGACAGCCATTTGCTGTCAGATGAGCAATTGCACACTAGTCAGGTGTCAAATGAGGCAAGCAGTAACAAATGTCACTCGTACCAGAAAATATCACCTCGTCAGGACTCCAGAACTGGAATTTCATGCAAGAATCCGGAATTCCCTGCAGCTGCGACAGGCCGGCCAGCGTGCACTATGCAATGTGTTTGTGCTGTGCGGATTCCAAAACATTTCGTTGATGCACAATTATAACTGCTTGTATTTGAGTAGAGAGTTCATGTACTTTGTGGTATTTTATTCTGAGGTATTTTCCCTGGGTGGTGGGCGTTCGGGCCTACATCAAGGCCTCGGCAGCTGCCTAGTAAGCCTGAAATGGGGGACTGGAATTTAAAGCATTGAGCTGTTCAGTGTGTATACTACATGTTGTGCATATTCTTACACTTCCACAAACACATAGATGGACCCTGACGGCTGCGCGCACTTTCATCATTGCTCATGTGTCAACACATGACATCAGCGAGTCAAGCATGGCAGCAAAAGACACATATTTACCAGCTCTTCTCCTGTCAGACTGGAGCAGGATCTGCAAATGAAGGCTTGAATTTCGCAGCAAGTAAGCTGCAAGACATGGGGTGTATTAGTCATCCGGAAGTCAGAGGTGAAGGCTTGAATTTATTAATTTAGAGCTTTCTTGAGAGGTTCCTTCTTCTTGAGTACTCCTCTAAAAAAATAAGTGCCTTTCAGCTAAACCATGCTTGAAACATGCCCCAGTATCACTTCCGCACAGAGAGCCTTCACCATCACTTTAACCTTACAGACTACCTTATTATACACCACTGACACCACTCATTCCAACTAACAGTCCATCTTGACCCTTCCCAGTACTTTTCTCGTGCCCCTCTTGCATCGGCGTAATTACTGCGCTACAAAATTGCATGCTGCTTTACAAAATTGCATGCAGAGTCACAACAGAGCCCCAACTGTCTGCACTTCAGGGCAGGACCCATATCAGTGGTGGTTGGTGCCCTGCTACTTTGCAGCAGAGTTGTCTTCTCTTGAGGGGTGCAACCACTCAGTGGTGGCTGTTGGCTGCGCCGTTGGTTTCAGATTTATTCTCAGCGGCGGTTGTGGGCAGCTGCCTTGCCACCCTCTTCTGGTTCCATGGCCAATTTGGCACCCTGCATGCATGCAAGCAACACCCATCAGCCCATGTTTAAACACTCAAGTTCTCTGCTCACATGCCGCTTTGAGCCACGCCCATGCAAGAGCCGAGTATGCCGGCACGGAGACACTCATACAAATGCAAACATAAAAAAAACAAAATTTAAAACAAGTGCATGGTGCACGTAAGGGACGCGGGTGCATGGGCAGGGATGAAAGGGTGTCAATGCATGCACAAGGGTGGATATGCAGATAAATAGAGGGAATGCTTACGTGGCCCATGCATCCATAACGTTCTCCACAGCGATGCCCTTGGTCTCCGGCAGGCACAAGGCGACCCACGTGGTCATGATGAAAACCCAGCCGGCAAAGAAGAGGAACACTCCGTACTCCATGGAGCACATCATTTGGTTGAAGCACTGCCCGATGATGAAGCTGGCAATGAAGTTGACGAAGACAGTTCCACACATGCCGGCCGTGCGCGTCTGGTTTGTGTGGATCTCCGACGGCACCTGCGCACATGCATCGGCAGCATAAGGCAGCAGCTGACTCAGCGGACAGCTTACCATGACAGGGCAAGCATCTGTATGATTACAACTCTCCACAGTCACACTCTGCATGTCCAAGAAGTTTTTTGCAAGGTAGATCCAAGAATTAAAGTGACCTGGGCAATATTTCACCGCAGAAAACGGCGAGTCACAGATGACTAAAAACGAGTAGGGTTAGTAAGGTTAGAGATGCCAGAGAGAGAACGCCGCCCACCAGCCAGCCCAGGGGGCCCCAGGAGAAGGAGAAGCAGGCCACAAAGATGCAGATGCAGGTCAGCATCCCGTTGGCGATCTGCGCCGGGATGGAGCCATTCTTGAAGTTGACGGCTGCGATGGCGCCGGTGGCAATCTGCATGCCAAACATGATGGCGCCCGCCACGTAGAACAGCGGCTTGCGGCCGGTCCTGAAAAGCGACACAGAATTCGATTTCACTGCTGCCAAACCGATGTCTTGCACTTGGAGGAAAGACACAGTCAGCTAGGCAACACCCGGGCGATGAGCCACCGCTGAGTCATTGCTGACTAACTCCACTGCTCGCCTCAGCTGCAACATGCACTCGAGCAAGGCAGCAGAAATGCAATGCAGCGGCCAGGTGTGCAGGTGGTTCGCAGTGGGCTGCGCACCAGTCAACCAGTCCGATGGCGACAAAGGTGAAGACCAGGTTGACTGTGTTGGTGATGACCGAGTTCATCAGCGAGGCCTTGACTCCAAAGCCCATCACCTGGAAGAGCTGCGGCGCTGCACACACCAAACGCACTTCCCTTCAGCCTATGCTCGTGTCATCATCTTCTTTCTTCCCCTCAGACAAACCATGCACAAGGGCTCTCAAAGCCCAACCGACATGCAATTCTCAGCACCTAGCAAGTCAGGCTCAAGAGGAGTGGGTGCCAGAGCCTGCATGCAAAGCGTCAGGGATGATGACGTGGCAGGCAGCAGGGGAGCAAATTTATACACAAGGGGTGAGCGCACCGTAGAACATGATGGCGTTCATTCCAGTGAACTGCTGGAAGAAGGGGATGAGGAGGGCTGCCATGGCCTGCTTGTAGTGGCCCCGGCTGTACAGCGTGGTAACAGAGGCCCAGAAAGACTCCTCGCTCGTCGCCTTGGCATTCCTTTGAATGTCCATGAGCTCCTCCTGAATGTCATGGCCCTCCGGGCGCATCTTCACCAGCACCTGCATGTGCGGCAGAGGCAACGCCGTCAGAGACCAGTGAAAATTACTAACCGAGCCCAAAGAGGCCGAGACGGGACAGCAACGCTGCGCGAGACGCGGTCACCCCGGGAGGCAACGCTGCCGCAGACGGAACAGAAGCCCCACAAGCGAATGAGTCGGGCGGTGGCAGACGTTCATTGCAGCCCATAGGGCGGCGCATGGCTCCGATGCAAGGCCTGGACATGCGTACTGCCGCACCACAGCTCGTCCTGGTCACATGTTCAGTACCTTTCAGTGGGTTCCAAACAGGTGGCAGAGAGGAGGCTCTCACCGCCTCGGCCTTGGCGAAATTGTTTGGGTCGTGTTCCAGCACCGAGTTGGGAGTGTCCGGGCAGAGGGCGACCCCGATGGTGAACACGAGCGCCGGCACCAGAGCAATGCCGAGCGACCACCGCCAGCCGTCTGCATGGGCCTCCACCCCTGCACAGCGTGCATGACTCAATCAGTCATCATCACTAAATTAGTCAACGTGACTACAGCATGATTAAACTTGATGATCTGGCCTCTGCACGCCACACCCAATAAGGCTGCTGCAGCAGAGCGTGGAAGATGTCTCTCTCGCAGTGCGCGGAATGCTGGGCTCAGGATTTTGCTGCAGCAATGCACAAGGGGCCAACCCTAAACCCTAAACCCTAACCCTCACCCTAAACCCTAAAGTACAGGGCAAGGCTGAGACTGACACAAGCCTGGCGCATAAGAGGATGTCTGTCTGGCTCTGAACAGAGTGAAGGTAAGAACGGGGCTAGGGGAGAGGAGCAGGCTTCATACCGTAGTTGATGAGGGACGCAACGAAGATGCCGATGGTCGTCGCCAGCTGGAACAGGATGTTGAGGCCTCCACGCATCGAGGGGGGCGCCATCTCCGAGATGTAGGGGGGCACGGCCTGCAACAGTCAGTAAGGGCACTTTTGTCAGCGCTGCAGTGATTTCAAACACGGGAGAGACAGCTGCGGCTGCAGTTGAACACATGCACTGCTGGCTGCAGAATGCCTGCTGCGCTGCTCTGCACCTTTCAAAGCCAGAAATAGACACCCGATATTTGCTCAGTGCTTGAACTTGTGAGCAGCTGCTGCAGGCGCAAGCCTCTTGTGGGGGGCCCTACCTCGTTGGCAAAGCCGATGCCGATGCCCAGGAAGATGCGGCCGGCAATGAGCATGCCGATGTTCTGCGCGAGCGCCTGCAGCAGAGCTCCGATGAGGAAGGCGATGCCTCCAGTCACCATGACACCGCGGCGGCCCAATCCACCGCGCCACATGTTGTGGTTGGACAGAAACAGCACTGCTATGCCTGCACACATGCAAAGCAGCCCTCAGCTCCCTGTGATTACAGCTTGTTATTATTATCATTAAATGCGTTCCTGCCAAAAAGCAAGGTGCGTCCTGCAGACAAGCTGCAGTAAAAGGCTGCCATATTCCTACCCATTGATGGACTCGCTAGATCCAAACAAGACCCAGTAAACGGTGGCCACGGTGCTCAGTGTTTACACCGCCCCTTGCCAGCCGGGGCCAACTTGCAAGCCGCCCAAAATTTGGAAAGGCACATGCGCCGCTCAGACAGACGATAGGAAGGGGCAGCAGTGATAGAAAAATCCAAATGACAACATTGAGAAAGGAGTGAGCTGCAGGGACAGGCATGGCAGTCGGCAAAAGCTACTAGGTTTATGTTGGCAAGATGAGTTGGTGGTGCGCACTTGCTCCGGCGCCGGCCAAGAACATGGAAGATGTCCACAACGTCAGGAGGTGATCGTTAAATGCGCAGTATGCGGACGAGGTAGACAGTTTCTGGTTTGTCAGGACGTGCGGATAGAATTTCTGCGTTGCAAAGGAGATACGTCAGAAAACGGAGTGCTGAGGTAAAAGGAGCGGCCGACAAAAGCGAGTGACAGCGACAGGACGATAGGCAAGACGGAGAAGAGGCAGGCGGCTGACCTCCAGGAACGTGGGCATGCCCGTGACGCCCCCAGTAACTCCTGCAACACAGCACCAACCCAGTCAGACACCGATGAACCCAGATCCTGCACAGCGCTTTCTATAGCTGAAAGCCTCCGTCCTTCACAGTGCTTCAACAAGCCCCAATCAATTACGGAACAACATGACGACTGAGAAGGCGGCTCACCAAGGTCATAACCGAACAGCAGACCACCGCAAGCCGCTGCGGCGCAGACGAGGAAGATGCGGGGTTTGCGCCATAACACGAGCATGTTGGCCCCGAAGGACATCTTTGAAGCTGGAACCTGTAAAAGAAGCAGATCGATTGATAACTGATTATACTGAAACCATTGGCTCTTGTGAAAGCCTGTCGCACGGTCTGGCGCCATTATGGAGCGCCAATGATGGAGTGGGTTGCGTCCTCAAACCCGGCATATGATACAGGATGAAGCAACACTTGGGAAACGAATGGATTTGTTACAACAACTGTAGGATGGACACCAGGGTATGAACTGACAAAGACGCCAATGATGTCTTACCGTGTTGGTCCTTCTCGATGGAGAGGAGTCTTCGGCGGCAGCAGGCGGATGCTTTGCTAGAAGACAACCGGAGAGCAGAGCTAATCAACACATCAATGAGCTACATTCGATGTAGAAAGATCTCTCGAATAAATTTGACAGCCGGCTGCTGCTGTTCGGGAGATTGAGTTGGGGTCGGTCGCCAAGTGAGGACGTCTGCCTCTTTTGGCACCTTCTGGAAGGCCCGTTCGCCAATCGCCATATTTCTCCTTTGCATAATGTTTGGCCGAGCCAGAGCGCATTGAGTTGCACACCAAGCGGGCTCCTTGAAAGGACATCGAATTGGCCATCGGATTCATTGCACCTCGCCACTTGTCTTCACTCGTTCGTCGCCCCTCCGCCGCACCTTTGCACCGGATCGTTGCACGGCCTGACCACCCCACGCCCTTCTTGTCCAGGTATTGTGCGGGCCTCTCCTTGAAGGTTGAAGCTGGTTGTGCAGGCCCTTTACCAATATGCAGCTGACGCAGAATTTTCCAAAATGTTTCGATCCTTGGTAGTGCTTGCACTGGGTTGAGGCATATGGCGAAGTTATGGTGAAGGCAACAGAGTAATTAAATAATTGTTTCAGGTATGCTGATTGATTTCTAAATACATTGTGCGATGTGGCGCAGGGTGCATTCCGGAAGTCTCCAGAAGTCGTCCATTCGAAAAGCACAAGATGACCGCCACACAGCCACCCATATGGCACCTCGTCCAGCCGCAGGCAGACACGGAGTTCGCTGCGCACTTTGTGCATCCGCAAGCCTTCGGATACCCGGTCTGCTCCCGGTTCCGGAGGCAGCACGACGATATCATCACAGAGCATTGTCTCGCAGTTTTGGAAAACGTGAGTAGCTCCCCTGTCAGTGCAATGCTGAATATACACATTCAATGAAATTGATGCTTTTTGTGTGTGGATTCTGAAGCTCAATTTATCACTTGCATGCATGTCCCAAGGTGCAGCAACAGGAGCTGTCTCAGGCCAAGGTCCTGACATCTCTGGGTGCATCTGCAGGTCATCACTGTGTACAGGAAGAATGCAGTACAACAAGTACGTGATGGCTTCTATGCTCTGGCCGTCGGCAGCCTGACCAGTGCACTGGCTCTGCTGCCAAACAGCGTGGAATTGCTGACAGAGCGGGCGGTCCTGCACATCTGCAGTGGTGACCCAGCCGCAGCGGTGAGCTCCTCTGTCCAATTGCATTTGCTTGCAAAGAAATCCCCTGCAGTGCACCCAGCCCTCTTTGGCGCCTCAACAATGTCTCTTGCCTCTGGATCTCCTCTGGGAGATCAGCGATGCTTGTCTCTTTTGGTGCCTGACGTTTCATGTTTTACCCCTTCAGGAGCTGGACACTTCCGTGGCTCTGGCACTCGACGACAGCAGCGCGGATGCAACTTACTTCAGAGCGCAAGCGCGCAACCGGACCGGCAACATATGGAGCGCGGAGGCCGATTGGCACCGTTGCCTCCTGCTCACGCGGCTCCAGGAAAATGAGGCGCTGACAGTCATGACTGAGCAGGTGACTCATCACCTCGTCAGCACCTGCTTGCTGTGCCTGATGGGATCTTGTCCAATGTGCTCACATGGAGTGAATGTGTGTCCGCGCCACTGCCGCCTGCTGCTACAGCTGCAGCAGTCCTTGCAGCAGGTTACACGGGAGTGATGATGACGGAAACGCCCCTCTGATGCGCAGGATCTGGTCGAGGCGGAGGAGTATGTGGCCGACATTGAGCGGTGGCGCGCGGTGACCGGTGAGGCAGGCTACAAGAAGATGCGCACCGAGATCAAGGACGCATCTGCTGCGCGCGAGGCGCAAGCCGCTGAGCTGGCAAAGGAGGCCCTTGCGCAGGGGGCGTTCCTGTCCTGGCAGCGCTTCTCGGCCTTCGCGCGGCGCCAGCAGGAGGCCGTGTCCTTCACTGCCGCCGAGGACGTCAGCACCGCCGCCCCCCTCAGGTACCCCATCTGTCACCAGCCGCCCCCTTTAAGAGCCCCTGCTGCGCTTGCATCTCCTTGAACCAGCACGAAACCATCCCATGAAGGCTGCAGCACCTGGAGCTGAAGCTGCTGTGCTGCTGTAATGCAGGATCGAGGCAACCTGCGCGAAGGGCGACTCACCCCCTGACAGCCCTCGCAGTGTCGCCAGCGGTCTGCTGAGCGAAGCAAGCTCCCGGCCGGACAGCCCCAGGCACGCCGTCGAAGACAGCACTGCTGATGTCATCCACGCTGAGGTGGCGGCCAGCTGGCCGTCAACCGAGCGGTGTCACAGGGGACTGCCAGACGCGCAGCTGCTGGCCATTGAAGAGGCGCTCAGCGATCAGCCAAATGACCCGGTCATGCGCCTCGCCAGAGCCGCCCACCGCTTGTGCACCGGCGACATGCATGCTGCGGTGCGCGTTTCCTCCTGTGCTCCATCTTCTTGTGACTGCATTGGTCATTGTCATAGTCATTTCATTGTTACCTGTCAGGAACCTGCAATCTGCCTGGTGCCGGAGGCAGTGCAAGCCAAGGCAGCTTTTACAAACTGCTGTGCTGACAACTGACTGACCTGCAGGAGCTGGACATTGCCACAGCGCTCGGCTGCCAACCAGATCTACCGCAGACACACTGCTGGCGCCGGAGAGATGATATGCTGCAAGACTCGCACATGGCATCTGCAGTCCAGGAGGTGAAAACCGCGGCGCTTCCCTTCTTTCTTTGTTACACTCTGCAACCAAGCATGATTGACTCCGGTTTGTTGCATGCATGGGTGCTGCCAGACTTTGCTAAGATTCAGGTTGCCTGCTGAGGTGAAGCATCAGCTGGTTGTGCAGATGCACTTAACAGTGCCTGCTGTGCTGCACAGGTGATGGGCCACCTCCAGAGCTTCCTGGCGGGCCCGAGGGACGACGCCAGCCTGGAAGGGACGGCCGCAGCATGCGAAGCGTGCACAGCGCGACACGCAGAGCTGGCAGCACAGGCTCATGCTGCCGCTGAGCTGGCGGCATGCAGCAGCACCGCAGCTGCCGCGAAGCTGGCCCTGGCAGCCTTGCAGCCGGAAGCTATTGTCAAGGGTAGCAGCAGCGCGCCAATCTCAGCGCCTGCTGCCGCCACCGCCCAGCCGGCCAAGATCAATGAGAAGAGGAGGGGAAAGAAGAAGGGCCCCGGCCGGCGGCGCGTAAACAGAGTCATGATCCATTACTGAGACTGCACAGACTGCAACTGAAGGGGTTGGGTGATTCTTGGGATGTGGACAGTCGGCAACGGGACCCATTCAATGTCTCTCAAGTTGAGAGACAAACAAAAATACTGGAAACGTGTATTCCAATGGGTATCCCAAAGGGTTCCAATGCAGCTAATATTTGTTGATCCCATGAGCTTCCATTTATTGAGGTTGACAGGCTTCCATGGTCGAGGAGCGGTCTGGCCTGATCCTGCCTAAGAAAGATGCAGACCTAAATGGTGCACGTAAAGGATGACAGAGAGTTGGGTTGGCGTCAAGACTCAGCAGAGCTGCTGTATTGGAGTGGATGCTTGAGAAGAGTTGCCAGTGTCCTGCCAGGTTGTGGGGACCCCGTTGTGATAGTGGGGCTGTGTTGAGACTTGGCCGAGACTTTAGTTGCCCTTAAAAAGCATGCAAGTTGATTTGCAGCAAGATTGGATTTGGCCCATTGGAGCAACCATGCATATGGGTACTTCTCATGTGCTTGGATGAGAATGCGGCAGTTAGGACTGAACCCGCCGCGGCAGAGATGCTGCAATCGCCGCAGACAGAAACGATCCGATCGGACGAATCAACAACATGCAAACGTATGAGTGCTTGAGGGTTCCATGGCATTAGGATACCACAAGCAAAGATCAGTGCTTCAACAAGAAAGGTGCACGTGTAGCCTAGTCACCCACTGACTAAGCTGGCATGCAGGTGAAGCACCCCATAATGCAGATCCATTTCTTTCAGCTTCTTGACGAATTAAAGTCGCTGAACAGATCGCATTGCAGTCTTTTAACAGATTGGTATAACTTTGGGCTTTCTGTCGCAGCTTTCTAATCTGTTTTAGGGAGAAAGCAGCACAAAGCTTACTAGCACTGCACCCTTTACAGGAAGCACGAATAAAGGCGCTCATCAGTGCGAGCTGTTCTGATCGAGATACTGCAGGTTGTTTCCTGGCACATGAACAAACGCAGCATCTCTGGATACCTGGAACAAGACGAAGGAGGAGGTGTGCACATCAGCTTCAACGCGCAGATATCGTGTTTTCTGCGATCGTCATTTTATCTGCAATTTCCTGAATTTCAAGTCGAATGGGCTGTGTGGCTGGAGAGGCATTTCTTTCGTTCAGAAGTGGATCTGTAGTGCTAGTCATGGGGCTGTGAATCTGCGGCTCCTTTCTGTACCGTCCCTCTGTTCAGCACAATACCGCAGCATCTTCACGCAATGCATAGGATGATGACCAGATTTGCTGCTTGCCTTGCCTGACAGACACAAGACTGACAACTCGGGAAAAGCCCAGGCTACCATTGCCACAGCCTCCGCCCCCCAACCCCTTGGCACACGTTAAGGAGCCAAAAGTGCGCTTCAGCATTGCAGATGATAACAGCCAGACCACCCAGCACAGCGGTGGTTCAGCCTACACACTTCCAGGTGAAACATTTTCACCTGAGATGGTCAGCAGCAGCAGGGGAATTGAAGAGACAGACAAGGCTGCAGGTTTACATAAGGGAGTTGCCAGTGCAGCTATGGTGCCTTTGATTCTGGAACTAACGGCTTGCCCACCTTATACTGTTCTGGCACTGTTCTGAGACAGACACCATCAAGCGATTGGGACAAGTGATGGGCACCTGGGGCTCTGAACAAGTGCGTCATGCGTGCAGCTGGCGGCAGTGCCTCAGAGATGGTCGTGCGCAAGTTCCACGATGCCCTTGCCAGGTCGCCCGACACAGCTGTGGCTGTTGCGGCCATCAAGGTGACATTCTCAGGCTGCATGAATGCCTCACTGTCACAATCATCGGGCAGCCTCTTGCCCAGAAGAAGCGACAATCAGTTCCACCATCTTTTGTGGCCTGGAGGATGCCAACACGCTTCATGCACGCCCTGTGTCTATATCTATGCTTGATCATGCTGTCTCACCCTTTGTAGGCTCCCCTCTTTGCGCCTACTGGGGTCAAATAATCCCATGCAATTTGCTGAAGGAAGGTTGTGTGTGATCAGGCGCTGACTAGTGTCATAGAGAGGAGCACAGCAACCACCATGATGGGCCTGGAGAAGGAGCTGAAGGATGCAGCATCATCCTTGGAAAGGCAAGCACCCCCCTTGACAGTGTGATTTACTAGTCCGCCCAATACACCAGAGGAAATGTGTCCGATGCTTGTCATGGCCTGCCCAAATGCAAATCAGCTGCAAGAACAGGGGCTGGGGAGCTCCAAACAACAGCAAACTCAAGAGACGTGAAGGATAGGGCCTACACATTGGAAGTGCCTATGTGCGGACCTTTCTAGTACCTCTGGTCACTGTCCCGGCCCTTTTGGGCCAGCAAGAACCTCCAACATTGGGGCACACCTTGGGCCTGCACTGCTGCCAGCAAGCTGAGGCACCCTGTTACAGCATGCATAGCAGAGATGTGTGAATGATATGCTTCCCATACATCTGCCGCATTCGCGCATTGTCAACTGTGGGCTGCCAAAGTGATCGCGCAAGAGCAGGCAAGATTGTCTGCATACCAACCTGCACAGTTCTTCTCATGATATCTGATGCCGTATATAGACAGATCCGTTGTGAAAAGGAGAGTCCAGACGTTGGGTGAGAGTGGCGGAGGTGCAACGAGCTGTGAACTTCACAACACACACTTGTTGTTTCCGCGTTAGATATGTAGGCAGAGCCGGTGGCGTCTGCAAAGCAACCTTATGCCCATGCAGCTTTACACGCGCAGAGTGAAGCGTGGTGTCTATTGCTGAACTTAGGCTGATGCCAGACATTGGGTAATTTGTGCAGGTGCAACGAGACGGCTATTTCGCTGAAGGCGGGCTGCCAGCTCTTCCTGCGCTACATCACAAGGACGTCCGCCCTGGACATGGAAAACTTTGAGGCCGCCAAGGCGCGCATCATTGAGGTGTGCTGCGCACGTCTTGAGTGGCAAAAGCTCTGCAAAGTCAGCAGAATCGGGCGCGAAAGCTTCCTTGGATTGGGGCATAATCACAATTGCTGCTCCTTTTCAAGGGACTTCAAGTACTGGATTCTGCTGTCTGACATGCGCAGCATCTTTTCGTTTTCAGCAACGTCATACCTGGGGCATGCAGCAGATGTCCAAAAAAGCATGCTGTATTTTGGATGTCAGCACCGTGTTTTGTCAATTTACGGCAAACATGCTTGCTTGAAAGCTTGCTGCATGCGCTCTGGGTGCAATGTAAAACCACCGCGCATGCGCTCGGCAGGGCAACTATTGTATTTTGCGCAGAGCAGCCGGTGTCCAAGCATGCATGCTGTTAGTTGACAAGTGAAAAAGGGCTGGCTGGCATGCAAACATGCATGGTTGCCATGCCTGTGCCAACATTTAACACATGCTTTACCAGCCATTGAGATTTCGACGCGTTTCAGCGGCATTCTGAAAGCCTACACAAAGGTACAAAGAGTTTTAATATGTGGCAGACTTTCCCTGCAGCTTGTCTGCAAGCGCACCTTGCGTCTGGCAGGGAACGCATTTCATAATAGTAACAGTGTAAAGATGTTGCGCATGCGTGCAGCGGGGCAACTATTTTGCGGAGACGTCGGTGCGGGCGCGGGCGATGATAGCGGAGGTTGGCGCACGCTTCATCCGGCCGGGCTCCATGCTGCTCGTGCACGGCCACTCCCGCGTTGTTCTCGCTCTCCTGCGCAAGGCCGTCGCCCAGGTCAGCCCCACTCAAGTTGTGGATCAACCAATTTCTCAGCTGGGGGGATCGTATACGAGCAGTCACTGTATGTGGATCCTCATGCTCCATTAGGAGACCACTGCTTCTGGGGTGAATGGGGGTTATTTGGCTGTGAAATGGAGTTGGCGAAGGCCGCAGTAGGGCCTTGATTCCTTGCAGCACATTTTAAGGGCTCGGGGCACCTGGAAGAATGGTATTTAAGGTGGTACCTTGGAAAGTTGAAGAACTTCCGGTGTCAGGGTGCAAAATTGGGACAGCTCAGAGGCAGAGGATGACCAAAACTGCAACAATCCGAAGCAATCGCTGCTGCGGACAAATCTATTATACGTTCTGATGCCTCTGAGCCTCCATTCCACTGCGTGAAGCTTGCAACACGGCAGAGCATTTGCCAAATGCCGGTGATGCCTGGGCAAAAATTTGAGACACAGCACCCGCCCTTTAATCAATTAACCATATGTACTCGGCGTGAGTTTTGAGGAAAGTGGCTTCCCGGGGTAACGTCAGGCTCCAGAGTATCACGCTGGGACTATTGGAGCTCAATAGGCTGCCTTCAGCAAGGTCAAGAAAGCCTGATTTTCTTTCATCGTCACGGATGAGGCTGGATCCCGACAAAGACATCCTGAAAAGTGACCATCTGGTTCCTCAGCAGCAATTCAGAGGATGGATTGTGCCTGATGCCCTAAAGACCACTCCTGCCTGACTGGCACCCCTGCTGCCCGTCAATCACAAGAACACAGAGCACCTTGCTGTACGTTGAGAAGGCGCGTTCTTGGGGTTGTGGTTCAGGATGAGGGCTTGGGAATTGTAGCCATGGAGGATAATGGTTGGGGGTGCAGTGATAAAACATTAACGGAAAGTGCCCCCTGCAGGGCATCCAGTTCAGCGTGGTGATCACAGAGGGGCGGCCGGACGAGACCGGTCTGACGATGGCTCAAGCGCTTGATAACATGCGCGTTCCAACCATCGCCATACTAGACAGCGCCGTCGCCTATGCGCTGGAGGCCTTCAGGTGCGTTTACGCAAAATCCTGGGCGGTCCTTTTGGATGCATGGGTCTTGAGGCACTGTTGGGAGCATGAGTCACACGGTTCCTGAGGCACTGTTCGGAGCATGATCTGGACGGGCTGAAGATGGGCTAGCAAAGCCTGCTTGATGCATTGCAGATCAGATGATATCACTGAAGATCTGCGGATCAGGTCGGGCCAGTGCAGATCTGCAGTGCAAGGCACTTGCTGCACATCTTTTTTCCACACCTTGCTGTGCAGATGAGAGCAGCGAATACTTGAGACAATACCTTATATCGAGTTTGCCCCCAGCTTATTTTGGGCAACGTGAAGGTCAGCCTGCAACGCTGTTTCTCAGCAGACAGTATATGATGAAAAGTATATAAAGTACCTGCAAGTCATAAAATATAGAAGATGGGTGTGCTTGTCCTGCAGGCGACAGGCCGTTGGCCACTCCTATGAAGGTTTGGCTCCGTGACTCACCATTGGCGACTAATCAAAGAGCGGTGTGGTATGCAGGGTGGACATGGTGCTGGTGGGTGCCGAGGGAGTTGTGGAGAATGGAGGGGTAATCAACAAATTGGGAACTTTCCAGGCGGCGCTCGCCGCCAGCTGCCATAACATCCCCTTCTATGTCGCTGCAGAATCCTACAAGGTGCTGCCTTATTCTCTTTCCTACTCCATTTCAATCAATTGAGCCTTTCCTGAGTGAAGGCTGGTGTCCGTGCAAGCTGCTTGTCAGGTTTCTAGGGAAACAAAACTTAAGAAAGAGACATCAAGGCAAGCATGCACCAGAGGAGAGAGAAAGGGCTGCCTCGAAAGTGCAGCAACAGTGTAATTTATATGGCTAAATTCTTTGAAGGGATGAGGAATGTTGTCAAAGGAAAGAAGAGATGGCAATTGGCAACTCAGAATTTACTGTGTCTGTGGCTGCAGTTTGCGAGATTGTACCCTTTGGGCCAGAGGGATTTACCGATAGAGAGGAAGCACGTGGACTTTGGACCCCTGATGCCCCGAAACACACACATCGAGAACCCCTCACGAGATTACACGCCCCCAAGTGCGCTCTCTGCCATGGTCATATTTTCTGCTGGATACACTCTGCAGTGTTGCTCACCTTGTCGGCTTCACTCGGCACATAGTCTTGATCCAATTTAGGCTATTCCTAGATGCCAACACCCTTGAATATGTGTGACCCAAACGTCGTTATGTGCTGCCGCAATAGTATGTAATCACCTGTGCAGAATCCCATCACTGCAGAATGGTGTTTTAAGCTTTGTGTGTGTGCAAAGAAATTTCCTGTCCCGTCATATAAATGCATGGCAATTGTGCTGCAAGGGGTACGATTGTGGCAGCCTTTTAACTGCAGCTTGTCTGCAGGACGTACCTTGCCTCTTGGCAGAAAAAGCGTGTTATAATAATAAATTATCAATAATAATAATAATGATTGTGCTTCTGACAGAGAACTGTTTGTGTTGCTGCAGAATACATATCTCTGCTCTTCACTGATCTCGGAGTGCTCACACCTGCAGCAGTCTCCGACGAGCTCATACAGCTCTATCTCTGAGAGAGCAGCAGCACTGCCGAAACACATTGTACAACTGTCTTGAGGTTAATAATGACTATTGTTCCTGCCGGTGTCTTATCAGCATAGTAATAATTCATTGTGAAGCAGATGGTGGGCTTTTGCTTATCACTGCGCGGGCTTTCCAGTGGTGTACTGCCCCGCTGGTATGGATATGCACCATGCATGTCATGCAGTTTTCAAGAAGGAAAGAAGCAGTTGCTGGTTTGCTGCGCATAAGGGAAACTGAGGTTTTTAGTATTCAGCCTATCACGCATCAGCATGGTCAAGAATGCATTGGAGTGTGGAACTCAATGAGTCTAGTAGAACCTTCCGGCCTTGGTGAAAAATGCAATTTAGCTTGCACAGCGCATATCTGCTGAGCTGTACTTGTAATCTGGATGGACATCTGGAGGCAAATTATTCAAAACGAGCCAACGATCTGAGCCTTCTTTCTTGTGGCCAAACACAAATATATTGCTGGATATCAATATCCTTCTGAATGTTTTGCACTGCCGAGCATCAACACAAGTGGTAGTGTCGTCTGCAATTCTTCTGCCTTTATGTTCTTCCTCCATTAATACTGAGCATGTCAATGTCATGCTGCCTTTGTGCATTCACTGACCTACTGCGTGCACTGCCCTAAAGTCTTGAGTAAGATACTGTCCCTCGCAAGCACACCCGCAACAATGCCACGGCCTTTTTTCTTGTGACCCCTTCTACAGCTACGATCTTCTCCTGCCCACTCCATTCAGCTGTGTCGGCACAACCGCGCCCCTCTGGGTGGCCGGCAGAGTGCCCATGCTCTGCAGCTGCGAGGCAGCCGCCTGCGGCTGCGCCGCTCCCGGCATTGGCATTCCCGGCAGTGCGGGCAGCAGCCCCAGCCGCGCCGGCAGCTCCGTGGCAGCTTCCACCAGCTCGTGCAGCGGCGGCTTCGGCGGCTCCGTCGGCCCGCGCGCCGCGTTAGCTGCCGCCATGCTGGCGGCCGCCGACACCTCAGTGATCATGCTCGTCGCCGGTGCCGGCACCGGCACGGCCGCGGCAGCGGCCGCGGCCGACGGCGCTTGCGCCGCCTGCAGCGGCTGCGGCTGCTCGATGGGGGTGAGCGCGGGGCCGACCAGGAGAATTTCATTGGAAGGGGCGGATGCGGGTGGATTGGAGGGGTTGGTCAGCAGCTGCGTGGCGGCCTGGCCGAAGGCTTGCGCTACGCGCGTCGCGAGCGCGGGCGGCCGCGGCGGGCTGCGCTCCGCTCAGGCGCTGCGCCTGGCCTTGCAGAGTGCACAGGCCGCAAACGGTGAGCTTCATTATCGTCTTCTGCTCTTGGGCATTGAGTTCATGCAGCAGCCTGTCATGAAAGACTACACTGCCTTCCACCGTGTATCCTCAACCACTAGGATGATACTGATGTGTTGTGGTGCGAGGCATGCAAGCTTTTGAGACACACAGATCGCCCTGAGGTATGTTCAAACGGTCTCCTGAGGTTTATCATGCCTCTGCACACAACCAGAAATATTTGCAGTTCCAGCAGTAGCAGTGTGCAGGCGCTGTTCGCACCTCGGCGAGCATGCGGCGGCCCTGCGGCTGCGCGGCAGCTGCGCCGGAAGCCGCGGTGGAGGAGGCGCCCTTGTCGGCGGAGGTGAAGCCGGCCTGGCTGACAAAGTTGCGCACGTTGGCCGAGTCCTGCGATGCCGGGGGCCGAGCAGCCGCGCCGGATGCGCTGCGCTGTGCCACGACGGAGTCGGCTGGCAGCGCCGGCGCGTTGGGGCTCGGGTTCAGCCAGTCAAACGCCTGCGGCCGCATATCCCTTTTTATTTTTAATTTCTCTAGGGTTTGATTCAGGGCAAGGCGTGCCATTGCCTACTATCCCATGCAGCAGCACAATCAAGTGCACACCTACTCCACTGCCAGTGTGCACAGACTTTTATTTCGAGCAATCATTACCTGGCCCTGAGGCGCTGGGCTGACGCCGGGAGAGTCGGCCAGGCCGCCGCCAAGGGATGTCAGGATGTCCTGCGCAGCTGTTGAGCTTCCTGCCGAGTCCGTGGTGGCGGCTGCGGTGTTGTCGGTAGTGGCGGATGCAGTGTCGTCAGTTGTGGGCCGCTGCAACACTGTTCCCTGGCTGATGTGGCTCGGCGCCACCTGATTGGCCGGCTTGACGTTCACCTGCAGTCCAACGTGATGAGATCACTGCGATTCTCGGGTGAGAGGATGGTCTCAAACAAGCAACACACCCAGGGTGTGGGAACTGCATAGAAAAGGCTCCACAACATCTGCAAGAGCAGCCAGCCATTAAGCACTGGACAATTTAGGCCAAGTTTCAGGTTGCATGTCAGCTTGGAGGCGATCTTCCTCCCTGACATTTGATGCAGATTAGAATGCGCAACTGCGACTTCTGCATGGAACAGGTGGATGAATTCAGGGAATGGTTCACACTGCAATTGTTCTTGCGGCTAGTTGTCAAGGGAGGGCTTCCGGGATTGTGAAATTGTGCAAGTAGTCAAAAGCGGTTGAAGATTGATGTAAGGGAGGGAAATATGCCATGCCTCTGGAACCCTACTGTGGTAATGCCTATGAACAGCGACAAGGAGAGGCAACTGACCCTTGCCCTGGGACCAGTTTCTGCTGCAGGCAATCCCCAAAGAGAAACGGGGGCAGGGTGGGAATTAGCTGACCTGGCCGGCAGGTTGAGCGGTATCGGGTGAAGCTGCGTCCGCGGCTGCAAGATTGGAGGATGACTCATCTGCACACACATTTGCATAGATAAATAAACAGGAACTGCGATGTCAAGCCTGAGCCTTTGTCATCCCTTGCACATGCATGCTCTCTGGAAGCTGCTCACATTGCAGCTGGCCAGTGTGGCCTTTATTGAAGCCATAAACTTGATGGCCTGAGCGGCACACATAGGATGCATCCAAAAAGCTTGAGCAGGGGAGATAAAGAAGCATTGCATGCATGCAATGCAGGAGAAATTCAAGACAAATGAAAGGAATGCATACGCACATGCATGCATCCTGAAATCTGCTCAGACTCCCTGAGGCCAATTTGGATTTTGCTGAAGCCATAATCCCAATGGCCTGGCCGGTAGGTATAGGATGTCAATGCAAGAAGCCCATGCAGGGGAGATAAAGAGGCAATGCGCGCATGTGCAATGCAGGAAGTACTCAAGGCACATGGAGGCGGCATGTGCGCACATGCAGTGGCGTCCTGTGCCTGCTGCTGCGCTGGCTGCTGCACTTGGTAGCTGCCGTCAGCCGCCATCACAGCGACCTTGCAAAAAGAAGACACAAGCTTCAATTATCAAGCCACGAGCAGCAAATTGCCGTTTAGCCGTCGCATGAACGCCACGTGCCTTGCAGTGCATGCTCCAATGTTCTCTTGAACCCTTCATCTTGAACCATCAAAAGTGCGAGTCTCTGACGGAGAGGCCAAGCACCTTCTGGGGCGCGGCGTTCGGGTCGTACGGCGCCGGCGCGAACGCGTAGGCGGCCAGCCCGGCGGCCGGCGCGGCCGCCCCGGCCCCGGCCCCGGCCGTGGCCGCGGCGCCGTTTCCGGCACCGGCCTGCCGGAACTGCTGCGTGGCGCGCACGTTGTTGCCGGTCGGGTTGAGCGAGCTCACGTCGAAGCTCTGCATCGCTGCGGAGGTTGTCGCTGCGTCTGACATGCGGTTGTTCACGCGCGCGCTCTGCTGCTCCTGCTGGAACGCCGTGTCCTGCGCCGTCGGCTGGCCCTGCACCGCCGCAAGCACATTGATCTCTGTTTCCTTTGCAGTCTTGTTGAAGCAGGGTACTCTCTGTCAATGGCATGCTGAAGAAACCTTTCTTTTCCATACCAGTGCAGTAACTGATCGGTATGGCTTGCACACCAACCAGCATTCATTGTTCTCGACCATATTTGTGTCAACATGTAGCGAAAAATGACGCTACAGCAAGTGCCATTATAGGAATCAAACAGTTGAGGCACCCAAGGGATGCGATGCGGCCAGGAGACATCATGGAAATAGGTATCGCTCATTTCATGCTGGTTCTCACCGTGAGGCCGAGGGCAGAATTGAGGCGAGCTGCGTCGGCGGTGGAGGGAGTTCCCTTTGTGGCATCTGTGGGCAGGCCCAAAAGGTCGCCCGGGTTCAAGATCACCTGCGACAGCTTGCGCCCGAACAGCGACGAAAGCTGCGGCAGCGCAGCTTGGAATGAAGCCACGCTTGCCGCCGGCAGTGCGGCTGCCGCAGGCGCCACCACTGGCGCTGTCGCCGCAGCCGCGGCCTACACAGCAGAATTGAAATCAAGCGCTTTCATAGTTCTGGTCTCAGAGACTCTAATCCATAAGTGGTTGGCTTCCCTGTCAAGCAATAAGGTACCCTGTGTGAAGATTTGCCAGCCTGCGCGACTGGCTTCCCTGTGAAGCGTTAGAAGCACCGGTTGTGAAGACTTTCCAAGCTTTGCGTATGGCTCACAGGAAGGCAGCCAAATCACGCATGGAGGCTTTTTTGCACCCTAGCCCACTAAGAAACTTCCTGGAAGCTTTTTTACATTCCTCTGTTGTTTACAGCCCAAGCAGCCAATAAAACTTCACTCGCAGGGGGCACCCACCACAGCGATCACTTCGCTGGTGTCAGCCTTCCTGAAATTAGATAGATATCTCTGCCAGGTCAGCCGAAGCAGCCAATATCACCTTGCCAGCAGGGGAGGGCACTCACCGTGGCAAGCACTTCCGTGGTGTCAACAGCGGCCCATTCCACGCCGCTGGCCGCAGCCGCCGCCGCCACAAGAGGCACCAGAGCTGCCCGCACACTTGGGTTGGCCGCCAGAGCAGCCACGCTGTATCCGTTGAGTGGGTTTGACACCGCGGCAATCTGAATCGCTGTCACCAGGGTCTTGGCCGCTGCGAGCACTTCCGGATCTGCCAGTGCCAACTTCAGGACCTCGGCCGCTGCGCTGGCGTTCTGCGCTTAGCCAGCAGAATATGAAAAATCAAGCAGGACAATAAACCCTGACACACATCAAGCATGATTTCGAACTCATCAGAGGTGTGCACATTGTGTGCACTGCATTGTGTGCAATGCGCTGGCCGTAACATGCTCCTAGTAAGCGCATGTGCTGTGCCTCAATTGAGAGGCAAGCCTTTGCATGTCCTGAGCATGCGCAGGTGTTGTGTAGCAGTCTCAGAAGGCAGCAATGCTGCAAATTGAGCAGATATTTGAAAAACATTCTTTGAGGATTTCAGGTAGCAACTGCAGCTATCTGCTATTGGGTGCGAACTACAGCCTGCTAATTTCTCCTTTACGCCACTCTAAGCAGGGCACCCGTCATTGGAAAAGATCACGTTGTCGACTGAACAGATTTCAAGCGGCTGAGGAGACAGACAGTAATGTGGAGCAAGCAGGCCCATACCTTGGCAATTGGCACAGCCTGCGGCACAACTTCGAGCCAGGCAGGGCCGGCAGCGGCGGCTGCAGCCTCAATGAAGGGCACAACCGCCACCTGGACCTTTGGGTCTCCCACCAGCGTAGTCACATCGAAGGTAGAAAGCCCATTAGTAAGAGCGCTGTTCCTGACTGCCACGATCATGCCGTTGGCCGCTGCCAGCACTGCTGGGTCGGCGGCTGCTAGCCTCACGACCTCCGCTGCTGCTGTGGTATTCTGCACGAAAGAAGACAATTAACTTTTGAGCCCAGTGCTATTCAAAAGTCTAATCAATCACTGGGATGTACCCCACCACCACAAAAGTCATGAGGCATGGCTTATAGACAACAGGGGGCGTACCACAACGGCCTGAGCTTGGCAGAGGAACGACAGGGCGAGCGATGCCGCCAAAATTGTGGAGAAGGTCTTGAACGAACCCATGGCGCCAGGTGTGAGGGGAAGCTGTGTCCCTGCAGAGGGAAAGTGGACATGCTTGGAACTTCCTGAGGCTTGAGGTGGTCACTTGCCATTTAGACGTGTAATCAACTGCATTAGGAAGGAGGATGATGTGGCAGGTGTCTGCATACTGGATTCAGAGCTGACAAAAGATGTCAGACCCGCCCTATTAAACAGGCTCTCGCCAGTGCCCGACAGTAGAACTCAGTGAGAACAGGGTTGGTGATGGACCAGGTTATTACCTTCAACAGGCACAGAAAATTGTTCGCGCGCGTTTCGGGGCCCTGCCCAAGTTGCTTCCGTGACTACCTAGCACGTTCCGTCTTGCCCTGCACCTTGCGTGGAAAGACATAGTTAGAGATAACTACATAATATAAGCCTAAAATTCCTCAGCTTCAGTGTGTATCTCGGTGTACTGCCTGTACTGCCACAGGGCCTTCGCAAAGAGCCTAAAGTCTGACATGCAGATATGACTTCCCAATCCCTTGTGAAAGCCTTGTAAAAGAGCACTACCGAGAAGTAGCTGTGTGAACTTAAATAGGACTTGTATGGCATACACAGTCCAGGACCGAGTTCTGAATCTGTACTGTGCGAAAGTGATTCAAAGTTACCTTGTACAATGTGGCCTTGCCCCAAAACTTATTTATGGAGCTGTCTTGGCACTCAAGTATTATTTCACAACATGTACCGATCTGGTGGTCGCAAGAATGTCCTCTGGGAAAGCAGCACAGACACTTTCCAAACTCATGCTGCGATTCTGCAAGTTGAATTGCTCAGGCGTCCAGAACAGGCAACGCCAGAGGGGTGTCGTAATATCGAGAGGGGGGGACCTGCCGGAAACGGCAAGCTGCTCATGATCATTGGAAGCTCCTGATCTCCATTTGCCATCCATCACGGTTTGCTAGTCACGGATAGTATTCTTTCTAGCACTGACTAAATCTCTTGAGAGTAGATTTAAATAGAAATTGGGAAATCGATAGAAGCGAATTCATTATCTTGACTGCCACTGCCCGAGAATGCCCTCTCTCAAATACTGCTATGGTGACACCAATGCTGTCCGTGTTTGCATCGCTCTTGCAGCTTCCAAACGGGAGGTGGAAGTTTCCCCGACATCAGAGCCGAGATCAATCAGCTTGGAACTGGACAACAAGGCTGTTCTGACCGATCCCAATGCCATCGCTCGGTACATTGGTGAGACAGATGCACCGCACTTGAAATCCAATGCAATTTGCCTGCGCAAGAATTGCCTTGACCTGGGGAGGATCCTTCACCATCCTGAAGGGCCTGTGACTGCTGTGACCAGGAGGTACCACCCTCGTGCCTGAAGTGGCAGCCAGTGAGGTAGAGGAGTGGCTGGAAGTCGAGGAGGTGCTGCGGCATTCCCTGCCTTACAGCCTGCTGTCAGCCAACGCTGAGCTCATCCGCAGAGTCGCCAGCACAGTGGATGGCAAGGACTACCTCGTTGGGCAGAAGCTGTCCCTGGCTGACATCGCCCTGTACAGTACTCTACTGCCGGCGCTGATCAAGTACCCGGTGCGACAATTGCAAGCCTGCTCATACTGCGTTGGAATCCTTGATCTTTCCAAGTAATGAGTGTACATGCCACACCCAACACTCAGAGTGTTGATGCCAGAAATATTGCATTCCCGAGTGTTTAGAATTCACGCATGCTGGGCGTCTAACTCCGAAATCAGAGTCAGGCATCGGATCAGCCCTAAGTTGCCCGGAAGAGATGTATTATGAGTGACTGACTGAGTGACTGTTGGTGGCATCGCAGGAGGCCCTCCCACCGAGCGTGAGGCAGTATCTGGCGAAACTTGGCGCGCTAGAGCCCTTCAGCAAAGGCCTGGCTCAGGCTCTGGGGAAGAAGTCGCAGGAAAGCCTTCCTGCAGCAGCCAGAGCTCCCATTGCACCCATCCCAGGCAGGCCACATATTCTCTCCTTTACATTTATTACACGCTCAGTCTCAGCCCACATGGCTAAGTGCGTCGCAGCAACCTCTCAGTATTTTCCCCCCAGCCTTTCCCTGTCTTGGCACTTTCTCCACCAATGGCCTGTCAATCCCATGGGATCCAGGTCATCACTTTACAGTGGTCATTCACAACTGTACCCAACCATCCACAACATGTTGCATGCGCATGGTGAGAGCCAAATGGCTCTCAGTGCATGCATCATTTGTGCCAGACATCTGTAGGATGGAAGTGATTGCATGCAACTTGTAATTCTCTGGCCTTCAGCCAGATGACCTCTCGGTGGGTTGGGTCACCTAACACAGCATGCATAGCAGGTATGTGTGCAAAGAAGCGAGCCAAAGTGATCGGTTCTGGTGTGGTGTCTGCGCAGGCCAGAGGAACATTCTGATCACGAGCGCGCTGCCGTATGTGAACAACGTGCCCCACCTGGGAAACATCATTGGCTGCGTGCTGAGCGCGGACTGCTACGCGCGCTACTGCCGATCCCGGGGCTACAACTGCATCTACGTCTGCGGTACCGATGAGTACGGGACCGCCACAGAGACCAAGGTCGGAAGCCATCATGCACCGACTTGGTATCTCACTGGCTTATACAGTGTTGAGGAGCATGCAATGCTCTTGCGGTGTGATAGGTGTGCTCAGGTTGTGTGGCATCTACATGTTGAGGTCTTGCATGCAGGACTGGTGTGCGCAACAATTTGGTATGTTTGCCATCGTTCAGCACATGTCTTGTCTATCTTGCTTATCTGTACTGTTCTTAAGGTGTAAAACAGCGGCTAATGGACTTGTGGCAGCCTTTACCTGCAGCTTGTCTTCAGACGCACCTTGCCTCTGGCAGGAAAGCGTGTACTAATAACAACAATACTATATTCAGCAACAACAACATTATATTGATGCTGATGACTAATTTGGCCTGAACAGGCGCTGGAGGAGGGGCTCACATGCCAGGAGATCTGCGACAAGTACAACGCGATCCACCGGGACATCTACCAGTGGTTTGACATCGACTTTGACAAGTTTGGCAGGACGCCCACGTGGCAGCAGACCGAGATTGCACAGGTGGGTTCCAGCTCAGCTCACATTTGACAGACCAAAATGGAATGGGGGAGTGAATATGTTCAATCAATTTTGCAAGGGGCAAATTCACATTCAACATGGTTGTGGGGGGCTCTTCACATGTTCCGATTCCGATACACTTGGCTGGCAAGGGGTGACAGGACATTGCATTAGTCACTCTGCTCCTCTTAATCAGGCATGCCTGTGATGGTGCTGATATGACAGAACATCATGTTCCAATGCACAATCAAATGCACAATCAGCACAGAGACACAGCATTTTCCAACAATCTCTGCTGGTTGTTGTTTGCAGGGCATCTACAGTGTGCTGGAGGATGCAAAACAGCTGGTGGAGCAGGAGAGCCAGCAGCTGTACAGCGAGGCTGCCGGCAAGTTCCTGGCCGACCGCTTCGTGACTGGAACCTGCCCGAAGTGCGCATACGAGGTGCGCGTGCATTCTTGCCCTTCTCCCCGTAGATGCTCATGGAATAGATGGCATTCCTCTGCACATGAATTCTACACAGGTCGACATGGGCATATGGGAGCAGCATGACTCTGCACAGCTTTTCAGCTTGGCCATGCAAACTTTTTACTTCTCACAGCATCAAAATTTTACAGGGTCCGCGTCGTGCTGCATATTGGAGCTGGTACCTTATCAGACCTCAAGACTTCCGAAAAGGGCTGCAATTTTAGCTGCCCCCGAGAACCTACGCTGAACCCCTTCAAACCCCTCTGCGCAGGACGCCCGGGGTGACCAGTGCGACCAGTGCGGCAACCTGCTGGCAGCGGAGGATCTCATAAACCCCAAGTGCAAGCTGACGGGGACGGTACCAGTCCTGCGTCCCACCAAGCACGTCTACCTGGATCTGCCCTCGCTGACACCTCAGCTGCAGGCTTACATCACCTCCTCCTCCCATGCCGGCGGCTGGTCCTCCAACTGTGTGCAGGTGCGCCTACATCAGTCCCTGTTCTTTACAGGGTTTGTATGTAAGGTGATAATGTATATAAACACCCTAAACCCCAAATCAGTCCCTGTGGCTGAAAATACAGAAATGCCTTGAAGTGCCCAGCAGGCCATGAAATTTGCTGGGGAAGGGTTGCTCTTCCCTGTGCTGGCAGGCGAGAAATGCACATGCACGCTGAATAGACATGAAGCAGGCTGCAAGAACATTGCCATGATATGACAACTAAAGGCGACGAGCAGCATGTGAATAGACAATATTTGCGCCTAATTTTGAGGGCCGGCGGGCCTGTGATATGGGCAAGCTGCGACTCGCTGAAATAGCTGGCACAAATTGCCACAGAGAAGGAAAATGAGGAGACAGACCTCTGTTTCCAGATGACAAGCCGACACTGTAATCATTCAGAAGGAGCGCAGGACACCTTCACGGCCCTTCACGCATCCCTGACTTGTCCCTGCACATATGCAAAGTCAATCTCATGCCTTGTCGATCTGTCAGGCTCTAATCATCAAGATGTGCTTTGTTTCTAGAAGGAGACTTACAAGGTCTCCAAAACGGCGCAGGTGACGAACGCGTGGATGAGGGATGGGCTGAAGCTGCGCTGCATAACGCGCGACCTCAAGTGGGGTACGCCGGTGCCGCGGCCGGGCTACGAGGACAAGGTGTTCTACGTCTGGTTCGACGCCCCCATTGGCTACATCTCCATCACAGCCAACTACACCCACGACTGGAAGGTGCGCTCATAAACACCCGATAAATACCCGCAAACACCGGTAACGCCTCTTACAAAAACGCATGGGTCGAGCACCTCCATGTCTTCATTCATCTGGAGCTTGTGCTTAGCGGCAGTGGCACAAAGCTCCTGAAGAGTCTAGACTTGGAGATGCTGGATTGACCAGCGATGTTGCCAGCATGCAAAAAAATACGGTAATGTTCATGTGACATGGTGGCCAGGTTTTGACTTCCACTGTGTGCATGGATGTTGGGGCAAAGAAACCCTGCACAACCCGTGTTGATCCCATATCCAATGTGCGACTGTGGACAAGTTCTTCATAGAGGTCGCAATGGAGGTTTTGTTCATTGTTGGACATGCGATCTGGGGTGGTCTCCGGGGCCCTAGCCTTCAATGTTCGCGCAGCCTGTTTACTGCATGCATGCGCAACGCCCATGCCTTCAACATTCGATTGCCTTCCAAGCGCATGCATTAGGAGAACTTCCTCTTGAGTGAGACAGGACCCCGGTTGCATGCATTCAAACACTCATCCAATTCAAGCATTTGAATTTGAGTCCAAATGCAAAGGTCAAATTGTGCTGCGCAGGCGTGGTGGCAGAACCCGGAGAATGTGGACCTGGTGCAGTTCATGGGCAAGGACAACGTTCCCTTCCACACCGTCATTTTCCCGGCCACGCTGCTTGGCACGCGCCAGCCTTGGACGCTCATGAAATCTATCAGCGTCACCGAGTACCTCAACTACGAGGGCGGCAAATTCTCCAAGAGCCGAGGGGTTGGCGTCTTCGGCAACGACGCCAAGGACACCGGCATCCCCGTCGAGGCGCGCCCTTCTGCCATGTTGATGACCCTGATAACCATCCTAGGCACTCGCCACATGCGCGTTGATGAATTGTGTGTGCCAACCTTTGGGTGGTGAAAAGTACTAAGGGCTTTTTTCGAGGAGGTCAGGCAGACCTCCAATGCACCAAGCCGCATTTTATGAAAATCGTGTGCTTTCATCAATCAATCATCCCACATGAAACTGAATGTGACAGCCTACCTCCTGCATAGCTCATCATATCAAGCATACTAAAGAGGGAGGGTGTGATTATTGACGATGATTAAACACCCTACCACTCAGGAGAAACCATGTCCTCTACTGCAAGAATTTTCATAAAAAAGACAATGTTAGTGGTGTCAGAGTATTATGGATGACACGTAGATTAGGGAACTGTATGGAGGCACTCAGGGTGAAGAATGTGCATGCACAGGTGTGGCGGTATTTTTTGCTGAGCAACCGGCCGGAGACGTCCGACACGGACTTCAAGTGGTCGGACCTGGCCGCCAAAAACAACTCCGAGTTGCTTGCCAACCTGGGCAATTTTGTCAACCGCTCCCTCTCGTTCGCTGCCTCCAGGCAAGCACCTTGCTTCCTCCCAGCTTATTTGTAGGTCCGGCAAGCTCCCTAAAGATGAGCACGGCTTGCATCACTAGCAGAGGTCTGCAGTGATGCCGAGCGCCCAGCTTTCAGGGGTTGCCTTGACAGTCCTGTGATTCTGCGATCCTTATCTTGGTTTACACATGCAACGCAGTTGCTCAATGTGTTTGATAATCTGCAGCAGCAACTCAACAGGCTTGCAACAGCAGTAAGCAGTCGTGCATGTTGTTATCTAGGTGCAGATTTCCGTGCATCTGTACAACACCTGACTAGTGCTCAGCTGTCGTGCACCCCTTGTAACGCGCCAGGAAAGTTGCCGCATCGCAATGCACAATTTGCTTGGGTTGCGTGTCATTTGCAGGCCACATAATCTGCGTCTGTGCCGCATGAGCCCTTTTGATACATGAGGATGCTAACTAATGCGCAACCCGTGAACGCATGAGGGAAGTTGCTACAAACTAAAGGACAACTTTATTCGTGCGTCACATGGGTTGCATGTCAATTACAACTGGCAAGTTTCATCTCAATAGAAGGCCATGGCCCCTGCAGATACAGTGGCATTCATCCCAGGCTTTTGACAGCAGGCATGTACTGCTTACAGTCTGCGCGAATCGTAGGACGCCTGGATGACGGTATCAATACACAATTCTCGTGATGCGCAAGGGAAGTTGCCGCACTGCAAGGCACAACTTGGCTTGTGTGTCAGTATGAAGTGCGTGTCAATTACAAGCCGTGCAACACATGCAAGTCAGGAGGTGACGGCTGCCGATGCTGAAATGAGCATTGCTGCTGGGGCGCGAAATTGGTCCACCATGAGGCACATCTTGGCCCATGTACTGCATGAGTTGCGCGTGAATTACAAGCCATATCTCATGAGCATTGGAATTTAGGTGATTTAAGGCTGATGATGCTGCTGCTTGGATCTGGCGAGTTCATCAAGGGGCAGGTTTATGGCAGCCTTTAACTGCAGCCTTCTCTTGGCAAACAAAGGGTGTAATGATAATAACGATGCTGCTGCAGGTACGACGGTGTCATTCCTGCCGGCACAGCCGAGGCGGCGCAGCCGGCGATTGCCGAGTTGAACGGAAGGGTGGGCCCACTTGTGGAGCAGTACGTGGCAGCCCTGGAGAAGATCAAGCTCAAGGAGGGCATCCGCCTCGTCATGGCCATTTCCGCAGCCGGCAACAAGTTCTTCCAGGTAAACAAATGAAACGCCGCGCCCAATTGCTATTGCATTGTGCCTCTTTCAGCAGACCTGGCAAGAGCAGACCCTGCTTTGAGGAATGTCACTGCACTGCGCTTGTGGCAGTTTTCCCATGAAAGCGATAATTTATACTTAACTTTTCTGTAGCACCACGGCTTGGTTCTACTGACAGGCTTCCTCGATTGATGATGGCATGCATGCAGATCGGCTAGTTTGCCCCTTGCACCATTGGAGCAAACATGGAATTCCCTTAAAAGTGCATGTCTTGCTACTGACACTTCCCTCATTGCAGAGTCAGCTTGTCCAGCTGCAATGAGGAATGCTCCTTATAGAACTATTGATGGTGACGGTGACTGGTGCTAAGTTGATGATGGGCTGTCTGCAGGACACGACCCCATGGGTGGTGGTAAAGGAGAACAAGGAGCACTGCGGAGCTCTGATCAACGCATGCGCCGGCCTTTGCGTGCTGCTGGCTGCCCTGGTGGAGCCGTACATGCCCTCCATCACACGAAAGGTGCCATTCTCTTGCTGCCATCAGACGCCGTCTCTTTGGCTATAAGACAGTCCCACATACTGCCCTGCATTGTCACTGCAATGCCTCGTTTGCAAACGATGGAGCTGCAAAAGATTTGAAGTGGATGACTATCTGTGACGGCAGACTGGAAAGAAGCGGCAAAGCAATCATCAGAAATGCGTGTTTGTGAGGCCAGTTGGACCAAAACAAGGTATATTGTTTTATGCAGTGTGAGCATTATGTATGTATAATGCCAGTCGTGCTGGTAATTTCAGCGCCATTGTCTGCATGCATGCTTGCAGGTCCTAGAGCAGCTGAAATGGGCGCCCGAGGACGCGAGGCTCAGCGATGGGCTCATTTCTAAGGCGGGCGCAGTGCACACGATTGTGCCGGAAGGACACCATATGGGGCAGCCGCAGGTTTGCACTCCCCACAGCGCTGCTTCTTTGCATGCATCAGCAGAAGGCTTCAACGCTCTACATTAATACTTGCTGGATATTGACGCCAGCACCTGAGGATAGAAATCCCCCTTGTTGCCTTCTGGATGTTCATTGTGTGCATGATTGCTGCCAGATGACATGACGAGCTGAGATGCGCCGACAGGCATCTCACATATAGGCAGTAAGGGTTGACTGAATTGTCACATGCCGGCAGGTGCTGTTCCGCACCATCCCCAAGGAGGAGGAGGAGGCGCTGCGCACGCAATTTGCCGGCAGCCAGGCCGACCGCGCATCAGGGGCCGCATCCACTGGCGCATCGGCCGGCGCTGCCGCGGCCGGCAGCGCGCAGAGCAGCGCTAGCAGCAGCAAAGCCCCTGGGAAAGGTGACCATTAGTTATTCACTACCGTAGAACTTTCATTTTCTCAGCCACAAAATCCTAGCAAAAAGGCAGCCAGGCCGACCGCCTGTCGGCAGCAAGCTTTACCGGTGCGTCGGCCGGCGCCGCCGCTGCCGAGTGTGCGCAGAGCAGCGCCAGCAGCAGCAGAACCCCTGGGAACTAGACATAGTCACGTCAAGGGGACTAGACGTGCAAGTCACCTTGGTGAGTCAGAATGCAAGTGAGCAGGCTACCTCCACAGCTTCTCTCCGGCTGTGAGAATCTGAATATGGGCCAGTTGTCTCTAGGTGTGGATCCTTGAATGTTCACCTTTCCCAGCAATCCTTCAACTTTTTCTCGCTGGTTGCACTCCAGCAGAGGAGTTGCATCTTTTTCACCAACTGTTTTCCCTCCTTTGCTGTACAAATAAAAAGAGAGTTCCATTAAATGTCTCCTCCTGAGGGCACGTCAGCCAGAATGCACCGTACATGACGTGCTCTCCCAAGGACTGGACTGGAGTTTGCATGCTGCATCTTGCTTGCGACAGGACAAAAAGCACTCGCGTGGTTTTCAGCGTCTACAGGCATCAGTGTACTCTCAGCATCTCAAGTGCTCAGAAGAGAACCTGTCAGTCCTTGTCAACTGGTATAACAGTGACACAGGGTGGTAGTAGTGCTGCTTGCATTATCTCAGCAATTGTGCACTATGTACAGGGGGCAAGCAGAGTGCCGGCAAGCCGGCAGCCGCGCAGCAGGCGAACGGCGTACCGCCAGCAAAGGGTGACAAGGGCGGCGGCAAGGGGAAGAAGGCGGACGCGCGGCCGGTGGACCTGTCTCTGCTGGACCTGCGAGTGGGAGTCATCCGGAAGGCGGAGCGCCACCCGGACGCAGATTCACTCTACGTGGAAGAGGTGGACTGCGGAGAGGCGGAGCCACGCACCGTGAGTGTTTTCTCTGCCACTCTTTTATCTAAATCTTGCTTTTAGGGGGGTGTCTCACAGATGTACATCGGTCCCCCTGCGCCTGTGAACATCACATGAGGCCTTGTTTCAAAGCAAGCTTTCCTGGGGCATGTGTTTTGTGAATACAGCACGCCGATCACTTAAATAAGCAGACAGGGATGGTCAGGCCCAGAAGCCTCCTCTGTTGCATGCATGCATGCATGCACGTTGCTCAGCGATAATCTGCAGCAGGGCACGGTTGAAGTGCTCCACATTTGCAGTGTTGCAGATGTCCTGATTGGCTGCATGACATCCTGATGTCAAGGCAAGTTTTCCTTTAATTGGAGTCAGAAGAGCTCAGCTGGAGATGCCGTTATGGCCCTGTGGCATTTAGGACTGGACAGAGATAATCACAAGAATCGAACACCAAGCATTGCTGCCTGGGTGCAGGTGGTGAGCGGGCTGGCAAAGTTCATTCCCCTGGAGGCCATGCAGGGGAAGAGAGTGGTTCTGGTGGCCAACCTCAAGCCTGCCAACATGCGCGGTGTCAAGAGCCAGGCCATGGTTCTCGCTGCCACCTCCCCCGATGGCACCAGGGTGTGTTTCACTCTAAAATCAGAAGCATCTCTCACAATGATCTCTACTCCCAAATCATTTGATACCACCCTCGAAGAGACGCATCTTTGAATTCTAGTCCTGTGTCTCACAGATGACGTGTTGCAGAAATTAAGGCCACTTAAGGGTTCAGGACGATTGTAGGAGCGTTCGAATGTGCAATGGTCCATTCCTAATAAACTCCCACGATGGGACCGTTCCGCACCAGAATGCTGCTGGAATTACCCAGCATTGCGCTGCACTTTAGGTTTGAGAAGTTTGTGATTGTTATGCATGGTTCTCTGACGCAGCTTCTTTGCACAAATCTCGTATGCAACATATAGCAGCTCCTGAGCATGGTTGCTCTAGTGAAACTGACAGCAGCTCCTCTGCATAGTTCTCTGATGCAACAGACAGCAGATATTTTGCATGCTTCTTTACTGCAACAGACAGCAGCTCCTTTGCATGCTTCTCTAGTGCAACAGGTTGCAGCGGTTGAAGTTTTGTGTTTTCTCTTATGCAGGTTGAGCTTGTGGAGCCTCCGGAGAGTGCAGCGCCCGGGGAAAGAGTGACAGCAGATGGATTCGAAGCAGAGCCCGAGGAGCAGCTGAACCCCAAGAAGAAGCAGTTCGAGCAGATACAGCCCGACCTGCTCACAAATGCTGACTGCCTAGCCTGCTATAAGGGGCTGCCCTTAAAGTGCAAGGCCGGCCCCTGCAAGGTTGCCTCTATTGTTGGCGGGGGCATCAAGTAGGGCGCTTGGATATTATATTGAGGGGCTTGATCTTGAGAATTTTCGTTTTTGGCCAATCGACTTCACGTCGATTTGCCTTCGTGATACACTTGGCTTGACGAAGTATTGAATCAAAGCCCCTGAGAGATGAAACCAATGGTGATTGGGCACAACCCCATCGGGTTCGAGTGGCCTCACGGCCACTGCGGATTTCAGCTTTCATGCACCTTCATGCATGCTCTGCCACCCTCCGTGCGCATATATATAAGGCCCCGGCTGGCGGGGGGGGGGGGGGGGGGGTGGTATAAATACTAAAGCACCGTGCCCACGTTTGATTGGGTCTTGCTTGGATCTGGCGAGTCCATCAAGGGGTAGGATTTTGGCAGCCTTTACTGCAGCTTGTCTGCAGACGCACCTTGCTTCTGGCAGGAGAAGCGTGTAATAATAATATAATGATATATTATTATATATATGTCAAGAGGACGGCCTAGAGAGGAAAAGATGGTGAATGCATCAAATTCTCATGCACATGAATGGCGCGCCGGCCCTCCGTGCGCATAAAATATTCGCCGGATCACCGCCGATGCGCATGCACCGTACGTCCTTCAACTCTGGTTTAGCGTTCCAGCAACCAGGCTTCTCCAGCCAGAAGGGATTTATTCTCTTCAGTGAGCCCGTGATCACTCGTGAGCATGCATATTCGCTCAGCAATCAGAGGTAGTTTCTTCAGAGTGACGCTTTCACAGAGCAAGCTTGAAGGCCCCAATAACCTCTAATTATGCGTGTCACGCTGTATCTATTGGAAGTTAAATGTTACATAATTGGCATAATGATGAAGGAATTACCTCAGACACCAGATTCAAACGCAGAAGCTTCCTACTTGCATTATCTAAGTGGCTGCATAGTATACATGATGTTCCCTGGTTTCTGAGGAACCCCGATTTCCCGATTCTGATGACAATCTGCTGAGCCTAGAGAAAGGCTGGCCATCCTGATCTATCCTGGATCCCTTTTCACCAAACTTGCAAACTTTTGCTTTCAGCGCTGCAAGCTCTACATGCACCTTCCTCAAAATGCATCAAGGCACGAGATTCTCAGTGCCCACAAGGTATTGTAGTTCATGATGGGACGTCCCAGCTGTCATCGCCCGAATTCAACTCCTTGCTCTCGACAGTTTCACACCCCTCTCTTAGAACCACACCCTTCAGCGCCTCGCGCAGCTGCCCGCTGCTTTCATTTTCTCCCTCACTGTACGCATAAACCCCCGCGCCCTCCACAACCGCGCCCCACAGCTCAGCATCCATGCCAAGCTCGTTCCCCCGGGTTCCGGCGGCAGCAGGACCCCCGGCGGTGGCCGGGAGGTCCTCTTCCTCTGGGAGGGGGGTCAGCTCCGAGGTGTCCATGGCGGCCAGGGTGGCATCGTCGTCCTCAGGTGACTCCCTGCATGCATCGAATGAGTAAGGCCTGAGCTTTGTCAAGGTCATTCCACTTAAACAAAGCAGACTGCACCGTAGACTACAGACCCACTTGCCGGAACATGCTAGTGCACTTGTGTGTACCATACCAGGCTGCGCAGTGAGCAGCATGTGGATCAAATTATACCCATCTGCATGTGCACCCATGTGAATCAAGTTGTACTGCAATGCACCTATCGAGGCTGACTAATTAAAGCCAAGGCTGCCAGGAATTTTGAAGTCTCGTGACATTATGTGCAGGGCTTAAAAATGTGATGTCACAGGGCAGGGACTCACCAGGGGCACAGCGGCAGAGAGTTGGCGGTCGCGAATGCGCCGTGATCTCGCACCCATCGGACCCAGCCGCGCCAGCCGCCGTCCGATGAAAGTGTGTTGGGCGATCCCACCACCACAAGACCCCTGCGCGCATCAACACCATTGCCTACAATATCTGCATGTCCCTGGAGTCGGGCTTTTGCAATTCCAGAAGAACCAAGGGAGGCAGGCCATGCGGTCCGGCCCTTCAGAGAAGGAAAGACCACATGCAACTGGAACAACGAGGGCTGCCGGAAGACTCTCCCTGGTAATGAATACCCAGATGCAGCATGCCTCAGACACACCGCATGAGAGCAATACAAAGAGTCGGTATGAAGAAGCAGCAGGCATGCCATTTGCAGGCAGATGCTTCCAAGGGGAATTTGTCTGCCAATATTGGAGCATATACTGTATTGCCTAATTGGCGATCCGTACCGGCGCGGGCGGGTGATCGCAACATTGAGGCGGCGTGGGTCGGCAACAAAACCGAGGCTGCCCATTTCGTTGCATCGCACCGCGCTGAATACAATCACATCTGCTTCCCTCCCCTGGTACCCATCCACTGATGACACAGTCACCTGCACACCCATGACTCATCATGTCACTGTCACTTTATTTCATTTTCTAAAATAACACCGCGTCACCGCGTAAATACTGGAGAACATGTTTTTTTTCCAGAACAACTATGTTACATGCATGTCCAATCCATGACATATGGGCAAGATGGGCAACAAGTGGCATCTCAAGATGCAGATGAAGCAAGAGACTCCCAGTGCTGTCTAAACGTATACCCAGGATAAAGGAGTCAAGCACCACTGTTACAATAAGGCCGCCGCCTTTTTGCCAAACTCTACGAGGAACAAATGCAAATGTCAGGAGAGTGTGACACTGCATGCGGTGAGTCATGCGGTGAGTCAGCGCACCTTGTCGTAGAGGGCGCCGCCCTTAGACTTGAGGATGCTGCGGATGAGTCGGACCTGCCCATTGTACGGAGTCAGCACAGCGGCGCTCTCTGCATCGCCCGCTGTCATTAGTGCGACCACCGCCCTGCGCCAAAAATTCTCTAGGTAACCTAACCGCACCGCACCACAATCATTATTCATTTAGGCTCACATTTGGCATGCAGCGCATCGCAACCCTCTGCCCCAAGCATGAATGTGAATAAACCAATCAATCACAACTTATCGATCCCCAAGTTCTTAGCATTGCTGCGCCTTGCAGAAGGGGTGCAAACAAAAAAGGAAACCAGTGACGTGCCTCCATTGTCGAAACAGGAGATTCCAGTGACAACTGACCGAATAGAATTCAAGGGGCTTTGCAACAGGTTTTGGTGGGGAGGCGTACCGCACGGCGAGGATGGCTTCCTGCTTGTTGAAGTAGGAAGACCCGGTGTTGGCGGCTGCGGCGCTTTCGGCGCCCGGCTTGGCCGGTGATTTCGCCTTAGTGACTCCAATACTGCCGGTCATGGAGCGCTCTTCGAGCCCTGTTTCGCACTCCACCATCATCACTGGACAGCCCGGGTTGGGCCACGCCAGCCCTGCGGGCAACACAAAAAGCAGGTCATTCTTTGCCATGTTTCTGTCATGTGCCCTGTTTCACCTGTTTGTCATCGGCATTCTTATTGACAGCTTCCTGAAATCTGAAGTCTAGCCCAATATGCTGCAAATGCAAGTCGATATACCCTTGGCAAGCATGTCATGTGTGTATGCACAGCACCAAGCAGCACCAGCACCAGCACCACAGCAGCACCATTCAAGTAGGCGTCTGTCAGTGGTAAAAAGGGCTTCTCGTCTGCTGGCTCTATTCCGCAATGCAGCTTCTCACTTCAGGTCCGCCAAACTCAGCGTAGGATTCAATGGCATGCAAGATACAGAGAGTGAGGTCAAATTTCCACCAAGATTTGTAGTAAATCTGACATTGTCAGAGGTGATGAATGGTGATCAGGGAGCACACCTTGGGGCAGGGGCCTCTCCTCGGCGCTGATGCCCGTCTTAAGCTTGCCCTGGTAGAAGCGCGCGGATGGGAATTCTGCGATGAGCGGGTGCATGCGGTACTGCATGTCCAGCAGCACTGGCCCCAGGCCTGTACACAAATACACCACTACGATGCATTAGTGCAAATTCTCTCAAAAGTCTCCTGACACCCAGAGCGTCAAGCAGGTTACTTTACGCCAGGCCCCGCTTATTTCTATATGCAATATACAACCAAATATTATACATTATCAGAATTTGCGTTCCTTGCAGGGCCCTCACATGAGCAGATACAAAAACGAATGACTGACAGGAATACAGAGACAGAGACAGAGAAAGAGACCAAAACAGAGTCAGAGACATTGACGGACATGGATAGGAGGTTCCAATATAAGCAAGGGAAGTGCCCTGTGCACATCAGCACGCATGCAGAAGGGCAACACTAGTCTGTCTCTGTCCTTTTCTCTTCACACTCTCGCTAATCCTGCCAAGCTTTGGATCTTTCGTGTCTTAAATTTGGCTTGTCTTGGCCATGCGTGTTCCAATTTCAACCAAGCTTCATATAAAATGTCCCTGGACACTTTAAGCAGGAGGAAGAACATGGACTTGCATGCCAGCACCTCCACGGTGATGCATGCATTGCTCTAGGTGCATGCAGTGGTCACGCGGGGTGTGGCTTGTGCTATTTCTGTCTGTTTGCAATGTGTGTATCTGCAAAATTGCCACTTCCGGGGCAAATGTATACCCTTGAAAATCTTATTGCCCAACTCTCACTCTTGTGCTTGGAACCCAGGGGGGGCGCACACCTGACTCCTGCAGGCGATCAAAGAGGGTGCGGTCCAGCTGAGCATCCAGCGCCCCCTGTGACTGCAGCGTCGGCGGCAGCTGCTTCGGGTCCCCCGCCATCACCACACATTCAGCACCCCTCACCTGCCAGGACAGATCAAGTCCTGTCATCCCCTCTGTCGTGCTTATCTTTTTTTGGAAGCCGGTATAGTGTTGAAAGCATGTTTGATACTTGTCCTCCTTACGGGTAGGCCATAAGCTGAATATCTGCACACTTCTTCCTGACCATATATATCAGGCTAGAGACAGCCATCACGCCGGTATTGGGAAGCTGCGCAAGAGCACTGAAGTAAGGCAACTCACCCAACAGCAGAGTTGAGGTGCCACAGTATGAGACATGTTCTCAACACAGCCATGAGGCATTTTGCATGCTTCCAGGATTGCTGAATTCTGCGTGGAAGGTCTTTCCATATATGAGTCCTGAACAGTGGGGTGTGGCTAGACGCCATCCTTGCAAAGGCTTGCAGTCTTCAAAGACTGGCCCTCTGTGCCTCAAATTTTCACTCTCCCTGTCTCATCCCAGCTGCAGCATCTTGCACTAGAAGTAGGGAAGCTTCAGGCTTCCCTACTGGGCTGGTAAACCATGACTTGAGAGTTGAAATTGGGAGTATATTCAGCGTCTACTACAAAAATGAGTGTGCGCACCAGGGGGATGATGTTGGAGGGTTCTGTGGCCTGAGTGGCCTCGTCGACAATGACCATCTTGTAGCGCGCAGTGAAGAGCCGCTGATCATCCCCAGCCCCCGCGCACGTCGCGCACACCACCTGCAGGGCAATCCCCATTCAATTTTCGAATCCAAATTCGAACCCAGATTCAAATGCACTCCAGAGACACATTCCAGATCTTCAAGCAGCCCAGAACACCGAGCACAAGACATACATGCAGGCTGCACCCTTCACAATATAGCAAACTGTAGCAGAGCAAACAACCCTTCAATTTTTGATGTGCAAGCCCTCCAGTGCACAGCATTGCAAGCCTCTAGGCAGCCCGGAACACCAATCACAACACAATCATGCATGCTGCACCCATTGAATGGTGAAGCATTTTGAAGTAGCCGCTCGAGCGAGATCTGTAGAGCTCTACAGATCTGCAATGGCCCGCTCGTCTGCACGGTAGCTACGAACGGATCTAGACAAAGATCCCTTTCCTTGAGCTGACCATACCTCAAGTATACTCAAAAGAACGGGGAGTCTCGGAAGACTGCTGGACTGTTTATTTGCAGCAAGCAGCAGCAAGGTGCAGCAGTACTTAGTCATACCTGGCTGTCGCGCAGCACGGATTCGCCAGCGGCTTGCACGAGCTCATTGGCTTTCTGCCAGAGCAAATTCCCCTTCTTTTTTATCTCCCAAAGAGCATCCCGCTGGTCCCTCGGCAGCGCCCGGTCCCTCTGCGCCGCGTAGCCGCCGCGCTCGCGATGCACCTGGAAGAGCTCCTCCGCCCGTTGCCGCAGCTGTTGCGCCTGCGGCAGCCAAACCGGTTTCCGCTACTTTGAACTGCAAATTTGACGGAAATATTTGAAATTTCAAAAACGCCGCCTCTCAATTGTCCAAGAAACTCTGCATGGGGAACTGCTGGCTGCTTTCTCAGCACGCCACTGCAGACGCATGCCTCTTCTTTATACCGACTTGTTTCTTTATTCCTGCAATCGTTCAATTTGTGCATGCAAGTCCCTGAGTTCGATTGTTTCGCTCACAAGCAAGGCAGCAGGTCTCAATTTCCAAGAGGTGTACACGCATCAAGCGGTCATCAGAGCGATCAGCGCCTACGAAAGTTCCGGTGTTCCCAGAGGCATCATATGCAATTACCGCTGTGACGGCCGTTTGGCAAAACAGCCTGCAGCAATCGCTTCACCAGCAGCAGATTATGAGATCTTTCACCTGCTGGCCTTCGGGCGTCTGCAGGGCCTTCCCTTCCAACGTGGCATGCCGCACTCCCTCCCTCACCTGCAAGCCACCAGCCTCAAATCTCATCATGCTTTTCCTCCCAGGCAACTCCAGCACCACGCCGGCAACTTGCAGTCCTCTGTAGCCATCTTGTTACCGCACAGAAGATCAGTCACCCAGCCTTTTGATCTGATCCTGTTGATCTGAATACACTGCAACTGGATACTCTGCCGCTGGACCCCAAACACGGTGACTGACTAGCTTTTTTATACCAATTCCAAAAAAATATTAGGCTTTTGGCAGTCTTCAACTCGAGCTTGTCTGCAGGCGCAACCTGCCTCCTACCAGGAAAAGACTGTCATGACAATGAACTTTGATGATAACAAACCACAAAAAGATTGCACCCTGGCAGGCTGCCTTCTGGCAGCAACAGCGTGTAGTAATAATACTAATGATAAGAGACACAGAAAAGGGCGCACCTTGGCTGGCTGGCCCATGCGCGTGACGTTGATGCCGCGCGCGAGCAGCCCTTCCACGATGTTGTCCGTGGCCGCGTTGGTGTCCGCGCACGCCAGAATCGGGCCCATCATCGCCGCGCGTTGGGGCGTGCCCGAGATGCGCGCCAGGATCTCCAGCAGCGCCAGCAGCGTCCGCGTCTTGCCAGTGCCGGGCGGACCCTGCCAGCATGGCAGCAGCATCAGCGTTTGTCAGAAGTTGTGAGCGTTGTTGTCAGCTAGATACTACTTCCAGACCTGCTCCAGCTACTGATCGTCCAGAAAAGTCAGATCCGTGCGGCATTGCTCCCCCTGTAAATCTAGGACAGAAAACTTGACTGGCCCCTTGGAAGACATAAGTCATTGAAATAAACAGAAATCCACGGAAAAAGTGAACCATTGCAGAAAAGACAGAGTTGCTTCGCTGTTGCCAAAAAAGTTTCTTGCAACAACTACGGACATCCATGATGCTGGCACTGGGTTAATTGGTACATCGTCATGCGCTGCCTTTGCATGGACATGTCGACACTGGCGGATACAGTTGCTCAGTGCCAGGGCATGGCAACTATTTAAAATTGGCACCATTGAAGGGTCAATAATCAGCGCACCTGCCAGAGGGTGAATGTGGATGACATGGCGGTGGCGATGGCTCGCTGCTGGCTCCTGTTCAGGCCGTCCAGGGAAGCCAGCACCTCGCGCGCATCCTTGCGCCAGCTGTCATCACTGCACCACGCCACGCCAAGCCAGCATCAGCCTTAGTCGCCTGGCAACCTTGTACAAGGGATTACATGCAGTACTGCAGCGTGCATCTGCATGGCTGCTGCACAACTGCCCCCATCCCTGTCGGCCCTTGGAGACTATCAAATTTTTCGAGCACCAGTGCTTGGCTGGCCAAGCAATCTAGCAAAGACACATCCATGCTTCCCCATCCTTGCAGAAAAGCATGGAAGTCAGAATTGCACGTGCCGGAGATGACCAACTGCAGCGCGACAATCAAGTTCCAATAAGCTTGAGACCCAGCGCTATATGAGGTCCCACACCTGGCCCAAGCAGGGGGGGTCGATGCGAGGGTAGGGGAAGCGGGGGAGCCAAGCACAATTTTCCTGACACGTTCCTCGCCGATGCGGAAGCTGCGTAGCAGCTGCTCAGCAGGTGTGTCTCCGCCTGCGCCGCGGCCCAGCACGGCGCGAACCTCCTGCAGCTTCTGTTCGGCTTCCCACGGCCGGTCCAGGTTGTATATGGCCTGCCCGCCACCCATGTAATCCCCCTCAGCATACCTCTCCCACACGTAAAGTCTTCCAAAACACAATTAGGATGCATGCCATCAGGTTTTCATAGGAACCCTTGCTTCTCTTGATCTTCAGCAAATACCTAGCACTGAGCTCGTCACAGAGGCTTTGCTCCACAAGCAAGCAAGTCCACCTATACTGCTCTGTATTGTTGATAGTACAGCAAAACTTCAATGCCACAGAAATTGGGCCGTGAGCCTGTGCTTCCCAGGCAACATTACATAGGCACTGCCCCAAGGGTGGAATAAGGAGGCAAAGAAGCGCGCACCTTGACTCGTTGAGACTAGCGCAGCCTTTCCAGGACACTAATTCTTGGGTTTTTGCTTGCAAGTGAAGATTGAGGAGGCACCAATCTAGGAGTGGCTGGCGCGGGTAAGCAAAAGACACACCTTGAGCTGGCGCTGGAAAGTGGTCTCTGGGGAGTACTTGTCCATGCGCCACACACTGTTGGGAGGGCACTCCTCCATTCCGTCGCTGGCCGCGCGAGAAAATGCGATGCGCAGAAAATTCCGCCGGATCTCCAGAATCGTGCCCTCGAACGACTGGTAGTCGTCCATGGTCTATTTGCCCCAGAAAACTTATTCATCGTTGTGTGCAATCCATGGCGTTGCAACATCATAACAATAAATTACCGTTCCTCTCAATCCATGGTCAGATAACCCGGAACAACTACTTATCTTTGCATGCATTCCATTGTCTGGGAGCCTCAGAAATATCCCCCATCATTGCATGCACTCCAGTTAGATGACATCCTGAACCCCTTCTAGCCCGGTAGGTCTGCCCAGCATTCGTAGAGTTGGCTGCCATGCCCAGGCGATTGTAGCACGAGAGGGGCAGCTGTCATATAAATAGGTACTGTGCCAGTGAGGCAATGGCGTGCATGTCAGCAGCAAGACCAGATAAAAACTATAAGTGCATGAATATGCTCTCACCGTGCCACGAACGGCTTCGGGTAGCTGCCCGTCCTGCATGGTCCTGACCAGCAAGATGCCATCTCCCTGGGAAAACCTGCACATTGCGAGCCCACCCTTTTTTTTCCTTTAATCCGCGATGTTTTGCCCTGCCAAAGAGTCAAGCCTTATTTAAGCATGCACCACATGGTTATGCATCTGGCCAAAGAAAGCAATGGCAGACATGCAAATTTAGGTTGAATCTTACTGTAGAGAAATGAAGGTTTGGTGTTTTTCAAAGGACACAAATGCGCCTCCCCCGCCCGCTAGAAAATGCAGAGACCACTGGAACCCATTGGGGGTCGGCATGGCCTAGTGCTCTGCTTAAAAACACCTCAATGTCAGCACTATTGGACAGAGATTTGTTGCAATCGTGCGGCAATGTGCACCTGTTGTAGGGCAGTTCTGGCAGCTCAGGAGCGCTGTCAGGTGCATCCTGGCCCTCGTGCTGGTTCTCCTGCGTTGGCCTCTCTGGGACCATCTGTGGGTTGAGTGTGAAGCGCCACACCACGTTGCTGTAAAGGCGTCCGTCCAGACTGCCCACAAGATTTGTGAGAACGTTGCCTGACGCCTTCAGCTGCCGTGTGCTCGACCTGCCCAGCGAGCAGATCACTCTTACATGCCTAAAAGATTTGTCTTTCTGTCGCACCATTTTTTTAAAAATTGTACAGAAAGCTTCCTTCAACCCTTTTTTTGAAGGTTCAAATCTTGGGAAGTAGTTTCGTTGGACACCTACCTATGAAACCTTCAAAGCAGAATTGAATCTTGTCATGTAGGCCTTGCCACAACAAGCAGGTGCATAGAGAGGAGAAGCCGTAGCATCCCTTTCCAGGCAGTGTATCAAATGTTGCAGGTGAATTCTGTACATGTGTTGTTCTTGGCAGGGAGTGTCACCTTCTGTACAGTCGCAGGATAGCTTCCTTGGTGGAGTCCAACTCTGCCTTGACTCCCAGCACCAGCCGTGCCTACAAAACAAAGCCCCCTTCACTCACCGGCCAACCTACAAGACATCCCCATACAGAACCCAGGAATGAAGCTGCCTCTTTGCTCATGCGCATAGTCATGCAAGGTCCCCAAGCACACTCAAATGAGCCCAGGGGAGGCCAAGCCACGCCGTGTCATGCCTCTGCACTGACAGGCGCAACACCTGCATCTTTGCTGACGCTTGAGCAGGTTCCCAAGCACACACATTGATGTTAGGCTTCATACTTTTTCAGGCCCCCCAGACGTGGCTGCGGACGCCTGCGTGTGTGCCCTGTGGCCTTTGGCTTTCGATTTGCCAACCGTCAATCATGATAATAATAACGCACAAGTCACAAAGGAGAGCCAGGCAGGATGACAACCCACCTGCAGCTTCCTGGCAGCTCGCAGGAAGTCCTGCTCGGGGTCTTCTCCACTCTGCGCGCTGGACTGGGCCTCCAACTCTTCCCACTGCTGAAGCGCAGTTGCCTGCACTTGTGAATACTGCTTCCCGCTGATAATATCCACAGACCCCTCGTCCTCCTGTTCAGGCTCGTCCCACCCCCTGCCATCCTCCTGCATGGCGGGGGCCTCTCCCTGGTCCCTCGGAGAGTCCCCCCACCAGCCACCACCCCAGTCCCCCGCAGTCCCCTCGGCCGAGGCCCAACCACCGCCACTGCTGCCGCTCTCGCTCCACTGGGACCCCCCTCTGCCGCCTCGGTGAGCCGGTTCCTCCCTGCGGCGGCCCCGCCCGTTCCTCTGCACCCCCCGGTCGCCCCCACCTGCAGTCCAGCTTACTTGTCATGACCCCAAACCCATCCAGCCCAGTGTCAGTCTCATGTCCCTGCACTGTCACTCAACCTCAAAAGGATGTGGGCATTGAGAATATATCTCAGCAATTACACAATTTGTCAAGAATGCGACAGAGCATCTGTCAGGGCGCCAGAAAAGGTTTCTAGGACTGTGCGAGGGGCCAGTGTACCTCTGTTGCTGTAGGATTCCCTGCCTCCTCCTCCTGTCTGACTGCTGTCCCTGGGAGTTTCCCCTGCCGACGCCCAGCCGCCGCTGTTCGCCGGGCCGGGCTCGGGAAGGTCCGGCAGATCCGCTGGAAGCTCTGCGTCCCACCTGACAGGGCCTCGCTTGCTGCCGCCCTCCTCCTGCCGCATGCAAACATCGCTATAACTTCACTATACTCAATTCCTACTTGTCTGCAAGGCAGGAAAAGCGTGTAATGATACTAATAGTAGCTGCCAGAGGTAAGGTGCATCTGCAGACAACTGCATGTAAAGGCCGCCGCAAATTGCAGCACCTTGATGGACTTGCCAGATCCATCGAGACGCAAGCAATCGTGGGTACGCTGCTTGATGGTTTTACCGGCCCCCGCCAGCCGGGGCCATGCAGACAGATAGCTATGCAAGAGCAAATGTCCTATGTCAGGGAGGCTTGCGCACACTGCTGTTAATCCACCCATCTAGACACACTCAATGTGGGTGCAGAGGCAAGACAGAGAGCAACACGAAATGGCTTCGTTCCTATAAGGCAGTATTATGGTCCGCATTGCACAGAGGCACCCACCACGGGGTCAATCAGGCCCTCCCACCAGCTGCCAGGATCAGCCTGGCCAACTTCTGCATCCCCAGCCCAGTCATCCCACTCCTTTGCTGCAGCTGCTTCTGCATCGCTAGAGATTGCTGACCAGCTGCCGCCATCCGGTGCCCCATCGGACGCCATTTCCGACGGCTGCATGGGTGGCTCGCTGGTGCCCTCTTCAGGGGTGCTGGCACTCGCATGCATGGCTTCAGAAGCTGCCATTGCTGCAGGGGCTTGAGGGTCCTCTGTTGGGGGGGTCCAAGGGCCGTGAATGATGTCCCAAGAGGAGTTGCTGGATGCTGATGGCTCCTGGTCTGAGAAGAGGCTGTCCCAGCTGGTGGTGGCTCCAACCACCCGGCGTGCTGACAGGACCTGGCACTGCCTTCGCATTGCTCTGGATCCTCGTCGAGCACTGCCTTCTGAGCCCTGGCATCCCCAAGGTTGCTCTGTCAGCTGTCAGCTGAGAACAGCCCTATCTTCAACATATAAGCATTTGCTCCAAAATTGCGTACATATATATCGGCTTGATCTAGCAATAAAGAACAGACGTGCTTGCAGACAATACAGCAACTCTAGGCCTAGTAGCTAGCTTTACCTGCGCTACTATCCTTCTTTGCAGGGGCCATCTTGACGACGCCGGCACTCTGATAGGCAATGTGGAGGAACCCAGAAGGTTTTTGCAATTCCCCAAAGAGCAAGACATCCTAGCCAACGTGACAGAAATTACATCTCGGTTTCGGAAATATAGCTCCTATCTGCTCAGAGCAATTTATGACTTATAAAATCGGCACGATATAACTGCCTCCAAATAACGTTATAAATACAGTATTACGTTTTATATAGGAGTAGGAAATCGTTCTTCTGCTCTGAAAGAAGCGATAGATGGGCCGTCAGCCTGCTGGTCCAGCGTGGCAGGGCTTGCCTGACGGCGTCCCAATCAATCCAAGAATGTAGTAAAATTCTTTATCGATTTGACCATATTTTCCTTCAATAAACTGTAGTAACATTCTTTGGAGGCCAATAGCGTGCATGCCGTCCACACCCGAGGATGTTCTACGATCTTTGCCTGCAAGGTGATGATGTAGATTCCTTTCTACAGAGGGACCGTGTTGCTATGGCCGTGCGCCTCGGAATTGATTGCGTTGCAACAGCGCATATCGTGAACGATCGCCTCATCGACAAAGACAGGTGCGGGAAACAACAATTGCCAACACATTTGCTGGCATGAGCAGACAAAATGGACCTCTAAGATGCTTCAGGAGCAGTGATAAGAAAGATCCTCTCCCATTTCTGCCTATTATGGCAGGTACAATTTAAAATTAGTGGCTTAGCTGGGCAACTTGTCCAGAGCCTAGTAGAAGAAACGTCCTGGACCTCTAAGTCACTGAGACTCCAGCCAAGGCATCGTGTGGTCACAGGTGCACACAGCAGCCGCTGGAGGCGGCAACCCTGGCAGCTGCAGGGCCTGGCGTGGCCGAGGCGCTGCGCTCGCAGCAGGGCCTGACCAGGAACGGAGGGGCGGCTCCTCGGCAGCTGGCGCAGGTCAGCCGTCTCACCATTGCTCTCGAGGAAGCGGCAACCGCCGCGCAGCTTCTCGGCGCGGCCAATCCTATCACAGCCTCCTACGACGTGCTCGCCGTGCAGCCCCTCTCGGAGCGCGTGTTTCAGCAGGTGCCCCTACACATCATGCTCTCCTTCACCTCCTGGCCCATTGATGCATGCAGACCAACAGGCACACCACTGAATCTCCTCCTGCCTTGCTCATGTTTTATACGTGTGGCAACTTGAGATGGGCCGCATGTAGGCATTGCTTTAAAACTTGTATAACTTTCTTAATCTACATGTGAACTTGGTTGTTTCGATCTCCCTGGCCTGTATTTCTGCTTTTCGATTTCGATTTGGGGGGGCCATATTCTGGCGCCCACTCATCGTCGGCATCACACGGTACTGGGCGGACTAATAGAATTCCAGGGGGCTTGGCATGCAAGGAACACAGCAGCCAGAGCGGGTTGCTGGGATGAGAGTGCATGTGGCAGGTGTGCAGGCGTGCGCGGCGCTAGAGGTAGACATAATAACGTTTGACATGGCGCGGCGGCTGCCCTTCCGGCTGCGGCCGGGGCCGTTGCAGGCCGCGGTCAAGCGAGGCCTTCACCTGGAGATCTGCTATGCGGCCGCCCTGCGCGATGAGACCTCCCGCCGTAACTTCTTCTCCAATGCCTCAGGTGCGGTGCCACCTGCTTGGCACTTGTTAGGACCCTTTAATCTTCATTTAAAATGACTGGACAAGGTCGGGAACGAGATCTTTAGGCAGGCAACTCTTTGGAATCAAGCAAAGAGAGTCGTCTGGCGTCAAGAAATTAGAGTTATCTGAGGGTCTGATTTGTTCACATCGAGGACATGACAGCTTCTTGCTGGACAATTTGACCAAATGTACTTTGCATGGTGAGGGTCTTGATGGGTGTCTGCTGGGTGCAGCGCTGGTGCGGGCATCCAGGGGGCAGGGCATAATCGTGAGCAGCGGCGCACGCGCGGCATTTGAACTGCGGGGGCCGTATGATGTCATGAATCTTGTCACCCTCTGCGGGCTCACAGAGCAGCAGGCCAAGGTGCAGATGTCCTTCATCCTTCTCTTCTTGCAACACTGCGCTCGCATGTGTGCTGCAACGTTTGCTCAAGGAATGACCTCAAAAAGCTGAGGAAATTGGAAGTAGGCGGGGGGCAGTACAAATATGGAGCACTGTGCCCACGGTTGATTGGCGATCTTGGATCCGGCGAGTCCCTCACGGGGTAGGATTTGTAGCCTTCAACAGCGGCTTGTCTGCAGACGCACCCTTGCCTCTGGCAGGAAAGGCATGTTATGAATTTAATAACAATAAACTGGAAGGTAAGCAAGTCTTGTGGGGTGTAGGCGGCAATATCAGAGCGGTGCCGTCAAGTTGCCAGGCATGCTGAAAAGCGGAAGGCGTACAAGGGAACTCTGACCATTGTCAGCATTCCCACTGCGGGCAATGACAGTGCAGCCAAGGAGCAGCAACCCAGTCAACTTCTGCAGCAGGCAAGTGCAGTAGCGGGGACGACCGTGAGGGAGCAGGGGCAGCCAATGGAGACAGATCGGCAGCAGCCTAAAGCCAAGCGAGGCAAGCGGCGCAGGAGATAACCAACCAGTTATGTTCCAAGTGCTTTACAGGGTTGATAATTTTATCAGCAATTGTTAGTAAATTGGCATAGTAGCCCCTTGACAAGCTTGGACAAGCTCTTAAGACTCTCTCCTGCTCTTTATTTTGGAAAGTGACGGGTGTTTTGTCACCTGGTCTAATATTGTAACGCATATGCATGGCCATGGAATGAAAGAAAGTAAAACTTCCTAAGTAGGTATTGTGTTTGCATTTGTCAGTGAGAGATCCCTTGAGGACTCTATGTCTCCCTTAAGCTTGATTTCTCCTAAAAGTGTCGCCAAAGACATGGAGAATTGTGTGCACATGTGGCTGCTCAACTTTGAACTCATGCCTTCTCTTCACCCTGCCATCAACACCTTCAGCACGCACGTGCGACACTTATTCTCTCTTGGAGACGTCATCTTGCGCAACACATACACAGCAGCACGTCACACTCGACTGTGCTCAAAAAGACACATACAAAAGTTGTGACAGTTCTAAGTCTCTTCCGGTGTCTGAATATGCCTTTTGTTGACATTAAGAGCTCTTCCCCTTCAGTGACGCTGCAATGTCATCATAGTGCTCCCCAAGCTCAATGCCATTCCTGCATGTTGCAAACACAGTCAGCCAAAATACATGCCCAGCAAGCATTCCTAGACGGCCGATACCATTTGCAATCAATAGACAAGGGGGGCTTTGGCCTCACCCTTCAGGATCATAGAGGAAAATCTGGCTGGCATTCGTCCCTGGCACAAGGAATTTGTGGAACTCTATGTTGAAGTGCTTCAAGCGCAGCTCAGCCTGCTCCAAGCTTGCCACAGCAAAAGCTGCACACATCACGTCAATACAAAGCTCAGATCGTGCCGTGCCCTGATGAGAACAGATCAATGCGTTACCTGAGCTGAGGGATTTACTTTGCATAGATGAGGCGAAAACAACAATATGTCCCACCTTTATGAGCACCTCTGCGGATGTACCAAGGCTCTGGATGGTCTGCATCATACATCTCCTGCATTGGCGCACACATTCTTCTATAGAATGCAATACTAATTTCAGATGCAGATTGGAATTGCAGATCCAAGGCAAGAAGACAAAAATTGCAACGTACAAGACAGTTGTGACAAAATAAAGCAGCAAAAATAAAGGGCGCACAGAAGGGCCATCATTGCTGCAGTTGACATGGGTCTGGAAAAATAAGCACCTTCCAATTTCTGACATCCTTCCTGGGGATGGTGGGATCATCATCAATGAGGTGAAGGGTAAGGCCGCCGCCTTGAAGCCAAGCGCCAGCGAAAGGGAAGGGGGGCCGTGGCAGTTGCTTCATGCCAAGCACCCTGGTGTAAAACCTGCAGAGCAGCAGCAAAGCCAGCAAAGGGCTCAGATACCCAGGTCCTCTCAGTGCAAAAATAAAAGGGAAATTCCCCATGAAACAATGATCAATGTTGACATGCATGGCAAATTCGCATGACATTGATACAAGGCAGAGGCAGCTGCATACTTTGTCATGGATTCGACATCTTGCACGCCCAGTGCAGCATGGTTCATGGACAGGAGCTCGATTGGCGCTTCTGCATCCTGCCCAGCGTCTGTTTCCCAGAGAGCGCTGTCCTCCTGGTGCTGTGGAGGCACAGACTTCCAGAAGATCTCCCCAAGGTAAGTCTGCGCCTTCTGTTCGGTGTATCCAAAGGACCCAGGCGCTGCTACAGGTGCCTGCTACATTTGCAGATCATTCAGTGGCGATGAGATCATCGTGTATTTTTCAAGCGATCAAAAGTTTATATCCAAATAACTTCAGGAAATACATGCATCAAGGAGCGATTCAGATGTAGATCACGTGGCTACAGCACTGAAACGCAGATGTCGATTTCACGCCAACGAAACTCACCTCTGAGGTTGATGCGTCTGCTTCAACCCGCAATCTTGATAGCCTGTGATTGTGAGAAAACTTTTGTCTGCTCAAGAAGGCATTCCCTGACTTCAGGATGATGGGCCCAGGAGTCCCCACAGCATGCTGAAGGATACCATTGCCAAGTAAAGCTGACCCCATCCTTCGATGAAACCAGATTCAAAAGACCTAGATGACACTAAATCCTTGACGTGCTACAGTACGTGCCGATCCTGTAGCGATGGACCTTCCCTCTCTCTTCTTCAGGGAGGTGATAAATTTTCCATGGGGAAGCTGTCGCCTCAGATGGGGAAGCTGTCTGACGCTTCTCTCTCATCTAAGATGTCCCTTTCCTTTAATCGGTCCTTGACCCTTGTTTCTACATTTTAGAATTTCTGCAACAATGGACGTATTTAGGGATGTCGCCATCTACAAGGAGAAGATTGCTCAGGAACTCCAAGGCTTGGCTGATGGTGAGAAGCTCGCTGAACTTATTGACGCCAGCAAGAAGGTTGAGGTCGTGCTCCTGGGACAGATGAGGAGCTACATGGCTGACCTGTTCGAATGCCTTTCCTGGCGCTATGCGAGCATGCAGGTGCGAAATACACAATTCCGCCTCGGGTTCCATCACTCCCATCGACGCATGTCTGAAGAGGATTTCGGAGGGTTTTGTGTGGCTTACCATTTCTTCCAAGTCTCTTGCAAAGATCACAACCAGCGATCGTGGTGTACTGGAGGAATACTGCCGGAAAGCGCCTTACTTAGGCAACTTCGGCCTTCGGAGCCAGGTTTATTTGGGACTGATCTGGAAGCTTTTCTTCTGCAGGAAGTCGAGAAAAAGAGGCAATTTCTGATGGCAGGTAAGCGATGTCGTGTGCGCAAACATATCGTGAGAGTTTGCCGCACTGGCCAGCACTGACAGCAGACTTATCCTGTTGTGAGACACCATTGTGACATGAACTCTACGATTTCCTTGCTGCGCAGCCTGTGAAGAGCAGCTAGTGGTGCTCAAGCGAGACTTCTTCCCTTCTCTGGCCAAAGAGCATGGGATTGCTCAGGAGTACACAGCGCAGTGCAAGGTGCCAGTCAGCCTGAATTCACTGCCGATGACTACGTCCAACTTTGCATCAAAACAGCTCACAATTTTTTACGCTGCACAGGATCGGACAGCACACACCATCGATGACTACAAGCAGCTGGCAGATTTGGAATTTGCCCTCATAGTATGGCGGCAGAACCTCAAACGTGACCTGGCCACGACACCGTCAAAGGAGGCAAGCTTTTCTCCAATATTGCAGCCCTTTTAGCACTGCTTGTGTCTCTGTCTGATTTTGCAATGCTTGCAATCTTTGTAGCCCTGGCTTTTGACGTGTCACGCAGTGGCTAAGGCATTAAGGAAACATGACCAGAACTTCTTCGCTAAAACCAGCGCTCACAACTCAAATCAAGTCTGAAAACTCCTGCAGGAAAAGTCGCAGAGGGTCCGCGCGGCCTACATTGAGTCAGAGAAGCTCGTCAAGCACTGCCTCAGCCAGAGCCACAAGTCTTGGAATGACCTGTCGCGCGCCAGCCTACGCAGACCGCTCGGGTCCAGAGCAAGCAACCAACCCTCCCGCGCCCGGGGCATGTCCCTATCCGACGAGCCTCTCGGAGGTGAGCAAATGCTCTGCATTTGGCACTCACTTTGGCAGTTGCTGCTGGAATGATAAGCTGGAATGCGAGCCATGTGCCCCGTTGTCATCCCAAAAAAACCACCTGTCGTCAGCTGCCAGGCTCTTGTTTGTTGAAGCGATGTATGCACGTGTCTTTCTTGGGTCTTGAACCGACGTGCATACCGCTGTGGCAGACAGGACCCTGACGTTCACAACTGCACACGCTCTCCTTGGATGATGTCACAGTGTAGGTCTGGCAGCGCATGCCTTGGCCACCTGATTATCCTGAAGGGCTTTTGTAAAAGTTTGGGAACAATGGCGCAGGGGACAACATAATCACGGTGTACGAGCGGGCGATGGCGCAGGTGTGGCTGCGGCTGGAAGCTATTGCGCAGCAGCACGGCGTTGCAGATGCCCTGCAGATGCTCATAAGGGTGAGTCGCATTACTAATATGCAGTACATCTCCAAATACACCCTTTCATTTCCTGCCTCAGGGGGTACTAAAGACTACAGGTAGTCTCAAGTACCGCCTGCCTGCCTACCCGTTCCAGTCAATCACAATGTGTCTGCCCACCTCTGAGTTCCTGCTGCACAACTTGTGCCAAGAGCTTGCTAGTGATTTATAACAAAAGAAAGTCCCCAGAGCTATTTGGTTCTGCACCACTTGTTGCATGCAGTTTCGTGCCAGAACAGTGTCAGGATTGCCAATTTCCGGCGGAAACAGACACACGAGAAGTTTGTGATATGACGATGGGCAGTGACGGACTGTCTACAAGGCCAATGAGCCTCAGGTGGCTCCCAACAGGTCTCTAAAACGTAACAATCAGTCACAATCATATATTTATGTGGCTTAATGTCTGCGCAGATGGACCGGGCGGCCTCGCACCCTATGAATTTCAGTGAGGTGGCGACGGCCCTCAAGACAGTGTCAAGCGCGCTGGACTCCGGGGCCACCCCAGAGGCAGCGCAGCAGCAGGCGCAGCAAAACTTGGGCCGCAGTGGAGGGCTAACACCTTCAGCCAGCGCGCCTGTCAGCACTTCCAAGGGTATGCAGACTTCTACGGCTGCATACCGGCTGTTGATTGAGAATGAGCCCTGAATCAGGGCATTGCAGGGCTCATACACCCTCACATCCCGAGCGCATGGCTCTGCAGTGTGGAGGGAACGCTCAGAGCAGAGTGTTGGTCTGGCGGGGGGCCTGCCCTGTACTGAGCTATAAAGGCGCTCTCGGGTACTCCTCCAGAACAATCAATCAGGAGACAAGTGGACCAGTTGTCTATTATAGGCATGCACTGGGAGGTCTCCGCGAATGAAAGGAGGAGAGTGCAAGTGAGCTTGGAATCAGATGCAGAGAACAACAAAACAGTGGTACCATCCCCCAGTTCGTAGATGGTTTTTTCGCTGTGATTGCGAGGCTTACCTCCAGATTTTGCATGTCTGTGGGCTGGCAGCGTATGATAGTCCACATTTGCATATGCCTAGAGTCATTTTCGTTAGCTTGAAGTTCCAGGCAAGAGCGTGACTGCAAGGACTAGGATGCATGCTGCACCGGCCAGACTCAATTTTGCGTAGTGAATTTACGAGTCTTGAGTCCTCCTAGAAAAGCCCAGTATTGCAAGACAAGGCATCCAGAGTGGCAGTGTTTCCAATCTTTGATAGAACACCCTGTGGAAAGCGTGCCATGTTGAATCGCATGTATTATTTTGCCAGTGTGTGTGTGTTTGTTAGGTCCACAGAACGAGACGCATGTACATCAGCAAAGTACACCACATACTATTTAGGGAATGCTCTGGATCTTGATTCCGTTTGTGCCTAGATCTAGCAATTTCCACCTGTCTGCAAGGCAAACCTGAAGATGACTGCAACTCAACGCAGGTGTTCTAGGGGTGCTGCTTGCTGTATAGTTTGGTTAGGAGAGTACCTTATCGCTGTGCATCTTTGTAAGCTGCTGCCCCATGTGAGCGTTCGATATTTAACCTCTAGGACAGTGCCTGCACAGTGAACCATTTCACTGCCCTCTTTAATGTTATAATATTAAGCGGCTGTCAGGCGTTTCAGGCGTGTGCAAGTTGCACAAGAAGCCTGAGCGCGTGCCTTTCTGAACACCAGCGGTGAATGAGGGTCACCGCCTGTCAAGTTGAATTTCAAGCCATGTAATCGGATATTCCGGTGGTCATCATGGTGATGTGGCAATTGATGCTAACTAGAAGCATGAAGCATGCAGCGCTGCTGAGCAACATATGAGCGCTCAGCAATATCAATTGGCATGGATGCCGGCAAGTTGAACACGCATACAATCATGCATGCGAAGCAGGAACACAGCAAGCCCCTTCACTCTTAAGCTGCAGCTGCATAGCTTGGACCTCTCCTCTTCCACATAAGACCATCATGTGTGATGAGTCATATGGTGGCCACGCTGGAGAATGGCTCAGAGTCCAAACTGTTGATTCTCGGCTTAAAGAACTTCTGCAACGGATGTGAAGGCGTCTGTACTTATCAATTAGCCTGCTTTGGATTCATGGCCTTGCGTGCCACAACACTGTCCCTGCAAAAGGTGTTGTTTTCTGGGAGCTTTGCTGGACCTCTCGTGATTCGTGGAATGGCTACAGCAGCGGACGTAGAGAAGGCACTGAAAGAACGATTGAAGGCATCGGAAGTGGTAAAGTCCCTCGTGTCCCCCTTATAATGTGATTTTATTGCATTGTGACTGTGGTGATCTGAGGCTAAATACCCTGGTTTTTTCCTCGACAGACTGTCATCGACACATCAGGAGGGTAAGAAATTATCTTTTTACGTCCTTTTATGGGTAATTTGCATTGATCGGAACTATTTCTGGTATTGAAGTTCTGTTGCATTGATCTCACATGCGGTGCTGTCACATGCAGATGCGGTGCAAGCTTTGACGTTGCAGTCATTTCGGAAGCTTTCGAGGGCAAGAGATTACTTGAACGACACAGATTGGTGAGTGAAGGCCTTTTGCTGCACAAATTATGAGGACAGCTGCTGTGCTGTATGCTTATGAGGGAGAGTATTATCTGCAGATCAACAATGCCCTCGCTGAGGAAATGAAGCAAATTCATGCGCTGAGCATCCGGCAGTGCTGGACTCCAGAGCAGCAAAAGAAGGCGCAGGGCACTTGACTCTGCCACCAGCCAGCACTCAGTGAAGGTCTCCAGCACTTGGCAGCATTTCCTTGCTGCTGGATTTCTCCAGAACAGTATGCTCTTAGTTGGGGCATTGCTCTCAGGATGAGATGGACAACGCGCTTGACTAAATGTGCATAGCACATTGTGAAGTCCGGTAGTATCACTTTTCCAGAGATGTTGGAAAAGTAGCCTAGTTATATGGTAAGTGGTGAATGCTCGCGGCTGCAAGGCAACTTCGCTGATTGCCAAGATGTATAGAAGGGATCTTTGCAGACCCTTGCACTTGCCAATTGTGCAGCACCAAGAGATCTGCCGACAGAGCAAGTTACAGGATATGTAAATTCTGAAGGGAAATGCACAATCATCCGGCTGGGCCCCCCATGGGCAAGTTAGACATGCGGGGGCTAGCATTCCGATAACTCCTTTGAATAGCTAGCAATGCTACGACACTGCATATATATGTTATCAAAGTCAGTTGCTTGGGCGTCCGGAAGAGCCTGCAGACCAGCTCCAGCAATCCCTCTTGGGAGATGGGTGAGTGCCAAAATTGTGCAAGAGCTTGTTGAAAGTCTTTCCAGCTCGACGTTGCATGCGCGTTTGAATGCTGTTGATGCAATTTGAAGTGAACGTCGACGTCCTCCCCAGAACATCTCCTCAGCTGAAGTGATCGACTTAAACACAGGAGCGTTAGCTTTGATGCTGCGTGCACAGCTAAGCATGCAATGCACAGACCCCTTGCAGGACGCAGGCAACAAAGAAAGTGCCATTTGTGTGAATAAGCTGCTAATGAGGCTTGATGCTGGATGCTCCCGTCTTGCAACTCCCAGGCACGGTGCCTTGTATCAATATTGAATGTTCTGCAAATGAATCTTCTGTACATGACTGGGCAGGAGCAAATGCTGCATGTCAAGCTCTTGCATGTGCACAATCAGATGCAAGTTCCCTGTAGGCTTGAAGCGTGGTCCAGCAAATTGTCATCATGAGATGATGATCAGTACAACTTGTTTGAAACATGCCGCAGCTATGATATTTGTCCCTGTAACCTCGATCAGCAAGGTCTGCTTGGTTACAAGTGAAGTTTATTTCGCTCAAGTCTCATTGTAATGCACCTCGAAAAGATGGCAGCTCCAGACTTTTTCCTTACAGCTGAGCTGTTGCACAAGAGAGCAATGATTCTCACATTTCAAACACGCACACTCAAAGGACAGCAATCTTCTCAACGGGGATCAATAAGTTCCCAACAAAGGCAGTCCACCGCAAGCACCTTCAAACCAGTAACATCACGTGAATTGCAACTCTGAACATTCTTCCCTCCAGAGATTCAATATGTTGCCTTCTCGCAACCGTTCTGTAGTGCACTGCTCACAGCAGCATTTTGTACCGATCCATTGTACAATGTAGGGCTCAAAGAAACGAAAGCTCATGCATATACTTCATGCTCATCCAACAGAAGACGGACATCGCTTGGAGGTGGCATCCGCCATGCAGCATGGGCATGCAGCGCACTTGCCGTCACAGTTTTAAGTGCATTCCTGCAAGCCTGATGGTAGGGGTTCTTTGAGGGTTGTTCTGCCAATGACTCCGCAGTTCTAGGTGCCCTTCCGGAACTTATCACGCAACAGGTATCCCAAAAGGGCCACAGCTGTGAGGCTCGCGGCAATGATAAATTTTTCAGGCAGCTCTTTGACGGCCTCTGGCGTGCCTGCTACCATGTTCTGCACTGCATTCTGCGTTGCTGCTGCATTTGTGGGAGCTGTCTGGAAGATCACATCCGCAATGACGGAGAAACCTGCACATGCAGGCAGATGCAACATCATCATCAGCACGGGCAATGCATAGCAAAGCCACATCGTGAAGGGTTATGTGCAGTGCAGCGATGATGAGACCAGCTTAAGAGATGCTGTGGACAGGACCTGCAAGCCTGCAACGGTGGAATTGCCTAATCTCCACCACTCTAGATTGGCAATGCAGTTAGATCATCTACATTCCAAGACCCGCACTGGATCAAGTCACAGAGCTAGTTGGAAGAGCAGGTGTGATCCCAACCTGGCAGTGCAGATGTCACGGGCTGTCGTCGCCGAAGTGGAGTGAATCGTGATAGATGCGGTAGCGCTGGGGATGTCTGACCAGCCAAACTGAGTCTGCCTACTTTGCAAGATGTCAGCATCAGGACGCACGTGAGCAAAATCGTCCCTGTTGTTTGCTCCTGAAAGGTGTGCTGGAACCACTTGCGAAACGCACCCTGCTCAACGTTAGCAGTTTCTTGTCTTCTGGATCCATCGATCTATCTTCGCGCTTAAATATCCCGAGAATGTAGATCAGGACCAGAAACGCCGCCTGACAGGTGCATGCTGACGGTGATGCCTTGCTTTTGCTGGAAAACGCGCGGAAGAAACCGCAGACAGCCTAAAAGCAGGGCAGCGTTTAGGATTTAGGCTTTTGTGTAAGGGCTATAGGTGAAATATCGCAGGGCTCATCCTTCCCTGCGTAGGACAAGCTGACTTCGCTTGCTCGCCAAGACAGAATCTTCCCGTCGGCGGCTTAAAGATCCCATAGGTGAGCGAAGGCGCTCTCACGTGCTGCGATTGGTCACAGAATATGTCAAAGGAGGGAAGGCGAGGCAGGGGTCTCCCATCGGCAATCAATTGCCTATGACTGAGCGGCCACGCACGGCGCCTTAAGATCCCGGAGCAGAGCTGCAGTGTCTGCGAAAGCGCAGTGTTTGCTACAGATAGGAAGTTTAATGCAAGATAGGTCTTTTCTGGGCTAGCTTAAGCCGAAGCAGGAGTTCAGGGGGTTCGCCCTCTTTTGACGGGGATGTTGACTCAGCTTATCCTCAGCCATGCGGCCCCGAGCTGCCTCTGACATGCCTTTCTGGCTCTTGCAGGAGCAACTTGGAGACATAATTCGTTTCACAGCATGGCGAACGACTTTTCTATTCCGGTGCGGCTTGCCTTGACGCAGTTGACCGTTGCCATCAACCCTTTCACGTGCTGTGCTTGAATGCCGTGCAACCCAGCGGGCCAGCTTTAGCGATGTAGCCTGTCCGATGGTCTTGGAACCTGTTTTTGAGCAATGTTTATCTCCTCCTGCAGGGGGATGACATCCTGGAGAACAGCAGCCAGGTGCCAACTAGGAAGCGCTCCATGAGGCCCAGGTGCCCTAGGACACTGCTAGAGGAGACGTATTACGTGAGCCCCCTTGACGGCCAGTCCATGGACGAGGGCGATCTGTCAGACGAGTCTGCAGAGGACGAGGAGGCTGCAGCCCTGCTGCTGGAGATGGGCCACTTTCTAGACTCAGCGGTAGATGCCAGGGCTCTCAGCCCTGCAGCCCAGCCAGCAAAGGCAGGCGGGAGGAAGCAGGGCGCCAGCATCAGCTTCAGGTGCACCTCATGCCACCAGCCGGCTGTGCTGCGTGGCGAGAAGCGGCCGACCTTCTTCTGCGCCTCATGCCCATCCAAGGGAGGCGCGCAGAAGCGAGCGCAGCGCGCTCTGCATGGCAGCAGCGGCCGCCTCATCAGCGTCGCCGAGGCCACCGAGCTGCTGGCAGCCAGATCTGGCGGCATCGCGCCTCCAAAACAGCAGGTGAGCTCCCACCGCCTCAGCCAATGACCGTGTGCAGCCCTCGGGAGTGTAAGGTGCTTGTGGAGAGGAAGACAACGGCCTGACATTGGGAGGCAAGGTGAAGACCGATGGCTTTCTTGATGGCGGCGAGCGGCCTTATAATGGAACTTCTTGGTGTGATGCAGGCGCAGCAGCAGAGGGTATGCCCGCCGATATTCCAGGGGATGGGGCCGGAGCGGGAGCGCTGCATGGAGCGGCTGCCGTCGGTGCCGGTGCAGAACCGCGCAGCCGACCCCGACTGGGTGCCCTCCCAACTGGCGCGCGCCTGCAGCGAGGGCGGCGAGGCCAACCAGGGCCGCTGCAAGTGCGGTGAGCCACTCCTCTGCTAGTACCTTTGCTGCCAGTATGTTGCACCGTCTTATCTCGCCAATGTTGTCGCCCCATGCCCAATGCAAGGTTTAGGGACTCTTCCTTTGCGAGGCAGGGAAGGACCGCACTTGCGCTGCACTGCTCAACTGAGCACTTGTGCAGAGGTGAGCGGCCTCTGTCTCAGGCCCAAGGGGGGTTGCACAGTTGGTAAAGGTGTCATGACTAAGTGGTGGTCCGTGTCTGGCTCGCAGGCAAGCGCATCAGCGCGGCGCACCCGCCCTGCAAGAGCGAGCTGATGCTGCTGTGCGAGAAATTCCAGGCCCGCTTTGGGGGTCCCCAGGCGGCGCCGTCGCTCATCCTGCTGAACGAGGCGGCCATAGAGCTGGCTGTGCCCCGCCGCCGCCTCTATGACATCATCAACGTCCTGGAGGCTGTGGAGGTGAGCACTCGCCTCCTCTGCCTCTCATAATATGTCCATCATTATGAACACTTCCGGCTTGATAGTGGGAGCTGCATACACGTTTTTGAGGAGAATTGCTTTGGTTGTCAATCAAGGAGCTCTGCAGTATGTGAGAGAGGGGTGCATAAAGCTGGGCTGACTTGATGCGTTTGCTGTGGCAGATCGTGACGCGGACTGGCAAGCTGGCGTACGAGTGGAGGGGCCTGAAGCACCTGCCCCAGCTGCTGGACCGCCTGGTTGCTGACCAGGTGAGTCACACCACCCCCTGCATGCCTTTATGTCAGCTTTTTTCTCAGCAACACTCTACTAAAGACTCTCCTGCAGATCCGTTTGGCACAAGGGATGTCCTTATCCAAAAGTGAAGGGGATCTTGCACTCAACAGATGGAGGGAATACTGCGACCATGCAGTCATGTACTTGAAATTGAAATCTGTTTGTGCATGTGCAGCTGGCGGGTCTGCCGGTGGAGGATCGGCTGCGGCGGACGGCGGCGCCAGCCAAGAACGCAGCGGCGGCCGGCTCGAGCGAGGAGGGCAGCGGCGGCGACGAGGCGGCGCCAAAGGAGCGCATGCCGCCCACGCACTCCCTCTGGATGCTCAGCCGCAAATTTGTTCGCCTGCTACTTACCACCCAGGTGCTGCACTTCCCACCCGCTGTTGCATCCATCGGCGTGTTGTCATAAGATGTTTTTGAAACCGCCTGGAGATTGGCAGCGTCTGTGTGCTCTTGCTGGTGGATAGGATTCACCACCCTGGCAGTGTAGCTCGCCGCCATGATGTGTTCCAAGTCAGCCGGCATGAGCACACAAAGATAATGCATGCCTTTCTGGTTGTAGAATTGCTGGTTGCATTGAGCGGCTGTGTGGCACTTTTGGGGAAGAGTCACGTCTGGTACCGCAGTAATCGCATCATTCAGTCGGATAAGCATCTGAAGTTTTTTGGGCCTCATTGCAGGGCCCCGTCCCGCTGGCGGAAGCAGCGGTGGCGCTGATCGGCGCTGACGTGGCGGCGGCTCGGCGCGCTCAGGCGCAGATTACAGTTGAGCGGCGCCTGTACGACATCGGCTCCATCCTGTCCTCTGTGGGCCTCATCGAGAAGACCTACCTCGGCAAACGGTGCGTCCCTGATGCTGCTCATTACATCTTCCCCATCTCCAATTTTGAATACTCCGAATGCCTTATGTGTCTCCACAGCTCTCGAGTCAACAGCTGTCAACATGCAGCAATGCATGGGAAAGTGTCCAGCCTTGTTTTTGAGTGGTTTTGGCACTGGAGGCACATGCAGGAGACCACAGAAGGGACTCGAAGCTGTGCATCCATATTTTACCATGGAAAAGAGGATGTTGTCTTACTTTTTTTGTGGATTTGCTTACCGCAGGCAGCCGGCGTTCTCCTGGAGGTGGCCGTGGCGCAGCAGCAAGCCGGAGGTGGGTGCGGCTCCAGCCAGCCTCAAGCTTCCCGGCAGCAACGGCGACAGCGCCCACGCCAACAGCAACACCAGCTGCGGCACCCTCATCGACGCGTCCAACACGGCGCCTCAGGTTTGATTTCTCATTTTTCCAACTCGCTGCCTCGTTTTGTGTGTCCATGCTGGCACCCTGTTGGCTGCAATGGGGTCTCCTGTGTACTTGATTTCCCGGTCGATGCCTGTGGCAGCTTCAAGTGTCAAATCCCACTAGCTGGGTCCCCTGAGCACAAATAAATGGCGTTGAGTGAAGATCGAGCAAGCAGACTGAGATGCGGGGACTGCGTTTGCAGGGACAGAACGCGGCGGATGACGCGCAGTGCCTCACCCCGAGCTCCGCAACCAGAGCAGGCGACAATGCCAAGCGCGCATGGGCCGCGGCGGTTGGGGGCGATCCCTCCGCCAAGCGCGCAAAGATCGAGCCTGCCCCCCAGCCGCAGCCGCCCTTCGGCGCTACCCGTCTCTGCGCAGCGGTCACAGAGCACATGGTGCGCTCCCATCATGCATGTGGGCCGAACACTGCCCAATCTATTATTTTAAGTTGTGCCCCTGTACAGGAGATATATATGTAGAGGAAGGCCTAGAGGAGATGGATTGTTAATTTTAGATGTCTTACTCCCCTGCGTTTGTGGGTGTTGTTCATTCCAACATCCTGTTTCATAGCACTCTGATCCATTCTCGTGTGCATGTGATCCTGACAAGGATTTGTGATTGATTGCAGGCGGGTCACATGCTGGCTCATCCCCTGCCGCAGCCCATGAGCCTGCCCGGCTTTGCATGGGGCCAGGGCATCCCAATGCCGGCCGTGAGCATGCCACCGCCAGGTGTCAGCATGCCGCTGCACCTGCTCGCAGCTTCCTACCTGCCCTTCCCCACCAGTGAGCACTCTCTGCCACCTGAAACCTGCTCTTGTCATCCCTCCTGGGTTATGCCAGCGTTGTGCTGTTATCTTTGCTTGTGCCATCTAGAAGGTGATACACATGTGAGAACAGAGACTGTGTTGTTAATGCTGCACCAAGGGGCCTTCTCCTGAGACAGGCAGCAGAAGTTTGGCTTGGAAGAAGACAGGCAGCAGAAGTTTGGCTTGGAAGTTGCACGGAAGCTGACACACTGGTAATGTTGCAGGTCACGCTGACATGGCGGCCATGTGGAACGATCCGCACTTTGCAGCGGCGCTGCGTTCAACGGCATACCTGCACCTGCCCATGCCCTCCGACGCGCGTCCCCCGGCGGCCCTGCCATTCCCCCTGCCTTCGCAGCTCTCCCTGTCCGCCATTGGCGCAAGCCAGCGCTAGGAAAGCCTGCGCGAACGCCCAATCAATTTGCTGTTTCAGGCTGATTTGAAATCCGGGGCCGAGCAGGCTTTGGGTCCGAGTCAGTCCCTGATGTGCGAGGTGCTGCGCCGCAGAGCTTCCACTTTTAGCTGCGTTGTATATGCTGTTTTTTGGCGCTGAGCGAACGAGTGCTGAGCGGAGGGGGAGAGAGGCTTTGTGATTTTGCAAATGAAAATTTGTTGCAGCCCGCACCTGTCGTGACTGGATGGCTGTTGACTTGGCTTGTCACAAGCTCCGTGGCAATCTATTGGTGCTCCATCCTTGGGTGTCCTGCTGCCATTTTTTGGAGAGCAATGACCAATTTTGTCAATGTGAGTACATTTATAGCAATGACACGCGCGCGCACCGATTCTGGTGCATCGTTTGCTCTTCCGTCCTGCTGCATTACGAATGACAAAGTTGAGAGGAGAGGGAGACACAGTTGCAGTCTGCAGCAATTCAAGTAGCCGGCCGCCGCAGATTGGACCCGATCTGCAATTCTTTTCAAGTTGCGGTGTGTGTAGTGGGAAGTGATGTTGGGAGGGCAACTGTGTTCTTACATGCATGCCAGCCAAGAAGGCTAAGGCAGGAGACTTCCTGTAGTTTAGCCCTTTGTGACAGTGGAGGATGCATGTGACAGCATGACTCGAGAGAGCAGGATGTAGGACTGTGGGGTGGCAGTGTGGAGAGCAGTGACTAATGAGGAGATCCCCCGAGAGAGGACAACAAAGCCGTACAGTTTTGAGTATTTGAGTACATTTTTGCGCGCACAGTCGAGAATTGCTACCGCCCATTCGTTCTGCGAGGGCTCAATTTTGACGCAGCATGTATGCTGCCTGGGAGGCCAATTCGCACATGTGCGGATTTTGTGCCGCGGCGGGCAATGTGTCTGGTCTGTGCACTCCAATTTTGCAGTTTTCCTGCCGCGATTGCTAATGGCAGTCCTGATCAGCCTCCTTAGATACATGGCCTTCCCTGTGTGCAATCATGCCTTGGGGCCTTATACAATATTTGTGAGGATGAGTTCTGGACTTGATGACAAAGCAGTGCTGTGCTGTGAATCACACAGCCTGTGATCATGGCAATATCACGGACGAGCTGAACTTGGAGATCTTGAGGCTCTCACTTTAAGTTCAGTGTCATTAATATTTCTTCCTTGATGGTTGCTTCTTTGCTAGCCGCTTAGCCTGATGGTCACTGTGTAACAAGTTTTCCTGCCAGTTACACTTTTTAAAAACCGGTAGGAACATTCAGCATGATGCCCCTGCGCAGGGGCATGCCAGTATGAGCAAGGTGCCTGGCATGTTCTGCAGCTGCCCATGCGCATATATGCTTCAGGCATTATAGCATCCATGTATGATCCAGAAGCAGGACGTCAGTGGTCCTTGAAGACAAATCATGATTACGCACACCACACTTGTATATCCAAAAGCAAAAGCTCGAGCAGATAGGAAAGGGGACCCGAAAAGGCACCTTGGTGGTGAGGTGGAATTTTAAAGACAGACGTGGCCGCAGGAAAGCCGGGTGTAAGCTTGGGATTGAGTTCTAGCGGCCAGCGGCTGCACTCGAGATGGGGGCCCGGTAATTCGCTCTATTTGGACGGAAGCAGAGCGGCGTGTGTTTCGTTCGCACTCGCATCATCAGTACCGACCGAAAGCCACCACACTTGGGTGCTGGGAAGTGCTTTCTAGGTCCTGCGTGAGGTTAAAAGTGCTGGTGAATAAAGCGCAGATATAAAATTGTCGGGCCAGGTGACGCCGACGCATGGATAATATGAATACAACAAAGTAAATCTGATGCCCTATCAGCCCGCCGATCGGGCGATAGATGACACCACTGCCGTGCCTAGCACTCGAGACACACCATCCGGTGAATCCGGGGATAGCTTGTACGTCCATGGCAGCACAGGGGAACGGGTGAGGAGTCCTTTTTTGTCATATCTTATAGTTACACCGCGTTAACATCTTGTCGAGTTTGAAGAAAATTTTCGAAGGGTGGCCTGACACGTTCAAGATCAACAGTTCTTGGGCTGGAGCCAAACTGCAGGAGACCTGTACTATTGCCCGGAAAATCTTACCAGCAAAATTTGTGTGGTGCATTCACATCATGTTGCACGGGACGGCCCTTTCGGTCAGTTGCAGCCTTTCCTGGGCTGGGGGTGAGCAGTAGAACAGCAGCCAGTCTTGAGGGGGCTCCAAAGCACGCATGCAAGATCCTGCCCACCAGCTTCCAAGAATTTTCGGAAACTTGGAGACGCCTTCTTGCTTCAGGATGGCAGAGTGGCTCCCCGGGCGTTGTTGGATGAAATTGCTGGCATGATGGGGTCTCTTATTGACAGGCGGACGAGCTGCACGCGCTGCGGCAGCAGCTGGGCGTCACGCAGGAGGCGCTGCAGAGGGAGAAGCACCACATCCAGCTGCTGGAGGCCGAGCTGCTGCGCATGCGCTGTTCCCAGAGCGTCTGCCTGTCCCGCCGCTCCGGCACAACGGCGACAACTACCGGGTCGGCCGCGCCGGCATCGCCGCCTGACATCAGCGAGGGCACCGGCAGTGACATCAGCGGCTGTGACGCGCAGCACCTCATGCTGTCGCGCGCCTCCAACGGCACTTTCGAGGAGTCTGAGGCCTACATTTCCAGCAGGTGCGCTCCAACACAGGCCCCAATGCATTACCCCGGAAATTTATTCTGCTGCATGTTCACTTGCCATGTTGCCATGCTGTACTCTGTCGCAGAGCTGCAAATGGGGTCTGTTGGTCTGCAGAGAAGGCATCAATACACTGGTGTGAGCTTCTTTTGGCGAGGAGCATGGCTCCAGCATCAGAAAGAGACTGCGAGCACATGGGTGTGACGGTGCAGTCACTCATGGCTGACGTGGTGCAGGTGTCATTCGGTGGACAAGACAGCGCTGTACACGGACGAATGGGATCAGCACCTGGCGCAACAGCAGAGCACTGACAAGGTGACAATCAGCAGAGAGGCGATAGACCTGCTGCGGCTGAAAGACCGTGCAATGGACAACACAAAGGAAGGCATCACTATCGCGGACTGCAGCCAGCCGGACATGCCCCTCATATATGCCAACGAGGCCTTTGCGCGCATCACCGGCTACAGCGTCGCAGAGAGCCTTGGCAAGAATTGCCGCTTCCTCCAGGTGTGGACTGCTTTCGGAGTACCTGACAAAATGTGCGGATTGATGTTGGCATGCTGTGCTGGTTGTTGAGTGGGTTTTGAGATATGGCCCGGACATGCACAGGCTTCTGTTAATTTTGCAGTGCGTTTCCTCTAGACAAAGCGGGTCTCACTTGAGCAGGAAAGTGTGAGACATGCTATTCTAACCTATCACGATCTGCACATGTAGCTCCCGGTAGAAAGCTGGTAGGGACGGTAACAGGAAACTCAGAAAAGGACAGCCACTGTCAGGCAGAGACTGCTCAAGTGCGCAGTAATGCAGTTGGGGCATTTGGGTTGGTCAGAGGGGGCATTGCTACATATCCGGCCCAGCCGGAACCAACACTATCATGCAGTCGGCTGCGGCACCGGTGCAGGGCCCGGGGACGGACGAGGCGCCGTTGGAGGAGCTGCGGCGCGCGACGCGGCAGGGGCAGGCATGTGTTGTGCAGCTAATGAACTACCGCAAGAACGGGGACGCGTTTGTCAACTACCTCAGCGTTACGCCCATCCACGACAGCGCGGGCGTGCTGACTCACTACGTGGGCATCCAGTCCGACATTACCCAGCTCGTCAAGCACAAGAAGGCCGAGCTTGCCGCCAAGCACGCCGCGGTGCAGGTGCGCCTGAGTTGCAGTGCAGAGCCATCCTCCCATATGCCTTCATAATGATATGACAGCAGTAAACATCTAAGCTCCTTGCAGTATTGGGTGGCCTGCGCACAGCAGGAAAGCAATCAGTGGTCAGAAAGAAGCAGTTGAAAATCCTGCGCGCTTCATAAAGCTGCATGACACTTCCCAATGCTTCGGAATTCTGTAGAAGCTGCGGCACTCCGGTTGCTAATCAGGGTTATCAATTGCATGCGCCTGATCTTGGTGGCTGTGTGCGGGCAGGCGGCGGCGGCAGTGGAGGCGAAGTCGCAGTTTCTGGCGCGGATGAGTCATGAAATCCGCACGCCTCTGAACGGCATGATCGCGGTCGGCCAGCTGCTTGCAGAGACGGCGCTGTCACCTGCGCAGTGGGACCTCGTCAGCACCATCCGCTGCTCCGGCGAGACCCTGCTCACGCTCATCTCAGACATCCTGGACTTCTCCCGCATCGAGGTAGCCTCCCCTATGATCATCATCATATTTGTACTGTACTGTACTAAATCAGATTGTTATTACAGGCTAGTCCTGCCAGGTGGCAAGGTGCGTCTTCAGACAAGCTGGACCGTAAAGGCTGCCGCACATCCTGCCCCTTGATGGACTTGCCAGATCCAAGCAAGACGAATCAATTGTGGGCAGGGTGCTCAGTATTTGTACCGTCTCCGCCAGCCGGGGCCAAATTGCCTATTTTGGTCTCGATGAAGCCCTGTACTCCATCCTTTCAGCAGCATTCATTGAGAGTGTATGTGACCTGTCAAAGGGTGTGGTAGTGCAGTGTAGGACTGGGACTGATGTGGCGGGAGCTTCTGACAGGTGACGGACATTGAGGGTGTTTGGCTATGTGCAGGCCAACAAGATGGTGCTGAGCAACGCCCCCTTCAGGCTGTCTTCGGTCATTGAGGCCGCCATGGAGATTGCCGGCCTAGCAGCTGGCATGAAGCGCCTCCAGGTGTGCTACAGACCCGCCCTTGTTTTTCCTCCATTGCTCTTACAGCAATCTTTGTGCACTCTTGAGCAATGCTCCTTTCACATACTGTAGTATTTAAAAACCCCAATAAATAATTATTTTTGAGCCTGCGGGAGGGTTTAATAATAGGTTTTTGGGGGTGTCAATCAGAACAGTACTTGCCCAAGTTCTACACCACCATGAGAGCAATAGGGAGCTTTTAAAATTGACGTTTCCTGGTTGTGCGCAGGTGGCGTACCACATAGCGGAGGGCGTGCCGCGAGTGATGCTGGGAGACGCGCAGCGCCTGCAGCAGATCCTGCTCAACGTGCTCAACAACGCCGTCAAGTTCACGGAGCAGGGCGCTATCCTGCTGGAAGTCTGGGCTGAGCCCTTGGTTGAGCTGAATGGCTGCGAGGCCGCCCTGGCAAAGCCTTCGCAGTCCCAACCCACCAGCAAATTATCTCCCACCGCCTCATGCGAGTCAGAGGGCGCAGACGCCGCTAAACAAGCTGCCGTGGAAGCCCGGGAGACAAGGTCCGGCAATCGGGACTTTGTCAGGGCGGAGGCGGCTGCATCGCAGCCGGACAGCAGCGTGCACGGCAGCGAGGCGCTGTCGCTGTCAGACTGGGCCGGCCACGTGCCGACTTCGGCCGACGACCTGGGCACCTGCGGGGAGGGGGCTGTGCTGGACTACCAGGGAGCTCCAGGCTCTGCCAGGGATCTGGGTGCTGTTCTGGATGCCTCTGAGGCGCAGTCTCGCCCGGCCGAGACGGCTGCGCCGTCAACCTTGGACCTTGGTGCCGCGCTGGACGCGGCTGAGGCCCTGTCGCGGCCGACAGAGACGGCTGCGCCGGCAGCGGCAGGAGTGCACGGCACCGTGCTGCAGGGTTGCAGGGCTTGTGCTGAGGAGCCGTCCAGATCAGGGGCGGCTGCATCGGCTGCTTCATTTCAGCGGGTGTCACTGCCACAGAGCGGGGTGCAGAACGTGGGGGCACTGCCGTCGGCGGTGGCTGACCCGAAGGAGGCAGTGGCCGCGGCAAAGGCGGCATTCAACCTACCGACGATGCAGCGCTTGCGCGACTTGGCGATCCCGGCAGCTCCTGGGGGGCCCTCCGCCACCGAGTCGGGGGCAGCCATCACAGATCCCAAGGCAATTGGCACCGCAGCGGTTGTTGCTGATCATCTGGCGGCAGACGCGGGCGGTGGCAGCTCGGCTGTGAAGCAGCGCGTGACGGGCGCGACGCCTGCCGCAGAAGCGGCTGCGAAGGAGGCAGTCGCAAAGGCCGACGGCGCAGAGATGGTTATTCGCTTTAGCGTGCGCGACACTGGCATCGGCATCAGCAAGGAGGACCTGGGCCTCCTCTTCCAGTCCTTCTCTCAGGTGCAGCATGCCATCCATTTCTTTCTGACCTTGGGTTTTCTGTTTGTTGCTGCAGGACCCTGCAGCACCAATCGGCAAATACACTGTAGTGCTCCTGTTTGCGGATTCAAATGAATAAGGGGGTCCCAACCTTTTGTGGTTGCTTTGCTATGGAGAAACATGCTAGCCAGATGCACTTGTTAGTGCAGTTGGGAAAGCAGACTGCTGACTTGGCGCCCGGCACATGCGCGCAGGTGGATGCGTCCCAGACGCGGCGCTACGGCGGCTCGGGGCTGGGCCTGGCGATCAGCCAGAAGCTGGCGGAAGCCATGGGCGGCCAGATGTGGGCGGAGTCCCACGGTCTGGGCATGGGCTCCTGCTTCCGCTGGACCATTGGCTGCCGCGTGCCGCCCCCTGCGCGGCCCCCGCCCATGCCCATTGCGCCACAGCGCGGCCTTGCGCTCCCGCCCAAAGTGAGTTTCAGCTCAAATACCCCTATGGCATCAGGGCGCCAGGGCATCAAGGTTTCCAGACACTGTTTTTAATAAATGCAGCCATTACCCACTCCTCCTCCCTTGCAGAAAAGTTGCGGCTTGGTTGACTGTGCCATGCAACCCGCTGCTGGGGCCACTTGTATTGAGGAAGTTCCTTATCGACCTGTGTCGGGCAGACTCTGTTGCAGGGTTCTAGCATGCTCTTTGAGCTTTGTCGGATGCTAAAGGCATGTATGTGGGCTTCCTTGCTGAGTGAAAGACTGCCCGTGCAGGTTCCCGAGGGCCGGGAAGAGTCTCTCGAGTCCGACGATGCGTCTGCGGAGATGAACTTTGAGCCGCCGGATGCAGTGGACTACCAGGGGTCCACCAGCATGCAGCGCCTGAACCGCTCCCTCTGGAACGAGGGCTCTGGAAGCTCCACCGTGGTGTCAGGTGCGCAGCAGAACCACCTGTGATGACCTTCAGTCACCCTTTATTCACCCTGATTGCCCGGCTGGTGGGGGTGCCCATTGAATGCGAGCAATATGCCCACGATTGAACGGGTCTTGCATGGATGTGGCCAGTCCATCAAGGGGTAGAACTTGTCGCAGCCTTTATCTGCAGCTTGTCTGCAAATACACCTTGCATCTTGGCAGGAAGCGTCTAATACTGGCAACTGTAACACACACTCAGTCACCCTTACCTGTACACCCACTGCGCAGTGCTTGAGGCCTCCCAAAAGGCTCACCAGTGCTGTATGTGTATGCCGATGGGCTGTGGGTGCAATGCAATGGCAACGGGGTAGAGACCTTGTCTGTTGCGGCAGGTTTGGTGGCTCCGCCCAGCTCGTCAGGGCGCAGTGACACTGACCTGGAGGAGCAGACGCTGCGCATGACCAGCGGCAAAAAGGTGGGCAGCACATGTATCACACTCCAGCTACGCTACCTATAGCAATATGTGCCCATCTTCCCCACATGCTGCTTTATTGTAATTTCTGGAGCTTGAGGCTTTAGATGACCTTTAGAGTGGGGCACTCCATCGCTTGACATACAAAGCAGGCAGACTTGAAGACAGTCCTTCATTGTGAGAACTTCAATGCCTGCCTGTGTGGAGCACATGCCAAGAATATGGCAAAGCTCTGATGAAGGCGTTTGACTCCAGCTCATCACGCTTGTTGTGTGCGTAGATTCTGCTGGTGGAGCCGTGCGACATGGTGAGGCAGGTGCTGCAGCTGGCTCTGCGCGCCTGGGGAACCTCTGTGTGCGCTGTCAAGACCGAGGAGGAGGCCATCTCTCACCTGCAGCTGCGCAGTGAGTCACACACTCACATCTGACTAAGAATCATGCGCTACAACCGTACAGGAAGAAGTCAGCAGCCATGCAGACATAGTTATCCAGCCACTCTGCGGTGCTTGCACTGTCGCCTCGGGATGCACTGATGGTGCCATGGAATGGCTTTTAAGCACTCAGTCTTGCGAGGAGTGCGTGCTGAGATGACTTATCTCACTGCATAGGACTTGGGACGACTCTATGCGCAGGTAACTTTGTGCGGAAGCCGCCGGCGTCGCTGCGGCGGCAGAGCGCGCAGGAGGCAATGGGCGATGGAAAGCATATGCAGCCGCAGCATGCTGGCGAAGTGGAGGCGCACGCCTGCCATGTGCCCGGCCCATTCGATGTTGTCCTCATGGACATGACTCTGAATCACCTGCTACACGCCCTCCTGCAGGTGCGTGCAAATGCATGCATGTTTACATGGTTTTCAATAGTGCACCTTTTCATTCTCTCGCAATGCAGCTATATAGAAGCACTGCTCCCTTGACTTTGGCTTGGCTTCAGCCGCTTTGTCTGCCCAGCCTACTGCTCAGGAATGTGGGATACCTGGAACAGTAACTGCCCAATCTGTCGTGGTGACACATAGCCAACCATTTGCCCTGTCATGACACTGTAAAATATCACGTTGGCCTCAAGAGCCCCACCTAATGCTGATGTGCAGTGACAAGGCCTTCAAAGCGAGCAAAGACCTCCCACAGCACATGCCACGGCATTGCCGGAGGGTGTTTTGCGCGTGCACTTTGGCTATTTTGAGGCCACCGCACGTAAAGCTGGGCTTTTGTGCAAAGAAGGCTGAGGGGCGTTTATGCGCCCGCAGGGCGACAAGAGCGAGGCGGCGCGGGTGATTTTTCTGGGGTGGCCGGGGCAGCACGAGATGGAGGATCAGGAGAGCCCTGACACTCCCACGTCGCAGCGGGACGCATCGCACGACGGCATGCAGCTGCCGCTGTACAACAAGCCCGCGCCCACCGCCGCGCAGCCGCCCCTCGCCCTGCTGGAGGACCGCGTGCGTGCGCAGAATGGCCGCCAGCTCGGGTGCGCCCGCGTTACTTCTTTTCTGGGGCGCTGCTTCTTGCCTTTTTAACAGTTCCCAGGAGCGGAAATGAAGAGACAAGAACCTGTGCCTGTGGCTGAGAGTGGCAAGAGGCCCATTGGTTGTATACCTTCAAGTATGGGTGCAACTTTGATCGTCCTAACTTTTGCTTGGGTGATGTTCAGGCGGAAAGAACAGAGCTGATCTCCTTACCTGACCTTAGAGAGGCTGTCATTGAGTTGTCCGATGCCATTGCATCAGGGCAAAGTTGCCCTCCCGGGGGCAAATCTCATGTTTTATGGCCGAAACAAAACAGCTGACTTGCGTCTTGCAGAAATGGCATGTAGGTGATAATTGTGTTGTTTGCAGGTATGTGGTGGTGACTCGGCCGGCGCGGCAGGGGCGCCTGAAGCTGGCGCTGGAGGAGGTCCTGTCCATGACGGTCGACACGCCCCTGTCCAGGTGTGCGCATCTGCTCACACTTTATTGATTGCATTCTGCGCACCCATGAGGGCTGATCATGCCTAATTCGCAGTGTGTAAGGGCTTTGTGACCCACCTGTTCAGGGTCTGCTGGCAGGTGGTGGTGCGCAGACACGATAATTGAAAACATGGGGCCACGATGGTCTCATGTACTTGTGCTCAATGTCTATAGAGGGCCTTTGTGACCAAGCTTTATGACCGAGCTATCTTGTTGATAGGTGCCCAAATTTAATTCATATTTTACGTACTAGGGGTGTAGATGGTTCTCCGTTGTGCAGCCGGTCAACATCGGAGACGATGTTGCGGGAGGGTAATGGGGTCTTCACATCAGACGACGCCGGGCGGTCGTCCCCGTTCAAGGTGCATGCGCGGGCAATGCCCAAGCACCACCTGCAGTCGCAGCAGCAGCGCCCCTCCATCGACCTCTCTTGCGAAGGCATCCAGCGGTGAGTGCTGCTTCCTGCAATTCCCTGCCCTACCACAGCGGCTTACTCGTGCATTGCTTCACCGCTTTTCTGATGAAGCTGGCTGATATGCGGTGACTGCAGCCTGTGCATTGCTTTCCAGCCTCTGCCTTTTGACTCAAGGTCTCAGCTGCCGTGCAAACGTCCGGCAGCAGCAGGCATTTTCTGTGATGCTTCGGGGTCACTGTGCTCAGGCCCACAGGTACTTGGTGACATGGAGGCATGGAGGGCATCTTTGCTGGGATTGCCGAGCTGGGTTGCTGGGTCTGGAAATGTGGACAGCGTACTGGGTTTGCAATTGCACGTACGGTATGAGGAGCTCACAACTTTGGTGAAACAGGCAAAAGGGCCTAACTAGCTGCTGGCTGCATGCGCAGGGTGGCGTCTGGCGGGCAGCTGAAGGCGGCGGCGCCGTCGAAGAAGTCACGGTGGCCGGCCGAGAGCGGCGAGGCGCGCGCGGCGCAGATTCGCGTGCTCATCGCAGAGGACAACGCCATCAACATGAAGGTGGCCCTGGGCATCCTCGGCCGCATGGGCTACAAGCAGGTGCGCGCACATACCGCCGGCCCCGTCCAGCCAAAATTTGCCCATCAAATATGCGTGCTCTCTCCTATTTGCGAGGAAGATCTGCAGGGTCAGGGTTCTGCTGGCTTGGCTATTGGTGCTCAGTTGTCCCGTCGCAGACTTGCCGAGTCCATCAAGGATAGGACTTTGGCCGCGGCGAAAAGCAGCTTGTCTGCAGATGCACCTACCTTGCCAGAAAAATCGTGTAGTAACAGTATCAGTAATATACCTGCTTAGGCATGAGTGTGTCTGCAGGTGACCAAGGCGATGGATGGGCAGGAGGCGTACGATGAGATTGTCAAGCGCGGAGGGCCGGACGCGTTTGATGTCATTTTGATGGACCTGCACATGCCCCGGAAGGTGCGCCGCCCTCCGCTGTCGCATCCAGACCAAATGATCTACATTGACCTTGTCAACTAACTGCAGAAAAGCTCAGGAGTGCTTTTACTAGGCCCAGGCTCAATATTTCCTTTGCTTTAAAACACGAGACTTGCTTCCAGGATGCCAATTGCGTCACTTTGGAAAGTTTCACAGGGCGAGCTCAGAGAGCCAATTAGACATGATTCAGAATTCGCTGCTACGGCGCCCCACATGAAGTGCAGCTTTAAATCTGTATCTTACACGCCAGTGCTATCTCATGCTCTGACAGCGCAGCCACACCTCTTGAACAATCTGCGCCAACGCCCCAGTCAGGCATCTCCATCTAGGGGTAGGGGCATCATCTTTTCTGGAGCCGTTTGGGAGCACATGGCCCCCTCGTTTTCAAGGGACAGTGCACTTGGCCGCACAATTATTCAAACTTTGCTCACCCTTTTGCATGTGCTCCAGGGAGGCATGGAGGTTGTGGCGGAGGTACGCCGCGAGTGGCCGCGCACGTGCGTGCGCATCATCGCGGTCACGGCTGACGCGTTTGAGGACACGCGCGAAAAGTGCCTCGCCTCCGGCTTCAGCGGCTGGCTCGCCAAGCCGTTCCGCATCGAAGACCTTGCCTCAGTCATGGACGCCATCCCGCAGCGCACTGCTTGAGTCCATGCATTCCCGCTGCCTATGGGCATCGCTGACAGGAGCGCACGCCTGCTGGCCACCTGTGCGCCACCTGTCGCTGCTGCTGATCACACCCGCTGTCGATGCCACTGCTTGTCCCAGCAAAAGACTCGCAAATCTGACACTTTCCAATCCATTTTTCTTCACTAATGAGCTCCCAGTAGGAATAGTCTTGCCTGGCAGGGTACGCCCCGCGACTGGTGTCCTCTGGGCCTGGCTTTACTACACAGACAGCGCAGAACCTGTTCAGGCCACGGCAAGTAGTTTGCACAGCAGATCGGTCTTGCTGCCACTTGCAAGAAGAGCCTCGCAGGAAAAGCATGACCAGGGTCTGTGGGGAGTCCAGCGGTTGAAGTTCTGTTCCTTTGCTGTCGTGATACTGGTAAGAGTGATGCGAGCAGTCTGCCACTGATCTAATGTGAACGGCGCCAGAGTCTGGTTGGTTCTGTTTTCATCAGAGGAATTGGGTCGTCATTGCCCTGCACCTCACGGGCTGGGTGGTAGAACACTTATTGCTTATGCTTTTCTCATAATCCGCACCAATGATTCCAGCTAAACAAATTGGTGCGCTCGGATTTACTTACAGAGCAACAGCCTGTACAATATCCTTTAGCCTGTCAAAGATCTTCCAGCGGATAATTTTGGTGTGCACTTTGCAAGCCCTTTGGGTCAAATATGTTGAGGACGATCTATCTGATTGAGCTGTGCTCGAGAGGCATTAAATATCAGAGGCAAGTCCTTGATCAGGCTCAAGAACAGGCATGTTTATGAGCCTGCCGTGAATGTGTTAACACATGTTAACGCGTTCTTCTTGCAATGCTGATTTTGCCAAATGCTTCTGGATACAGCTTTCATATTTCAGAAATGCAATACATTGTACTTTGATTTTTCCGGCACACTCACTGTGGCAATCCACGGTGGTTTGTGCAGAAGCAAGCTCCAGTCGAGGAGCAGACTCGCAGACGCATTCTGTGAGAACAGTGGCTGTTATGCGTGCAGAGACGAATGAACCGTTCATGTGACATCTGATGGGAGAGAAAGTTTTGGAATGCATGACTGATGCTGAAGCTAATGTGGTGATCAATGTGTACAAGGTGGAAGCCTTCCCCAGTAGGCTGATTGATCGGTGTATACCAAAGGATCATTTTTCTTTGACGGACCTGGTTCTAGAAACTGCGGTCACTGTATGCGCATGTGAACAGCTGTAAGGTGCCATCATGGTTGTGGTCAATATGTTGTCCATGCCATCATGCAAGTCCTGCAAATCCTGGAGTGCCATCAGATGCACCAAAGCCGAACTTCACCTCTGATCAAGCACAGCTGAGCTGACACACAAACTGTGCAAATTCGTCAGCTGAGGCGCCTGCGCCACCATCAGCAGCCGACAAGGGTGTAGCTCTGTTTTGGGTTATCATGATCTGACTTCTATAAACATATATACCTTATTGTGGTGTGGCCTATTGTTGACTTCAAGTGCTTCTTTCCTTGGAATGCTTTCGGCCATGGGTTCCTTTTGGACACCGTTTCCAGCTGCATACATGCCGTGGTGTCCCAGAGCACAATCAAATTGCAACCCATCGCTTGTGTTGGAAGATAATTTTCACACTTTGACGTCCTACTGAGTGGCAACATTGCTATATGTCCACGCTAGCATACGATACCTTGAGTAACCAGGATGATCTGAAGACCCACAGGTTTGGAACGTTGCAAAAGCCAGCAGAATTTACAATATATTTTCAAGATCGTCTGTCTCCATCGCACTTGGTGTGTGTATGTGGCATATGGTCCCATCGGCTGGCAAGAAAGCAATCGTTCTTGCAGCGTTCCACCCCTGGAAAGCTCTGCACCCAAAATGCACTTAAGCACCCAGCACCTTTCCTTTACAATTTACTGTTTAGGAAATCACCAGCGATCGGGCCTTGAGTAATGATCAATAATGGCAGAGTTTCCTGCTAGGGGGTAGGGCCCCTGCTTATATCCCTTGAAATATAATTGTAGGGTCCATCGAGGAAGTGAAACCAGCCTGAAGCTAGGAGCGATTTCGCAGAAATTGATCAAAGAATCCTCCACCATGTACTGTCTCATCCGATCTTTCTATGGCAGCAGTGTGTTGCCTTGAGACAGAAGGTGCCTATTCCCAGGAATCCACAGCAGCTGGACAGCCCCTGCCACCCAGGTGTGCTTCCACCCAGGGATTCTGGGTGCACACTTATCTGGGTCCTATTGCGTCCTCTGGCAGCCTGGCGGTTGCTCTGCCCACCCAGGTGGGCTGCTGGAGGGTCTGAGCGGCTGAGCGAGGCCGAACCCGGTCGTTTTTGGTTCCCTAGCGGTCTCGCCTCGGCAGCTGGGCTCCTCTGGTAATATGAAGGGCTGAGCGTAAGATTTTGTGCGCAGGCCCTCCGTGGGAGTCAAGAGGACGCGACAACGTTTAGGATTAGAGCATTACCCAGAGAACAGCCTGAGCTCCGGAGTCAACGTGGCATGTGGGGCCGTGGGGCCGCACTCTGAGCTCGGAGGCGTGGGGAACAGGAGGGTGACCAAGCCACCCGGGAGCACGCTGCCGGGTCTTGTGCAGGGCAGTGACCAGGACATGGCCTCGTCGCCTAGCGGCACGGAGGGAGCGCTGTCTTTCGGTGCGTTGGCCTCTGCTCTTTCTGGCCCACACCCGCGTTGCGTCCCTCCTCGACCTGGGTGTGCTGAACCTGCTGCTGTGCGTGCAGAGGTGGCGAGCCTCCGAGCGGCCGCATCGGCCGCAGTCGCGGAATGTACCAAAGTAGGGGACGGGGAAGGCGTGAAAGCGGGGCCTGCAGCTCGCTCCAGCAGGAACGCGGCGCGGCCCTCCTCAGCCAAATCCGTGGCAGACCGGGCCAGGCCAGGCGCCCGGAAAACGGGACCCCGCCTCTCAGACGATCAGGATTCGCTATCTTCCAGGGCAGACAGCCGAGAATCAGACACTGGCAGCGTTAGCTCCTCGGGAACCGGTCAGCAGCTGCCGTCCAGGGGGGCCAGAGATCCAGCAAAGGTTACCTCACAGGCCAGCTCAGGCTCGCTGTCCCATGCCTTCCCTGCTCACGGATGCCCTCCTCACGGAGCTAAGGCGATCTGTGGGCGGAGACCACGCATGGAGGATGCCTACACAGCCATACCCTTCCTGATGGAGGTGCTAGTACCAGTGGATGTTCTGGGCCAGAGCGACATCCTGCCTCCCAGGATTGCATCCCTGGTCAAGAGCGCCACCACTTCACCCACATCGTCAGTCAGCGACCCCCCAGAGTCAGAACTAGAAGCTGGCGGCGTGCAGGCATCAGGCAGAATGAGCCCTGGATCAAGCGCGGCAGCCCAGGACAGCCAGAAGGCGAGCAACTTTGTGGAGACGCTGCACTTTTTCGGGGTGTTTGATGGGCACGGCGGCGCTGAGGGCGCGCTGCACTGCGCACAGACTCTCCATCAGCGCTTTGTCGAGGCCATTCTGGAGCACACCTCCCCCGGAGGCTTGCCCCCGCCTGCAGCAGAGCAGATGGAGACCAGCATCGCCAGCACTGCAGCCACCTCTGTTGAGGCTGCAGCGGAGGCAGCTGCTTGCGGAGTGGCCCGCGGCAACGTGGCTGAATCTGCTCCTAGAAATGTGCCGAAACCCGCTGCGGCTGACGCTGACACCGATAGCAACAGCAGGTGGGTGGCTTCTGCAGTGATCTTTGAATGAACTCTGCTGTGGGCAGGGTTGTATTACAGTGCGCTTGCAGCGTGCATCGCACCACTGTCATAAATTATTGAGCTGCACTTATGTGCTGCAGAAGCATGCAACAACTAGGCAGAACGGAGAAATTTGCTGCATCTTGCACCCGTCTTTGTCCTGCTTGGAGGATTTTTTGTCCTGAACATCTAATTTGCATATCTGTGCGCAGCGACAGCGACGCATTTATGGTGGCGGCAATAGAGGAGGAGAATGCTGCGGCGGCGGCGGAAGGGGCGGAGTCCCAAAACGAGAACACCATTGCCTGCTCCGCACAGCACTTTGAGACTGCGCTGACTGACGCCTTCAACCGCACCGACGAGGAGTTTGGCAAGGCTGACAATGCTGCGCTCGTGGGCACCACTGCCGTTGTGGCTCTGGTTGGCAGCCGTCAGCTCTACGTTGCCAACTGCGGTGCGCCTCTCGCAGAATTCCTGCTCTGTGCCTGATGTTTGGCAGGCCTTTGTCTGTCTTGAAGGAGTTGTCTGCCTGTCTGACTACTAGTATCTCTGGCTCAGTTGAAGGCATTTTCCAAGTGTTGCAGTGAATGAAATAACTGATGCAAGAGGAGATCATGTGTAAAAAATCATCGACTGAAGGGCATGCATGCCTTGACGCAGGTGATTCCAGGGCAGTATTGTGCCGTGGAGGAGCGGCCATTGCCCTGACAGATGACCATAAAGCAGCCAGGGAGGATGAGACGGTGGGTTTGCTGTTTCCACGATATTGCTGTCAATAGAAAATGTTTCTTGCTGCACAAACTTGCACTGCGGCAAACATTTGCAGTTAGAAACAAATGCTTGCAGGAGAATATACATTTACAGTGATGTGCTGATGACATCAGGCGCGGGTGGAGGCAGCTGGTGGGCAGATCCTGTTTTGGAATGGAGTGCGCGTCATGGGAGTGTTGGCAGTGTCTCGCGCCATTGGGGATCATTGCCTGCGCCCCTTTGTCATTGCACAGCCTGAGGTGCGTCACTGTCACCCAAGGAACTCTCCATATCCGCCCATGTCTTCTGAATGGCCTGCATCATAGGAATCCCCACTCGTTAGTGCTGACTCTTGACTAATTGGGCTGTTGCGTGGTGTTGCAGGTGACCATCCTGGGCAGGAGGCCAGACGATGAGATCCTGCTCCTGGCCAGCGACGGCCTGTGGGACGTGCTGTCCAACCAGGAGGCCTGCACGCTCGCCAAGCGCTGCCTCAGACGCGCGCGCCAGCGCGGGGCCAGCCGCCAGTCGGCCGCCCGCATCGCCGCCACCGTGCTCACGCGCGCAGCCGTTGACCGCGGCTCACGCGACAACGTCACTGTCGTGGTCGTGGACCTGGCTGTTCCCTCCACGGAGGCCGACACTCTTGCGCGCGCCCCCTCTGCCGCGGCTGCCGATGATGCGGCCGATGACGGCCTCGCCCCGGACCTGCTCGCGCGGTCGAGGTCGTCCGCAGTTGGCGGCATCGGCGAGACCCACTCCTACCCGGAGCCTACCCGGCGGCTGTGACGGCGGCTGTACTATGCTTTGTTCGCGCCCGGAGAGGGCTCGGTTCTTCCCTGCAAGTTCCAGACAGAATACCTTTTGGGGCAACCCAGCGCGCATGCTGTGGCGCTCTCAATGCAAGGACGCTGACGCGCAACAGATACAGTGCGGCAGCTTCATGTGTGCTGGCAGGGGCCGCCGTGCTGTGCGTGTTGGGCTACAAGTATTTTTTGGACTTGCTCATGAACTTGCCTAGGAGCAGACAGCATTTGCTTCTGAGACGTGCCTCAGTCGTTGGATGGTTTGATCAAGAGAAGCTGCAACGTGGTTCTGGACATGGCACGACGCAGGGCATGCATCCTTGCACCCTTTTTAGTCGGGGGGATGCAGGCAAGAAACTCCTGCTGGGTTGCAAGTAACATAGGACGCAAGAATATGATTGTCATACGCCAGTGCTAGCCGAAGAGATTGTGGAACAAATGCGCAGCTGACCTGTCCTGGCAGATGTGACGTCCGTTTTCATTGTGGGAGAGGTGTGTTTTCAGCGAGTGGCGCGGTGTGTTTGAGGGCACTCATCTGGGGTGCGCTTCATTGCCTGGGGGCCCGCCTTCTTGCAGCGGCTTCCCTGCGGAACTTTCGGGTGCTTTTGTATGTTCCACCGTGCACGGATCAGGGCGACGATTTACACTTTGGACTTTTTGCTGCACGTCGGTCTCCTGCATGCTGCGGAGGACTTTTCGGCCTGCTTAGCCTTGCATCCAGCATTGCTCTTTACGACATCGTTCAAGCTGAGCTGGCTGGACGTGCCTGTGATATATGCGCGTACTTGGGAAGCAGCAATTGCTAGACACGCATGAAGGGTCCCCCTGTGTGACTGCCTGTCTGGGTTCTAGCACGTACATGGTGTAACATCGGTGGAATGATTAAATGACAAAACTCCGTGTAAGGGTATATTTAGTCGTCGCACATACCGCTCTTTCAACAGAAGCTATTTAGAAAAAGGCAGACATCTTGATGCAGACTTCAAGGCACAGGGAAGGATAAGAGGTCGGGCCTCTCGCACATGAACATCATGCAGCAACATTACAGTCATCTCCTGGCCTAAGGGCACGTGCTCCCAGTGCATCCAAATAAATCGTTTAAATTAAAATTGGCATATGCATACAGAAAATTGCTGGATGAGGGCTGCACACCCACAATAGCAGCGCTAGCGCAGCTGCAGCGCAGCGCTGCAGACATGACCTACATCCATATTACAGTATTTGGTATGTACAGCTTGAAAAATTCCAATCTCAGCATAGTATTACTGATCAGCATGCCTACTGCAGTCTACAACATGGGCACTGCTTCCCTGCAAACTTTGATTCACAAATGCAAACACCGTCTGTACTGCCAAAAGCGTTCCTGACAGAAATTTGATAGACCCGCAAAGATAGCTGTATATCATATGCCATGCAGTGCACATAGCGGCAAAGGTGGACAACCGTCAGTCTTTCTCTCTTTGGGCATCTTCATGCTGACACTGAAACCTCTTGATCATACTGCATGCTTTGCCCTGCTCAAGCGCCGAGCACGGCACGAGCAGCAGCAACATACTGCGGCTTCTTGGCTCTGCTCTGTGCCAACTTCCAGACCTGGTCCTCATGCCCTTGCTCTGTCAGCCAGTTCTTCAGCTGCCCAATGCTCATCTTCTCTGGCTGCACCCCCTGGATGCCCTCCAGGCCCTCATCAGCTGACTCGTAGCCGCCATCCGCCTCCATCGGCACTGACTCTGCACACACAGTCATGTCAGTTCCTCATCAGTGACTCTCAAGAGGTAAGAAACAGGGGAGGCTGTTCTGAGACCCTTGATGGGGCAGCTGACTCCCCTGCAGGACCCCTGGCAAAATAGACTATGCAAGTGTTTGCACCGGCTGACAGAGGGCCGCATAAAAACCGAGCACCATGCCCACGGTTGACTGGGTCTTTTGCTTGGATTTGGCGAATCCAACAGGGGTACAATTCTGGGAGCCTTTGCCCGCAGCTCGTCTACAGAAGCATCTTGCCTCTTGGCAGCGCATATTAATAATAATATTAAATGTTCGCACCCGGGGCTGGCGCAGCAGGACGGCTGCGAAGCTCAGCCGCCTCGGCTTCAGCGCTGGCACGTGCTGCATCGGCCGCGCGCACGGCAGCATCCTTGGCAGCGACGTCCGCAAGGGCCTTGTCGCGTGCGGCGTAGGCTGCATCGCGCTCGGCCTCCAGCATGCGCTTGGTTGCTGCAGCGGCTCCGGTGTGCGCGACCACTGCCTCCTGCAGCTGCCTGAAGCACGACAAAGAATTGCACTTGGTTCAATTGCTGTACGTGCCTTCTGCCATCTGTATGCATATCGCATGCGGCTCTCGCCTCATGCAGGGAAGTGGCCAGCCACTCCAACAATGCCTCTGCTGTTTCTGGCATGATCATCACGAGGCAATCCATGTCTTCAGAACATTCAAAAGTTGGTAGAACAGGTGCCACGTACCTTTCTAGCTTGTCAATATGCTGCTGCTGCGCAGCCTTCTCGGCCTCCAGCGCATCTGCGCGCTCACGCTGACGCTGCTCCGCCATGACCAGTGCATGTGCGCGCTCATGCTGACGCTGTTCTGCCGCCACCAGCTCAGCCTCCCGCTTGCGCCACTGCGCTTCCTGTGAGACAGCCACTCCTCATCTCAGCCCTGAATGAGATGTTTCATGCCAAAAGCATTGGTCATAACCACATGTGAAGAGAACGCTGTCCATTGCAGCAATTCGTGTGGTGGAAGGGAAGCAAACATACCTGGGGCTTGAAGGAGTGCAGCTGCTGCTCTGCCTGCTGCCGTTTCAGTTCGGCTTCCTGCGCATCCTGCCGGGCCGCAGCTGCGCTCTTCTCGAGCTGCACACACCATTGCTGCTGTCGGTACTTAGAAGTTTGATACACTGGAACAAAAAACCCCCTCCCATGACCCAGTCGGTGATACGCAACGGGACAAGCCACGAATGATTCAACATCTGGAACTCCCAACACGAGGCACACAGCGGTGCAGGAGCTGCAGTTCACCTCGCGATTGCGTCGGTCGGCCTCAGCGGCGCGGGCGTTTTCCTCGGCTGAGCGACGGTCCTGCAAGGCACGCTGCAGGGAGGCGTAGGTGCCTGTCAAGAACGCGCTGCGCAGGCGCCACTTGGCGGGACCGGCCGCCGCCGTGCTGGCCTGATACTGCTCCTCCCAGCGCAGCAGCTCCTCCTGCAGCTTCTCCACCGTCGCATCTTGCCGAGACGCCACCTGGCAGGAGATAGCCGAGCATGATGTCATCACAAGCACTGAGATGACTGCGCCGAACGGATGAACGAACGAACCAGCGCCGCAATAGTGTATGAAGAGTCTGCATTACATTTTGCCCAGCAAAATTTGATGGGCCGATACAAGCCATTCCTTTTGGCAGCCCAATCAGGAGCACTTGTCAAAAGCATCCAAGCTGCGCCTTGCAGGATTGTCACCTGTGTGAGGTGGGCCTGAGCAGCGTTGATGAGCTTCTGACACTCCAGCTCGCCGCTGGCCAGGCGCTCCTTGCGGAAGGCCTCAAAATCGCGCTGGCACCTCTCGTGAAAGCGCTTTGCATTCGCCACCCGCACGCTGTCCTCACCTGCGCATGCACCCAAGTCTCTCCTCAACAAACCGTTCCCCATCTCTGCATGTCATGGAGTGCCCCCATGCGCAAAGCCCACACTTCACCGTGTATGCACAGCTTCACGAGAGGTCCACAAGCCAGCAAACGCAAAAGCACCAAAGGCTGCCTCACCAACGGCTTTGTCGTTGAAAACAGACTGGGCGACTGCGAGGGCGCGTGCATGCTCTGCATCCAGCTGCCCCTCATCTGCGCTGATGTCACGGTTGAACGCGTCCCGATAGGCCTGCTCTGCAGCGTCTGCCGCGCGCCGACTCTCTGCCTCTGCCACGCCCTGCGCAGCCCAGCAACAGCATCTCGAAACCTTGCATTATCACCTTGAACAAGGTCTCTCCAACACCGGGATGAAGCTAGCAGAACGAGATATGATTTTGCTCCCAAGCACGCACACCTGCCAGGCGGTTGAGATGGTGGGCACAGCGCCGTTGTTGATGGCTTCAACATATGCGCTCGCCAGGCCAGCCAGCATGGGCCCGGAGATGATCTGAGGCCCCAGCCGCTTGGGTTGAGCCCGCGCAAAGATTAGCTTCGTCAGTCGCTCCAGACCCTGAAACATGGGCACATGTAACACACATTCATACTTTTACACATGACATCCTGCACTTCCTTGAATTGAGGCGCAAGTGCCCGAAGATTTTGTTTTCCCGGCTCTCAGGCAGCGTGCACAAAGTACAGGGCATACTCAAGCCATAAGGTCAAGGGTCACCTCTCGGAATTCTGGGCGCAGCTGGGATGGCGGCACTGTCTCCAGACGTGAGAGCTGGTTCTCGTCGCTCATGGGGCGCTTCAGCGCAAAGCAGTCCCGATTGGGGAACAGCGCCTTGATGGACTCCCTGATCTGTGGCGACAAGAGGGCAGCATCACAGGTAGCTCAACTTTGAATGGATGGCTGTTGCCTGAAGACAGCACTTGCTAAAAGAGACAGCAGAAACAATGCACAGCAACAATGCTTGACAGTGACAAAAAAGTCAAGATGAGCAACAGTCACATGAAACCTGAGAGGGACTCACAGCATTTTTAGCCTCCACTGAGCGGCCCTGACCCCTGATAGGCTGCAAGGCAGTCTCCAGGTACTCTTTGGGTGTAATCTGCGCAACAAACCGACTTCAGGACTCTTTGAACCCGGCTTTGATCTTGAAGGAACAAGGAAAGCCCAATGCACTGGTGCACTCAGGTCAGGAGCCCTACCGTGCGGCCCTCCTCTTCGAGGGTCAGGTAAAAGTCACGCAGCAGCCACATGAAAGATGGCGTGAAGTTGGACAGCTCATCCTCTGACTCGCCTGCAGGTCAATTCACAGCCTGTCAGAGAGAAGTCTCGGCAGAGCCAGGAAGAGCATTGGTTGAGCGCAACAAAGGACCATATTTTTGCAACAATTCCATTGATTTTGGCAAATCAAAAGCATCAGCACACTACCTCCAGCGCTCCCGGCACGAACGCGGATGTGCTTGGTCATCTCTGTGACCAGGGACAGGCGGTCCAGTGCAGCCTCATCGATGCCACCCATCTGATTGTAGACAAACAGGCTGGACAGCAGCACCGCTAGGGAGAAGATCTGCGTGCTGTACTGGCCCGTCTGTGTGCACGCAAACATCCTAATCAGAATGCCATCAAAAATAACAATTTTGCCACCGTGTGTATCCATACTCGCCAGGGAGTTGCGCAGAAGAAGCCCACCTGGTCGTACGCATCAATGCCTTCTGTGTCGAGCAACACCTGCATGTCACTATCGTTCAGGCCCTGGAATTACAATAACAAACAAAGAAGGAGCTTGCAAGCAAGACTAGAGTAACAGGAAATGTGTGAGGCTGCCACCCCTTACCAGGTGATACTTGGAACCGTCTGGGGCTCGCTGCTCCACGGGTGTGGACCACATCCATAGCCCCTTGGTGCAGGGCCTGTGGGTAGGCCCCACGGTGAATCCAGTGCTCTGTCCCAGCAGCTGGTTCAAAATGAAAGACTTGCCCTGCACAGTCAAATACACCCAGTTGAAACCAACACTTCCATACTGCAAGGATGGGAGACACAATGGGAGAAGCTGAGCTGGTGCGCTCAGGCGCGTGTGCACAATCAGTATAATGAAGGTACCTGATATGACTTGAAACGCATTCAAGCAAGATATGACGGTTTCAAGGGGTGCTTGTCTGGAGCTTTCAATTTTGGAGGCACCGTCCTGACTCACCTGTCTTGCACGCCCGCACACTGATACCACTCCCACCGGTCCATTGATGCTTCGCAGGACCTCTAAAGCTTCGTTAGGAACTTCAAACTTGCCCGTAGCCGTAGAATACCTCACGAGTTCGAGGGGTGCCCCGGGACTCGCAGCACTGGATGACACAGGCTCGAGGGGCTTCTGCTTCTTGCTTCCAAAGAAGAAAGACATGTTGAAGAAAAATCAGATATATTCCCAAATAGGTTTATATCTTGCTTCTGTCTGACACTAATCAATCGTTGTGTATCAGTCAGTGTTTTGTACACACTGTGCACACTTTTGCACACGCACAAGAATACTTTCAAGCAAATATGATGTTGTATTTCTTGACAATCTCGAAAGTCTGAGAAATTTACTCTGAGAAACAGGGAAGAGCTACGAGGAAGCTCGCCTCTCTCACTTTTAGTTCCATGCGGTCTTTATAATCCGAGGGGTTCAACCCACGCCGATGGGGGAAAATGCCATGATGGGAAACATTCTTGATGATCTGCATGGATTTGTAGAGCTTTCAATAGCGCATATTTGAGTAGAAAGTCTGTGGTACGTCGCACATATACATTGATATCAACAGGTCGAATCGCTGGTAAGTGGAGAGTCTGAGGACGATAAGTGCTTGGGGCAATGGGGCAGCTTGCCGTTCCGGCTGAGCAGCTTGGCTCGGGGGCTGCCTCCTCCACTGAACAGCTTCCAAAAGTTTTGAGAGACATCCTCACAAAGGCCCGGACCTCATGGCTGCGCAATCAGGAAGTGGTGGACCTGCTAACAAATTATAGGTCCTACCGCTTCCGTGTCAGCAAGGAGCCCCCACAGAAGCCTCCAGGTGTGCGAAATCTGCTCAATTGCCCTGTTCAGGCGCTTCTCCCCGCCGTGGGGCTGGCTCATGATGCTGACCTCAACAGGTTTCCCTGGGACTCGAGGAACACTTTCACACCCATGTCAATGGTTTCGGAATGTGGTTATGGCTTCGTTAAAGGTTTTAAAATCTATTATATCTGCCTGCGAAGGTGGCTCGTTGTTTCTCTTCAATCGGAAGACGGTTCGCTTCTTTAGAAAGGATGGCCATGACTGGAGGAAGAAGTCGGACGGGAAGACTGTGAGGGAAACGCACGAGAAGCTCAAGGTGTGCCTTTCCCAAAAGATGTTTGAGCTTTGCTTCAAGATCCTATCATTCAAGGGTTTTCCTCTGGCTGTTCTTGGGGAGCACTTTCCTTGACTGTGAAGCCAACTGGGACTCTGTCCTCACAGGTGGGGAACAAGGAGATTCTCAATTGCTACTATGCGCATGCAGAGGATGCGTTGCAGGTGCGGGTCCTGCTACGCCCCTTCATGCATGTGTTTTCAGAAGCGACTTTAATCAGCTGACTTGTGTTGTAGCTTAAAGTCTGACGGCTGTCACCCTTTGGTGTGCAGCGGCGATGCTACTGGCTGCTGGATGGAGATGACAATGTGGTCTTGGTGCACTACCTGTCCTCTAACCCCCATGCAAATTGTGTCCTGCGCTCGCCCTCGCTCAATGGCAACCCCTCCTTCAGTGGTGCAATGCCGCTCAATGCCCTGGAAGGGCCCCCCAGCTATCCCCAGGTAGGTGCATCAGACATTGCCAGATGTGTTCTCAGCACATGCAATTGATGATAATGAGGGAGGTAATGAAGTCCGAGAGACATTTCATTGATTAATATCCTGGTGATATGTGCTGGTGAACAAACCACATCCCCTTACCCCTGGAGGGAATGCCTGTCAGTTGATGATCATGCTGCAGCAGGTCGGTACCAGCACAGCCTGGGATGCCGCGCCAGCAAGCGGCATGTCCCGCACAAACTCGGTGCCCGAGAACTTTGGCAGCAGCAGCAATGGCGCAGCTGGACAGCAACCCGCTGCGCTGCCAACGATGTTCACTGTGACCACTGGGGATGTCATCACAAGAACAGCTTCTGGTGAAGGAGCTGTTGCTCTGGAACTTCCAGTAAGCTCTCTGGCCAAATTTACTCATGGATGCCTCCCTTTGTGTGACATCAATGTGCCTATATATCCTGGTGTCACAACTTTTGAGTGCCACGCACTTATATCCAGGATGCAAGGAGCAGCGCTTTCAGGCAGCTGCCGACTCCCTTTGCTGCGCCTGACAGAGGCATGGATACGAGCTCCCATGCCCTTGCCTTGAGCAATGGGGAGACCAGACAAGATCTTGGCCTTGGCAATTTCAGCCGAGCTGCATCGGGGCCTTCACACCAGGCAGCGCGGTCAGCATCAGGACAAATGGCGCCCACCCTAGAAGAAGGAATGAGGCTTGGTACGGCTTGCTTCTGTTCTGCTCCTGAAAGAAGGCTTATGATTTCATTACCCGGCCTGGAACAAATCTCTTGAACATTTGGGATCTGAAGGCTCTTTTTGCAGGCCCCTTACATTCCGCGCCAAGCTTCTCGGCGGGTACAGTGCAAACAGGGTCGACTGTCGATCCATCAGACCTGCAACGCGCGCGATCCAATAACGGCTCCTCTGCGCACCTCATGAGTGAGCCCATGGCGATGGGTCAGAGCGGCATGTTGCAGAAGAGCAGCGGGGACCATGTAAGTGCTCTGTGGAGACAGTCTTGTCACTTAAATTTGTTATCGAATCAGAAGTTTTCTCGTGATGTCTTCTTCCATAGCAAAGTGGACATGGCGCTGCCGTGCATTGGTGCTGTATGTAGAGTACTACACATGCGTCGCGTTCAAGCAATGTATGTTTTGAATCTTGAAGAATTGCATCGCTTGAATGATGCCTCTGCTTGTGTCTGCAGCAATTGCCAGCGCTGCGCTTGGAATTCAAGGGGACCTCACCCAGCAGCGGCCCGGCGGACGCTACACTGCGCCCAGCATGCGCTCTCCAGTCCCAGGACATCGCCCGGTCCCTGGCACACAGCGGCTCAACAGGGCGCCTATCGCGCGACACCTCTAGTACTCTTGCAGGCGGCCTGCAGCGCCGCGATCCGAGCCTCAAGCTTGGCCTGGGACTCTAGGCCTCCCATTTGTTGGTGACCTGGCAAGCATGCTGCTGTCCTTTGAGGGCATTTTCGGCTTTTCTTGTCTTGGCCTGAACTGCAGCGATGGAAAAAATCTTCTGTTGCACAGGTCACGATTATTGCTAGTCATGATTGGAATTCCTGGAAGGCGGCCTCGTGTAAAATTGCCAGCTGCAGGTCGGAAGCTTTTGAAGGGGATTATGCCTCCTACATGACAGAGCTCCTACGATCCTTCCACAAGTCCAGAAAGGAAGGACTGCTGATGGGAATGTGGTCGCTTGGTGATTGACCTCAGAGAGTCCTCCTGGATTACAGGGATGAGAAAGAGGGTCGAGGGCTGAGGGAGGCGCAATGCCACTTGTATGTACGAAATATTGTTGTACATCACAGTGATGTACATGCCAGGGACTGGCATGCGCATGCAGTGAAGAAAATGTGTCTTTGGGATTTTGCAAATGGCGATTTCGAGATGTAAAGGTCTCGATCACGGTAATATCACCAGCAGAGATTCAATATTGCACATATGTCGAGCAAAGGTTGATTTCAACTGTTAAGAAGAGGGCTGGGTATACCTACGTAGGCTAGATAAATGCACATGTGTTCTCCCCATCTTGGATGCTTTTGAGATGCCCAGTAGTGGAGATTGACCACCAACAAACAAAAGGATCGTGGAGATTGTCTGCACCGAAGGGAGTTTGTCAGGGCCAAGGGAATTGTGGAATTGTGGAAGAAGTCCAAGAATGGGTGACCAAAAATGACAACGCCGCAGACCTGCATACAAGGGAAAATGAAAATGCCGAATGATCGGGCAATGAAGCAATTTTTGGAAAGAACTGCACCTCTTTGAACACCGGGAGACATTCTCAGAATACCCTCACTGTGCACAGGTCTTGCATGTTCTGGGTGACTTTGAAGGAAAAGTTGGAAACCTCCTGAAGTCCAAGTACTTCGTTGGCCAACCTCTGCAAATCTAAGCTGGGAAGCAAGGCAAGCCTTGGGAGAACTGCGATGTCAGAATTGGGTTGACCCTCAAATCTTGCCATCTCCTGAAAGACGGGAATATCACTCCCAAGGAATGGCTGATGTGGGAGTCAAATCAAAAGCCAATGGACTCCCGCCGGCCACTTTAGCAGGCGGAAGTTCTACGTTTTTGACGAAAGTAAGCGACAGTGCAAGAGAGCCCGAGAGCCCCTATTGGAGAGTGGCTTTATCAAGGATGTCAGAACGCACAGCGAACGGGTCAGATGCATCAGCAATCTCTGCAGGTAAGCTGAAGGCAGGATCTATCAGCAGAAAGTATTCCCTTCAGTTCTGTTTCGGCCCGGATTCCTGCATGTAGATATCGCGTTGGTCATCTGCAGCCTGTGCAGTGACCTGGACCTGAATGATGCACCAATGCAATCTCATTTAAATCAATGCACCATGGCAGATGGCGAGGATGAGGAGGATGCGCAAGAGCCGGCCGAGGCGCGCCCGGTGGACCAGCATGGCTTCATGGTTTCCAGCTCAGGCAGCCCTGTCATGCCCGCCTGGGAGGTCGATCACACCAAGCAGATGCAGCGGCTTAGAAAGTGGCGCAACATGCTAGGTGGGTGCACAATGTGGCACTGCCAGTGTGTTTCCAAATGTCAAGTGCATCCTTGATCAGCAGCAGTCACAGAGACCCTCGCTTGTTGCAGGTAGCGGCACTGCAGACTGGAAGAGGTTTTCGGCACGGCACCCCGCAATGGTGAAGCGGCGAGTGAGGAAAGGCATCCCAGACAGGTTGAGAGGTGTGGCTTGGCAGCTCCTCTCCGGTGGCCGGGAGCTCCTCTTGCAGAATGAAGGTGTGTCTCTCAAAAGGACTGTTTGATGGAGAGGCTCACACATTCTCCAAATACTGTACTAGATGCAGGCATTGAGGTCCTTCTTCTAACATGCTGAGTGCTGTTTCGCAGGGGTGTACGAGCGGCTGATGCTGGCAGGCAGCAGTGAGAAGGAACTGGAGATCGTGAGGGATTTGTCAAGGACGTACCCTTCACACGTGTACTACCAGCAGCGGCAGGGGCCAGGGCAACGCTCCCTTTTCAATGTGCTGCGGGCGTACTCAGTCTACGACCGGCAGGTGTGCATCTCTACTGCTGATTTTGCAACAAACTTTCAAATTTGTGCGCTGATACTGCAGCCAGGCAGGGGGCTGCTCATTGGAGAGATAAAGCAGGGCAACGTTTGTGATACCTTCTGCGACTGCCGGAAGGCTGCAAACGTTGCTGGCGTGGGATCTTCAGCAGTGAAGTGTTTCACGCACCACTGCGACTCCTCATTGCCAGGTCTGGTTAGACATGGGCGTGTTGCGTGCAGGTGGGCTACGTACAGGGCATGGGCTTCATAGCGGGCCTGCTGCTGCTGTACATGTGTGAGGAGGACGCGTTCTGGACACTCACCGCGCTGCTTAAGGGCGCCGTGCATGCGCCACTGGAGGGCCTGTTCAGGCCGGGCCTGCCACTGCTGCAGCAGTATCTGTTCCAGTTCTCTCGCCTGGTCGATGAAGAGGTGCTCTGCCGGCTGCTGCTCGGAAGAAAGCAAAGCTGCTAACACATTTCCCAGTCAGGCACTTGTCAAAGCCACAAGTCGCATGTTGCTGAATGCCCCTTGGTGATGTGAAGGGTGAGTGCGCACAGGTGCCTCGAGTGGGTTCGCATCTGCGCAAGGAGGGCGTCCACCCCACCATGTTCTGTTCGCACTGGTTCATCACCCTGTTTGCGTACACGCTGCCATTCGACCACCTGCTGCGCATCTGGGACGTCCTCTTCCTGGAAGGTCCCAAGATCATCTTCAGGTGTGCCTTGCGCTCCCGCAGGTCATTCCAGCTTCTGTACATGTGCGTACATAGCCTGTGAGAGGTCAGCTCTTGAGATATTTGGAATTGCAGAACCGTCAACAGAGCCTACTGCTCATGGTGACCGTGCGATGGTGCTGCAGAGTGGGATTGGCATTGCTCAAGACAGCGGAGGACACGCTGCTGGCATTGCCCTTTGAGCGCTTGCTGACAGCACTGAATTCAAAGCACTTCTCCGCCTTTTCGCGGCCCCCAGCTCAGCTGCTCAAACTGGCGCTCTCCTTCAAGGTGTCACGGCGATTAGGGGCATCTCTTGCAGAGTTCCAGAAACAGCAGAAGGAGCATCCAAACGGGAAAGATCCCCTATGACAGCGTGCCTCGCAACGGACAGGAGCCTCGGGGCTGTTTGAACTGGGGCAGAATGACATGACAAAACTGATGCAGGAAATGCTTAATGAAGTAATAAAATGCATTGCTCTGATTGTCTACCTGCAGCGAGTTGATGCTGCTGTGGCCCGTTCATTATGCTCAAAATTGAGGCACAGCGATTCTGATATCATTAATGAAGATCTGGTTGTCATGGTCCACATGGTTTTATCTGGTTGGAGGATCCAGATATCCGGATATCTGATCCCAGGGCCCCTTCTCCCTGGAATAACTGTCGGGGCATTTCAGGGTGCTTTGATTGTCAGGCAGGCCATTTCACCTGAATAAAATGGAAGTGCTGCGCTACATGCAGCATTGGCTGAATGCTCATGGCCACCAGAAAGATATCATGTCTGGTACCTGTACCATGTTGAGACTTGGGCCCCAATCACTTGGTTGATGTGTTTTGGTCATCTTCGCATGTGCCTTTAAAGCATATGACTTTCAAGAAGCTGTAAGGGCAGAGGGCAAGAATTGTACAACAACCATGAATCATTAGTCTGCTCCGAACAGTATTGCCTTTGCATCCACAGGAGCCTGGTAGCGGAGCCGTATGAACGAAAGCTGCACGTGCTTAGAAAGCTTGTGCACAAAAGCTTTGCAGAAATCTGTCTATCAGAAGGAGTGCATGCATCCCTGGCTGCAGCAAGATGATGGATTTAAAGCCAATTCCCAGGGAGTCTTCAGACTCTGGGTCACCGCATGCGGGAATGCGAATAATGCGGGATATAATAGAATGCGTGTATTTTACTGCATTTTATTTTTGGGGCATAGAATGCAGATAAAATGCGAGGTCCACAAATGCGCCTTTCTTCCCCTTTGGGAGACCAGTGAGGATGGGTCCCACCCAGCAAGGCAATGATTCCCTGCAAACAGCTTGAGAATACCCAAAAAGGGGCTATTCCTGGAATTGCCTGGTTAAACCAGCATTTTGCCTGGCTGTACCCCAGTTTTGCCTGACAAAACCAAGGCAAAACTGTTTCTAACGCATTTTACCGCATTTTACCCGCATTTTATTTTTTTCAATAATGCATGCATTTTACCGCATTTTATTTGTGGTATCACCGCATGCGGTGACTCTGCTTCAGAGTAATGTTCAAACTTATTATCCAGCTGTCCATTCAAGCGCATAAACGGCGTCTCCACTCCCTACGACTTTGCTTGTTCAGACAGAACTTTCATCTAAAGCCACACTGGAACGCGAAGTACTCATGGACGACAATACACCATGCTGCACCAACTGCTCCCACAGAGCAAAGGCCCAAGTCATGAATCAGCCTAGTTCTCCTTTGAAGCTGCAGTCTCAGCATGAGAGCCCTCATCAAGCTTGGTCATTTCATTTTGGAGCTGTCTGATCTCCTCCATAATCTCCTCCTTTGACCTGTGACGCATTCCCAAGAGCTTGATAAAGATATTGGCCTTTGGCGCTGCAGTAGGTAAACAACCTTGAAAGCATCCTGGAACAACAGGATCGAAATAGCAGTGTATGCCCCAATAATTGCATGCACGCATGGCAGGAATGTCCATCATGCTTCTTTTCTCACAAGGGAAAGACTGACCTGAACGCCGCAAATGTCAGCCCGTTCTTGTGACCAGTGTCAGCAGCAATTTTGATGGGCGCGTCACTGCCACTCAGGAGTGGCTGCTCCTGGCCCAATTTCTCCACATCCTTCCCTGAGCTCTGTGCTGCTTTTTGCCGTATCATTTGCAGCTTCATGTAGTTGTAAACCGCGACCTGCGGGTGCAATCACAGTTTGTGCATCATTTGGTTTTCAGGCAGCAAATCATGTGTCCCCAATGCAAAAGGAGTGCCGAGCACATCCGATTTCAAGTTTTCAACTCGAAATCACTCGACTGCTTTGGACCCACCCCTGAGCAGCAGAAGGCATAGCCGAGCAGGTTTATGGCCGTCACTGGCGCCCCAAAGAGGTAGTAGGAGAAGAAGATCAGCATCCAGTCCTTGATCACTCCCGCAATGTTCATTGTCAGCGCACTTGTCTTTCCAATCAAGAGGAACACAGCCTGTGACACATACAATCAGCTTATGAGCAGGAGGATTGCGAACACGCAGGCAGCAGCAAAAAATACAGCTGCAATAGAACAAAACACACTGGGGTAATTGTATTGAACTCACCAGATTCAGCGCAAAGGCAGCCAGTGCATTTGCTAGGAAGACTGAGGGATAGAAGTGCACTGTCTCATCGTGTGCGAGTGGTACCATTTCAAGTGCGACTGCCATCACATCACACATCTTCAGACGCGACTCTGTGCCACACTTTTGAAAACATTCGAATTGGCACTTCCTGTACAAGTGCTGGGAGGGTGGTCTGGAATCTGCATGCAAAGGACTCACCAAAGGGGATGGACAGGCAAATCAGGCAGGCAGGCGACACATAGTACAAGCTCTGGATTGGATTCATCTGCAGCCCTTTGCTGTTGATCAGGATCTGTACCAATGTGAGCCTTGCTGCCTGCAGGCCACACTTGCAAAATCACGATGGGCTATTCTGGCAGATGATGAAAAGAGATGCAGGCATCCAGGAAATGCAGAGACAACATTGCCCGCCTCACGTAGATGTGAGCCAACCTCGAACAGCAGAGCAGCCAGCTGCTGCATGACCCCCTTTAGCACCAGATTGACTTCTCCAATTGCACACACCACCACCCCAAAGGCGATCAGCATCATGTTGGCAGCATTAGCCCGGCTGAACTGCTCCGTCCCGAGCATGATGCCCGTGGCATAGACCAGACCAGGCATCAGAGACTTGGTCATCTGGATGAAGGACACAGAGAGGTACAGATACGAAGAGTTGGACAGCCACAAGCTTGCCGCATACAACACACCTGTGAGGCACAACGGATATTATTCCTTGATACTTGCCAGTACAAAAAGGCACTGACACAACTTGTGAGCATTACTGATCCATAGAATTATGCTGGAGGCGTCCAAGGCAGCTCACCGATGGGCATCACACGCCTGAAGTAGTCCTGCTTGCTCATGTTGTGAGGCTTCACGAATCGCCCCACTCTCACGCACAGGAAACCGATGGTAGAACAAAAGGCCATGTGCCACATTGTCAGGGAAATTGGATATGGGAACCCAGAGAAAGCCAGCAACCATTTATTGAACAGTATCACGGAAATGGATATCGACATCCACAGGACAACATAGCCATACGACTTGAAGACTTCCCTGGCAACCCGTGATTGCATAGCGCTCGCCATTGCTTCAAGGCTAGCTAAACGAGGATTTCTTTCGCGTCAGCATCGCTGCACACAGCAATCATTTCCTTGAAAGATCCCTTGAACAGCTAGGGAGGGACTCAAGAATGCATGTTTCACACAGGAGACATCGAACGAGAAGGAGATTCACGAAAATTGCATAGAAGGCCAGAACAGAAAGGTAGAAACGCCCAGCAGAAATTGCGCGCCCGCAGCTGGTGCGTATCCCTTCAGGGCGTCACGACGAATGAGCTAAGAGGAGTCATGAAGGGCAAGTTGCCCTACATACTCCCTACATATTCCTATTTGATTGTCTTTTTTGTATTTAAAAAAATCAAGCAATGTTTGTGTATGAGACCATAGCACTTTCGAGATTCAAGCGATTTAAATAACAACCAATATATTCCTGATCTGGCCCATCGGATCGTGTGCTGTGGTGTTGCACACGGGCATGGAAGTACATCCAGAAATTTATCGGAGCTTGGGTGAATTGTCAAAGCAGCTGAGTGTCACAGCGCGTTACTTGTCTGCCACAACATTCCTGCTTGAACTTCCCTACTGCACCGAAGTGCTCAAGTGGCAGCTCACTTTTGCTCAGATCGGCGCTGAACGCGTGCCAGATTTTCTTTTCGAGGAAGATGACTTCTTGCCGTTGCTGCAATCCTCCAAAGTAATCAGCTGCTTGCAGATTGGGGCTCAAGAGGCACACTCACTTCTTCTGCTGGTCCGAGCTCTCCTTACCAGGTGATGCGGATAGACTTCAGCTGAATGAGCTGTGCATGGTCTATGCAACACAATCATCGCTCGGTCAATCCTGTGCATCTGTCTGCAGCTATGCTGAATACCAGCAGAGGCGAGTGGAAGCTATTGCAGCACGTGACTCACGGCTCAAATTCGAGGTGGAGACTTTACTTGATCGAAGTGGCAGCAGCTCAGATGCACAAGTCCTGGCCAATGCCAACCGGGTGCGCATTGAGAGACCTCACATGGGGCTTGCTTGATGGAAGTTGGAGTTTTGAGCATTAGTGTCTACTAGACCTGTTCTGCGGTTGCTTGGGTACCTGTATATTGTAGTCATCATCATGACTTGGATGCTCCTGAGCTGTTTGACCACCTTGCCCCAGCGTGCTGTAATTGTCAACATCAGAGCAATTTTCTGCAGGTGACATTTGTGGTAAGGGTGGGCGATGGCCTGGACTGCTTCTCAATGCTTCCAGGTTTTTCAGGCAGCGATGCCTCAGCAGCAGACCTGCAGAGCTTGCAGAAGGATGTGAAGCTCAAAGTCTGCTGGTCCCTGTCTGCATCAGGGGCTCTGAGCGCCGTTCCTATTTTGCAATTGCTTCTTCCTCCTCAACTCGTTGAGCTGCTTGGTAAGACTCTGACACCTGATATTCATTTCATAAAAAATGTTTTACCCCCGGAGAAGTCATGTTACGCTAGTGGGTGACATTTCCGGCATCTTCTTTCCATGACAATTCCATGTGAACTGTCCTGAAAATAGATTAATCTTTCACTGAACAAGCATCCCTGTCACATGCAAACAGGCAAGGTCGAGCTGCCAGCATGGCCACCGCATGGCATGTGCACGCTAGAGTACATTCCTGAGGTCAAGGCTGCCCTGCAAAGGAGCTGCCAGCAAGCAGCTGCTGCACTCTCCTTCCGGAAGCAGTTCTTCCAGAATTTGGCAGCCGCAGGTCTTGGAGAACCGCTTGAGTTTGATGCAACTACTTGCAGGTGCCATTTCCTCTTGCAGCACCAAACTTTCTTGCTGAACAGAGCTTGCTGCGGATATTAGCCTGGCACCTCAATCACATATTATGCCTTCGCTTCTGATGCAGCGCTGCTTCCGAGATCTTGGGAGTTGAGAACAATTTGCAGGAGGCAACTACAAAATGTATGCTTGCTGTCGTATGTGCGCAGCAGTACACACATCTATGATGCTCGTCTGTATGTTTGCAGCACTGCTTCTTACCAGCTACATGATGAAGAAGGGCAATGGCTTGTGTCAGTCGATCTGGCCAGTACATTTCCCAAACAGAAACCTCGGCTCACAATCCAGGTGAAATTATCTTTAGGGCGTTTTCAGTCTGCCAACCTGCATTTATTGAAGAACATATGGTTAAATTGCAGGAATACTTTCAGATGGCCATGACCTGTCCTGTTGAAAAGAGTATTCTGCACAAGTTCTGCAGGTAGCAGCATGAGGTGCTCCACGCACTGTCCCCCCGTTCGGGATCAACTGAGTGTGTCATTCTGTGCTAGGGTGGAGGCTCTGGAGAGAGCAAAACGGTGGACCAATCTGCCTGGGATCCAAGATGGAGCGCTGATGAAATGGCAATGCAGATCTACAAATCGGTGCGGAGCAGTCAATGATAGCGTAGCCTCTACGATGCTCGCAACTATTTGACCAGAGTGTAGGGTAGTAGCTGCATGATGGCATGGTTTGTCGGACGAGATGAAAGATGCTCAATTTGACGATTGGCTCCAAGACTACATGAGGACCTGACTCCCAACCCTCGAGCGGGCACACAATCCTCCCATTCGCGCACGAGCGCAACAGCTACTGTGGGTTTTACTGTAAAGTCAGATCTCCCATACCAATGGTCACGCACCACAGCGTGTCCTGGTGTGAATTCTTCACTGCATGGACCACACCCTCTGACATTCGTGAAATATTTGCATTTGCCATTTGCCATTTGCACCCTACTACTGGACCTCAAACCATGGGTATCCCTCGGCCAGGCGGCTCAGTCGTGGGCCCCGCTACCAGTGGAGATCAAGACCAGAGCGCCGGAGCGCCGTCGCCAGTACGCAGAAGCCCATATCACCATGCCCAGGGCTCTAGGATGTCACTTCTTGTTGTTCCACCTTCGCGTGCTTCACCTTGAGCCTCACCAGGCCTTTCCAATTGTTCCATCATAGTTTTCAGCCATTTTCTCGACCATGGCCGTTGCATCATCGTCATCCGTGGTCCTTTGCCTTTTAGGATATTTCGGTTGCCTCCTCGGCAGTTGTCTCATGTGCACAACCTTGAGCGGGTGTCTAGGATTTTGAACACTCATGCCTCCTGCCTATCCCCACCTGTGCAGTCGGTGGGTGTGCTGCTCTCGAGTTCTAATCGCGTCCTACCTTCATTGCCAGTCAGCCTGATCGGCGTGCTGATGCATCATTATATTCCACAATTCCAGCAGTTTGAGGCCCAGCTTTGGTGATGTGGGCCGCCCTTCCCGCCCCTTTCTTTTGGTGTCGGGTCCGAATATGATCCTTCTTTTCTCGACTGGCAGCCAAGCCTCCATGTACAGCTTCGCCTTCTATACTTTTTCCGTTATTGGTTGCCTGCAGTGCACGTGATTGCTTGCCTGTGATTTTTTTTTTTTTTTTTTTTTTTTTAAAAGGGGAAGCCCCCGCTATTACACAGGTGCCAGTCGCACGCTTCCCAGCACGCATGCAATAGGATATTTGGGGAAACCTGTCAGAGTTGGGGCACGCAGAGCACTCCCGCAGGAGGATAATGCGATACTGAAGAGAAGCGCAAGCATGAAGGCATACCACAGAAAGGCAACAGAAAGGCTCCTAGCGATGGACATGTCCCAAGCACCAGAGGGTAACCTCATCCCCAGAGGCGCACTCCAGCCCGCCGGCAACGCAACACCGCTGAGGTGACGTTGGAGGACCCACGGGGCAAGCCTAGGGCTTGCAGCTGGAGGCAGGGGTCACAGCAAAGCAGGCAATCATCAATCACTGGCAGGCAATTACGGATGTGCGGGCAACCAGTGGTGGAACAGACATGAAAGGCACGTTTATACGGTTGGCCGACAGGGATGGAACAGGATCGCGTTCGGACCCATTACCACTAGGTGCCGCTCGGGGCTGGCAATGTGACCCTAAACTATGCCTCAATCTGCCAGCAAGGTGGGGCACAAGCAAACGGTGGCAGATTGTTGCTTGCCTGCATTGCTGTGCCCTCTGCCTCCAGATGCAATGCCGTAGGCTTGCCCCGTGGGTCCTCCAACGTCACCCCAGGGGTGTTGCGTTGCCGGCGGGCTGGAGTGCGCCTTGGGGGATGAGATTACCCCCTGGTGCTTGGGACATGTTCATTGCTAGGTCTTGCCTGTCAGCGGTTTGCCTTCATGATTGCGCAGTGGACTCGGGCGTCTTCCAGGGCAGCCCGCTGTCGCCGCTCCTCTTCGTGCTCGCGGCGCAACCCATGGCAGCACACGCCAGGCTCCTCGCGACGCAGCAAGTCTTCCGGCCCATCAGGCTTCCTTCCGGGCAGCCAGCACCAGTCATGCACCAGCATGCCGACGACACGACAGTGCACGCGAGGAGCCCCAGCGACGCCCAGATCGTTCAATGTCCCTTAATGCATACGATACCGATCGAATCCAACAGTGACAACATAGGATTCCGGGCAGCGCACAGGGTGCGCTCCGGCCGTTGGGTTACAAGTGGTCGAGCGGTGACATGGGCATAGAGCCAGACGGCCAGAGACGCACCTAAGATACTATCACAACCTAACATGCTCACCTAAGCAGACAAACAAACCCTAACTGGCAAACAGCAACAGCCCTACAATAGGATAGCAAACCCGACTCCCCGGCACAACACATCCCAAACATATGGCAGACTGTGCATCAGACGCCAACGTGCACGCACCCCTCCTGACCAGGACCCAAGCACCACAGGGTAATCCCATCCCCTGCGGCACCCTCCAGCCCACCGGCAACGCAACACCCCATGGGTGGCGTTGAAGGACCCGCGGGGCAAGCCAAAGGCCGCTTTGCCTGCTTTGCTGTGACCCCTGCCTCCAGCTGCAAGCCCTAGGCTTGCCCCGTGGGTCCTCCAACGTCACCTCAGCGGTGTTGCGTTGCCGGCGGGCTGGAGTGCGCCTCTGGGGATGAGGTTACCCTCTGGTGCTTGGGACATGTCCATCGCTAGGAGCCTTTCTGTTGCCTTTCTGTGGTATGCCTTCATGCTTGCGCTTCTCTTCAGTATCGCATTAT